CAAGCAGCAACAGATGTTATCGACTTTCGTGTCAAGGGCAACTGCATTTTGGAAGATAACTGTTCGAATCTTCATCGCTTACAATGGACCCGAAAACCTATATCAACACTACCAGCCAAGGATATCGTTGTCTTTGAGGACGTCAGTTGGATAGTAGATCGTAAAGTTCAAGGTTTCTATATTTTACAACATTTATGTTTTGTCAACAATATGTTGTTGGAATGGGAGTTTTTTGACAATGATGATCGTGTATTCAGGTAAGTTGCCTTAAGGCCTAGTCTGGTCTCCCGGCCATAATCTTAAGGCCTAGTCTTGTGTCTTCCGGTCTCAACTGTAAGGCTTAGTCTTGTATCTTCTGGCCTCAACTGTAAGGCCTAGTCTTGTGTCTCTTAAGACCTAGTCTTGAATCTCTTAAGACCTACTGTAGTCTTGCGTCTTCCGGCCTTAACTGTAAGACTTAGGCTGTGTTTCCTGGCCTTAGCCTTCAAGCCAGAATTTCATATTTTCTATGAAAGTCAAAACATAATTATTTCTATGTCTTTTGCTCAATAGGTTATCAACTCACTATTATACGACTATGGGCATTATTTCCCACCCTTAAAAATCATTGACACAGGAAATAATAACACAATTACCTCCCTTGTTTTCCTATTGCCTCCATGCATTAGCTATCTTCAAATGTTGGAATTCGAAAATGATAATTTTGCCAATTTCGCAGCTGGCAATAGTGAATTATAGGATTAATAGGATTATTCTTTAACAAGGTAGGACTGTGTATGGATACCATCTATTTTAAGGCTTTATTTTAATAAATTTTAAAAATATAACTTAACAAATATGAAATTGTAGCTTTAAGATCTAGTCTTGTCCCATTGATCAAAATTTTGAAATGTTCAGTTTGCTTGTTACTCTTCTTTTGTTTTTAGGGGTGGTTGAGTGGTCCAAGCTCATAAGATCTTTCATTGAGTCAAACCTCCTGGGTGTCAGTCCAAAAATGTTGGTTTGTTTTGTGTGAGTGTTAATCCCCATTTCTCTCTTTTTTTACTTTAAGATGTCAGATGAAGATACAGAAGGAAGATGTTGGAACCGAACCTGCAGTGTCTCTTAGTAAGATAGGCTCTAGAAATTTTGCAGCAGCTGATATCTTGTTTAAGCTCTACGAAACACAACCAGTCATAGAGGTAAGTTATTCTATTGAATACTTGAATTAGCTTTAGGGCTATGGATTCCTGAGCTAAATAGGGCCTACATTATATAAAGATAGGTTGCCAGGCAACTAAACATACGCCCACAGCAGCTAAATCGTCCGAGCGGTCGACAAGAGTTGTCGTATATTTGTTCTTTTGTAGGTAATTAGGGGGCATTTAATAGACAACTTCATACAGATGACATTATAATTTTCGTCGTTTGAGGGTTCACAAGGTTCTAAAAACTAAAATAAGGGCTGTAACTCAGGAAGTAATCTACAGAAATTATTGAAATTCGACAGACTTTTTCGTTTTACTAATTCAAATAATACATATCAATTTCATACAGATCGGATGATAACTTTTGTCGTTCGAACGTTCACAAGATTCAACAAAGTAGAACAAGGGCCATAACTCTAGAAGTAATTGACAGAAATTGCTGACATTCAATAGGCTTCTTCATTTCACTAATTTAAATGATGCATATGAATTTCATACAGATTGGGTGATAACTTTTGTCGTTCAAGCGTTCACAAGATTCAACAATGTGAAACAAGGGCCATAACTCTAGATGTAATTAACGGAAATTTGCTGAAACTCAATAGGCTTGTTCGTTTTACTAATTTAAACGATACCTTTAAATTTCATACAGATCGTATAATAACTTTTGTCGTTAAAGCAACCACAAGGTACAACAAAGTGAAACAAGGGCCATAACTCATGGCGTAATTAAAGGAAATTGCTGAACTTCAATAGGATTCTTCGTTTCACTAATTTAAATCATGCATATCAATTTCAAACAGATCGGATGATAACTGTTGTCATTAGAGCATTCACAAGATTCAACAAAGTGAAACAAGGGCCATAACTCTAGATGATTAACGGAAATTGCTGAAATTCAATAGGCTTCTTTGTTTTACTAATTTAAATGATGCATATAAATTTCATACAGATCGGTTGATAACTTTTCTCGTTTGAGCGTTCACAAGGTTCAATAACATGAAACAAGGGCCATAACTCTAGACGTAATAAAGTGAAATTGCTGAAATTAAATAGGCTTCTTCGTTTCACTAATTTAAATAATGCATGTAAATTTCAGAAAGATCGGATGATAACTTTTGGAGTTAGAGCGTTCACAAGGTTCAATAAAGTGAAACAAGGGCCATAACTCTAGACGTAATAAACAGAAATTGTTGAAATTCAATAGGCTTCTTCGTTTCACTAACATAAATATTGCATATAAATTTCACAAAGATCGTATGTTAACTTTTGGCATTAGAGCGTTCACAAGGTTCAACAAAGTGAAACAAGGGCCATAACTCTAGACGTAATAAACAGAAGTTATTGAAATTAAATAGGCTTCTTCATCTCACTAATGAAAACAACATATATCAATTTTAAAACAATTGGATGATAACTTTTGGCGTTAGAGCGTTCACAAGAAATTGTGGACGATGGACGGACGGACCGACGGACGTACCGACAGACGGACGGACGGGGGCGACGGCAATATACGTCCACATTTCAGTGTGGGCGTATAAAAACCAATTTAGCCAAGCATTGCATTTCTACACCCTTTCACTGAAGCAACGTTCCTGTCCCTTGAGCAGGGTTATCCTGTGACAACACCAGAAGATTGATATATGGGTGGGCTGGTCTAGTGGTCTAATGCATGCCCTTTAGATCATAAGATATGTCCTTGAATCAATTTGAGCCAAGCTTGTATGTGACAAGGAGTAGAATCTCATGTCCAGTATCGTGCATTTTTTTCCCGTTCCGTCAACATGCTGCCAATGGCTATACAAGGGACCTTTTTTCTTGTCCAGTCCATCTTGCCCTTGCAACAAGACGAAAAAAGGCTGGAAAAACCTGAGGAACTTCATTGGCCAGATTAAAAACAGATTCTTATCAATGAGCCAGTGTCCTACACACCGAGTCAGAACCCACCGAGCCAGCGGTTTACCCACAGAGGTGGGTCTTTACCCACTGAGACATTGTCTTACCAACTGAGCTGGTGGCTTAACCCCTGAGCCGATGGCTTATCCACAGAGCTGGCACCTCATGTACTGAGCCACCTTGGTTTTCGTTCTGCTCTTGTATTGCACATAAAAATGCCTTCCTGGCTAGGCACAGATTTGACCTTTAATTGATGAATGCCATTATTTAAAGTTAACCTAGATATCATGTCTTAGTAAATCGTTTTTCATTCCAGGTTTCTGCTTACACTAAACCTGATCAAGCGATAGAATCTGTCAGTTTTGATACGTTGCTTAAAGAAGCGGAGGTGTTGAAGAAAGCTGCCGAGGATGCAGGAGAAAACGTTACAGCTACTACAGCTGAGGGAACTGATTCAGAAACTGAGACCAGTGACACAGATGTTGAAATGAAGGAAGAAGTAACAGATTCACAGGCTAAGAAGAAATATCCTAGAAAACCACATTACCGTCATGCTGATAGATTTATTTTAAAAGCTGCCCAGGCACGACTAGACGAATTCATTAAAGTTAAAATGCTAAAAGATCTACTGTTTGGACCTGCTTTCCCTCATCATATCACACGCCAGATTAACGGCTTACTGTATAACCTCCCCGTTCCAGTTCGCTTTATAAATCATTCCACTAGAAATCAGATGTACACCATTGTAACGCAAAGTATGTCACCGATCAAAATTGTCGCATTTCTCAAAGCCAACGGTGGACAGTCTGGTCGCTTTCGTTTAGTCGACAAATCAGAACTTCCGACACATAAGGACATTTTACCAGAACTTAAAAGTAGGGAAATTTTAACTAAGATCAAATCCAAATTTTAGTAGAAATTTCAATTTTGATTGGCTAAGCACTAAAACCAATCAAATTGTTGGCTTTTTTTTGCTAATAAATATAAGTGCTAGTCTAATGTCTTGTCTCAATTACATCTTCAACAGTATGGTTTTGTTTCTAGTTTAAAATCCAAATATTTGTCTAAAGTCTTTACCAGTTGTGTGGTTGAGTGGTCTGATGTATGCTTTAGATCATAAGGTCTGTCATTGATTCAAGTGCCATGGTTTGTTTTGAAGGTACTTCCAACCTTATTTGTCTTATTTTCGCCAGTCATGTTTGGCCGTTTTGACTGACTTGCAGTGAAATTGACCAACTGGAGAATACTAGTAGATCATAAGGTCTGTCTAAAGTTTAGACAAATATTTGGATTTTAAACTAGATTTATAAGGGGCATTTTAAAGGGGCATTGGCGCCATTGGGTAAGATTAGATAAGAGCTGACAGTTCTCGCTATAATAGTTCAACAATAAATAATAGAAACAGAAAATGCTGAAATTTCAGTCAGATTGCTTTGCTCTGAACCGAGATATAGGTGATTCAGTTTTAGGCTACAGAGCCAATTTTCTGAAAGGTAACCTTTTCTGTGGTTCAAGTATCTGATGTGAGAATCTGGGCCCTGTTTCTCGAAATCTTAACAGTGGGAATGCAGTCGACCCTACTCTTGGAAACGAAGCTAAGCCTCTTCACTAAATGACAGACCTTATTATCCAACACGAATGCATTATCATTTGACTCCACCCCCTCCCCTGCAGTGACACATGAATGTTGTGACCAATAACCACTTTCCTGTCTTAAGGCCTTTGAAAACAGTATTCCTCATTATTAATTTGTCCCAACTAATCATGGTTCATGAATGCGTGTTCTCGATATGTTGACACTTCTACGATGGTGGGTGACTACGAGTCATGAGTGAAATAATCTTATTTCGTTTAATCTGTTATACTAATATAGAGAAAATACAATTTACATTTTATGGATATAACTTTTATGGATATAACTGTTACAACAAATAACACATCTACACAAATTTTAAAGTTGACCTCATTTCAATCAAAGTAAATACATGTACCCGTAAGTATTGTTTATATTCGCGTTACGTTTGGTAGTGGAACAGTGACACTGACATATTGTACATCGTTGACTTCAGGGTTAGGCTTGTTGTCTACCAAAGTTAGGTTAATATCTTCCACTACACTGCAAAGTCAGTAACATCATCAAGCTAACCTTTGCTAAAAGGTTAATGTTAATAACATCCACCAATTAGTCTATACACTAAACACAAGACCTGCAGCATTCAATCTCTGTGATCTGTAAATAATTAATAAAAAAACATATGAACTTACTTCAAATTTACACACTATAACTTATTACATAAACTTTATGTAGATAAGGAAAGTGAATTTTGAGATGCACTCCAATGACAAGTAGTTGATTTACATAAAAATTTACAAAAATAAGAACTGTTAATGAAAATAATAAACTGATTTACCTCAAGATAGATAATTGGAAATATTTTCTATACTTTTCTTCTGAAAAATGAAAGGGCGTAGTTTTATTATAAAACAAGGAACATGTACTACAAAAACATATAATTATTAATGTACCCCCTCGCCAACACGTACATTTGGAATTCATTTAATATAGTTAACTAAAAAAAATGTTAAAATCACAATTAATTATGATACCACAATTACAGGCTGGTAAAATCAACACAAAGTTCATACATTAGATTATAATAACCAGAATCGACTTTAAACTGATGTCTCTCACATATCAATGCCATAACTCTTGCAGTAATCATCAGATCTCGCTGAAAATCAATAGGCGTCTTGTCTCATGACCTTAAACACTGTGTATAAATTTAAAGTCAATTGGATTTTAAATTTAGCCTCTAGAGTGTTCACAAGATTTTTCAAAGTGATCAAGGGCCATAACTCTGGTAGTAATTATCGGATATCGCTGAAAATCATTAGGCTTCTTCGTCTCATGACCTTACACACTGTGTAACAATTTGGAGTCCATTGGATATTAACTTTAGCCTCTAGAGCGTTCACAAGATTTATCAAAGTGATCAAGGGCTATAACTCTGGCAGTAAATATCAGATATTAACTTTAGTCTCTAGAGCGTTCACAAGAAATTGTGGACGACGGACGTATAAAAATAAAAACAAAGTTTAAAAGAATCAACTTAATTAACAAAAACAATAATTAAACAATCAAAAACTAAACAGATAAATCAAATTCAAACGGAACAAATAAAGCAAAGAAAAGGAAAAAAGCAGTTCATTACCATTCTACATTAAAAAAATAAAGGAAATCAACTTGCGAAAAAAACTTTCATAAAATAAGAGTAAAGTAACACTAATGTTAATACTTTTTTAACGACACTACTTGGGCTCCCGGCACCCCTACACCCAAGCCTATCCACACCACAACAAAGGTCCATTTCATTGATTTTTTTCAATTTAATGGTCAAAGCCATCAAAAAAAAAACCAACCCATTTAAAACACTGAAAAAATAATTTCAAATTCTACCTTTATAATCAAGAAATATAAACTTTAAATATGTAATATGTAATTCAGATCTAATTTTCCATCAAAATCAATGTAAATGGACCTTTGTTGACCAGATAAGCAAATTACATTGATACTAACTTCAGACTTTACAATTTTGTATAGAATTCGAACATTAAATGATCATGCGACCGAACCTCCAGCATGAGGTCCCTAACAATATCTATTTAAGAATAACAGAAACCATAAATTAAAGGCGTTTTTAGGACCTGAGCTTCGACCATATTAGATAGTAAAAGCTTAATTGATTCTATTAGTTAAGTATAATATTTGAAATTAGATCTATAATATATAATTATGATTTTAATAAATCTTAGCTGACAATAACGTGCGGATTTCATTCAGTTTTAAAATTGGTACTATATAGAGCCTAGCCAGTATATAGCGATTCTGAAGGGAAAATACCGCTTATGACTCATGACGTCACTCAAATATGACAGAAAAGCACTTATTTTGGTGCCATCCCACGCATTGACTGGTATATAGAGCGTTTTGATCATTTGAAACTTTGAGTTTGACCTGAAACCCTATTAATTAATAAATAGGTAATATTAATAAAACAATACTACTAGGCCTATTTATTAGTATTTAGAATATATATCATATGTAGGCCTACATACACTGTCATACAGTGCCTTTATTTACAAGTTACATCTGATTTATTAACTGATTATCAGACTTATCCATTTGTGTGTATCTCATTGATCATTCTCAGGCTCAAGTTATACTCCTGACAAGTCCACGAGTCACGATACTGTGACCCCCTGTTGGTTGCACTTACTTGTAGTTAAACTGTCACTACTACAACTTAAGGGGTATAAATAAAATGCTTGAAATGAAGTCGGACTAGGTAGATATCTAGGCCTAATTATAATGTAGACTTGTTTTCATATCGATTACCCGACGCCAAGACCACTTCTACTGTACTAGCACTAATTTCAATGTAGGCTACTTAGTAGTCTTACCCCAAAAGTTAGAAAAGACTTCGTCAGCAAAAAAAATTATTTACAATCGGTACATCTATGATTAAGATTTGATTTATGCAGTTTTAGTCAAATACTAGCCTACTATAAAGTAACAAACTTCATTTACATTACCCAGGTCAGAAAATCTCCTCAGAAAATAAAAGACAACTGTTTAGTGTTTGTAGCCCAATAAATATAAGAAGCTGACGCCGTTAAAAACAGTGTTAGCCTAAACATCAGAATATTGCGCCAAAAGCAAACCAGTTAAAAATATAATTTGCGGGTCACGGAAAGATAATTCTGTTTGGAAACATGGTTTGGTGTAGAGGAGTAACCGAAGTTGGCCGAGTGAAATCTGCAGCCGGTTGCCGAGTGAAAAATAGAAAGTAACTCATTGAAGATCCAGTATTGTGCTACGTTTTCCACAACAATGAAAACACCGGAAGTTGACCTGGATTTAGTAAAATTTATAGCTGTGGAACAACCGAAACGAAAGCGATATTTGGTAATGCCATTCGGGGCAAAAAGTGGGACGTTAAACCCTATTTCATTTCTATTCTTAGAGTTGTTGATTCTAAACATCATTTGTTTAATCTATACGAATAAAATTAAAGTATGTATGACTACTATGTGCGTATGTATCTATGTATGTACCACGCTTCGTCAACTAATATGATAATGTGGTATCAAATTTAACCAGCATAATGACCCCGTGAATGTTTTAGGACATCGAATTTGGGCCCCGGGCGAATAACGCTTCGTCGCCGAGCTCCACCCCACATTATGTGGTATCAAATTAACCAGCATGACCCCGTGGATGTATTATAGCACCGAATTTGGGCCCTGGGCAAATTGGGCCCCTCAGCGAATTTGGGCCCCGGGCGAATTGGGCCACGGGCGAAGCAGGGTATCCCGCTATAATATATATTAGGCATAGAAGAGTTATGTCCCTTTAATATATTTACCTGACATTTAATATTTATTTTTATGTAGGACAGGGCGCACAGTAAGCCATTGGACACAGTAAAGGCTTTTTAATTTTTAACTGTTTGGGGAAAATTCAATTGTGACATCACTGGGGAATTCCGGTTATAGCCCCCATCTGTCCTCCTAAATTCAATAAATTCATGTAAGCTGATTAATATTTATCAGCAATTAACCGTTTTTCTGACGCAAAAGTAAATTTTTGGTGGACTGGTTAAACTGCTTGGCCACTCCAGATTTTGTTGGAGCCCACAAATTTGAAATTCCAGGTGAAGGAGATAGTAATTGACTTTCGATTTTCTGTCGTGGTTGATGTCGGGGCAGAGTGGGGCACATTTCAGAGGGGCATACTGAGCATAAGCATTTCGAGTTTAGCCAAATATCATTTGTCTATTTTAGACAGAATCTGGATATTTGAGCTGTTTTTAAAGAAAATATTTGACCTAGGTTACGAATCCTTACTGACTTACAAATCATAGGAATTGTTCGCATAAAAGATTTTTTTTTTCTCCAGTTAAAGAATTTTTTATTCATTGTTAAGCTGTTTTGTTTTTTTTAATTCTTAGCTGCGTATCTATGTTCAAGTCTTAAAACATATTCATATTTTGAACTAAAAGATTAGTTTTCACAGTTCTTATTAGTTTCAGTGTGTTTACTATACATTTGTTTTAAAAAACATACTTGATCCAGTGTGGTCCAGTGTACCCCACATACGGGGCACATTAGGTAAAACAAATTTGGTTTTACAATGATCTACATATAAAAATGGTTTCAATTTATTAACTTCTTAACATCACTGTTAAATCGAAAATATGACTGGCTTCAACTGGTACATAGTTTGATTCTCTGTAGGACTTCAATTCTGGTCAATTTACCAAAAAAAGAAATCATGTCCACTGTGCTCCGCTCTCTATATTTTCTTAAGTATGGAAAAAAGTATTTTACTGATTGACACTAAAGAAGTTTGTTTTGATTGTATAAGGGCCACACGTATCTAAATCAGACAGCTCACTAATTATTAAAGGCTATTGTTACTCGTCATCAAGTAAAATGAAATGAGTTAATTTAACGTCCTACTGTTCTGCTCCGACTGGGATAATGAAGACAGGCATGCGCCATACAGTGTATATGAGGGGAATTTTGCCCGGGCAAAATGCTAAGGGATCTTTTATACGTGAACGCTAATGTATACACGGGAATGACGGTACCTCGATTTTTCGTCCTGCACCACTGACAAGAGGAACCCCACGTCGGAAAAATCCCGATGAACTTTCTCGGCCAATGCTGGGATCGAACACGCGACCACCGGGCTAGCGAGCGAGCGTCTTCCCCACTTAACCACCACAGCGCCATTCGTCATTAAACACCGATATTGATGTCTAAGAACTAATAAAGGTGTTTTCTAGTAATGGTCAAGACGTATTGTTTGTGACAGTTCCCAATGTGAACGAGTCAAGTTTTTTGTCGTGGGTGTTTGGCATCTGACATTTGGCTGATACAAGAGTGAAGAGTGGCATTTAGTTTAATAATTGGAACATAATCAAATAAAACACTATTTGTGGATAACAATTAGGCCTACTATAGTTTAATTACACTGTGACATTTCAACAAAACTTCATTCACGAGGCTTGATAAGGACTTGTGAAATCTTAATAAAACGTCACAGTGTATTAAACCATGTAATATTGTTATTCATACCAGCGGCTGCCAGGCAGGATACGCCCACATTTTCGAGAGATGGATAGAAAACAAGCTAAAACGAAAGTGATTTTTCCTACAATCAAGGGCCATAATTCAGGAAATTACAATTCGATATGCGCAAATATCGAAAGGAACCAAGATCTTTGAGTTATAAACTTACATTTTGTCTGTCAGTTTTGGGCCGATTTTCACGAAATTCGAACTCAGTCGTCCTTAGGATGTAACGGTGATATAATAATACATTTTTTTAAATCGGATAAAAATTATGACCTCTATAGGGTCCACAAGCTAAAAATGCGATTTTTCGTACAATCAGAGGCCATAATTCAGTAAGTTACGGTTCGATATGCGCGAATATCGAAAGGAACCAAGATCTTTGGGTTATAAACTTACATTTCAAGTTTCAACAAAATCAGATAAAAATTGTAACCTCTATAGGGTCCACAATCTTGATATACCATATTTTTACGCTATTTGAGAACGAAGGGCAGCCATTTTATCTGTCAGTTTTTGGCCGATTTTCATGAAATTCGAACTCAGTCGTCCTTAGGGTGTAACGGTGATATAATAATATGATTTTTTAAATCGGATAATAATTATGACCTCTATAGGGTCCACAAGCTAAAAACGTGATTTTTCGTACAATCAGGGGCCATAATTCAGGAAGTTACGGTCCGATATGCGCGAATATCGAAAGGAACCGAGATCTTTGGGTTATAAACTTACATTTCAAGTTTCAACAAAATCGGATAAAAATTGTGACCTCCATTGAGTCCACCATCTTGATGTACCATATTTTACGCTATTTGAGAACGACCGGCGGCCATTAAATTTTGTCTGTCAGTTTTGGGCCGATTTTCACGAAATTCGAACTCAACCGTTCTTAGGGTTTAACGGTGATATAATAAAACGTTTTTTAAATCGGATTTGAGAACGAAGGGCGGCCATGTTGTCTGTCAGTTTTGGGCCTATTTTTACGAAATTCGAACTCAGCCGTCCTTAGGGTGTAACGGTGATATTATGACCTCTATAGGGTCCACAAGCCAAAAAACGCGTTTTTACGTACAATCAGGGGCCATAATTCAGGAAGTTATGGTCCGATATGCGCGAATATCGAAAGGAACCGAGATCTTTGGGTTATAAACTTACATTTTAAGTTTCAACAAAATCGGATAAAAATTGTGACCTCTACAGTGTTCACAAGCCAAAAATGTGATTTTTCGTACAATCAGGGGCCATAATCCATGAAGTTACGGTCCGATAGATGCCAATATCGAAAGGAACCAAGATCTTAGGGGGATAAACCTATATTTCAAGTTTCATTGAAATCGGATAAAAATTGTGACCTGTAGACTGTTCACAAACAATTGTGGACGGACGGACGGACGGACAGGGGCGACGACAATATACGTCCACATGAAAATGTGGGCGTATAAAAAAATGTTTTATTTGACCCATTTTGTTCCGTTTTTTCCCATTGTCTATATAGTTATTCCATTTTCCCAAAATCAAATACCTAATCATTGACAGATAAAAAAACAACAACATAGAATGGAGAAAAATACATTCTAGTCAACAGAATACGCAAAATTGTCAATGAATCCCGCTGAATAAAATAAGTTTAAATTATTAACGTTGTCAAAGATCCATTAATCCCACAGAGAACTCTGTCTTGTATCGCGTTTAAAAATCAAAATGAAACGGAAGATCATTTCGCAAAACGTTTTCAAAACTTACAACGCTGTGATCATTTACAATCGAAATATTCCACCGTTCCAATATTAAAATATTATTACCGTTTTAACCGTTCGATAAATTTATGACCTCCATCATTTCCAGAATATGCGTACCTTATGTTATGATTCGTATGTTTTATGATGATTATAGTTAAAATATTTGTATACAAACTAATTTTATCACCCAATAATACATTCTACAGTAGATATCGCTTGTGTGATATATTTCATAATCTACTGCGATATCTCCTTACTTTTTTTAGTTTCAAAGAACAGTTCATTTCTTATTAAAAATAACTCCTTTTTTTTTTTATTAAAAAGGAATTATTTTTATTTAAATGACCTTGATGGAAACACTGGGTCAGTATAAAGGATATTGCAATGGTTGAATTGCTGTCAAATAACGATGTATCACTAATCTGGTTTAGTAAAAGTGAAATCTACCGCAAAGAATTATATTTATTTATTTGTGCATGTAAGAGAGGATTGGGTGATAAATAAAATCTCCAACTCGTCTTTTCTGATATCAAAAAATATCAAAACTCGTCGATAAAGTAAAAAAAAAAAACTCGGCAGAGCCTCGTTTTTGTTACTTTATCGACTTGTGTTGATAATTTTTTATATATAAAAAAGACTTGTAGGAGATTCTCTATACATGTATATATAATTTTATCAAGACTAGATATCTGACAGAAGATTCGGCATTTAACCATTCAGACGTGTGTCCAAAGGGGATGGGGGAGGACCGGGGTCCAGAGCATATATTTTTCTCCTGCATTCATTGAAATAACGCCGAATAAACAAACGTGCAAAGAACTGTCGCCGTTTTGGCCTTACGCCACTCTAATCCAACACGCATGTAAATGCACCTAAATGAGCAGCCCTATTGTTTCAGAGCTTCTGTTTTAATTCGGTTGTTTTCCGCTCTCTGCTCAAACTCCCGAAAACGCCATGTTTTTCTAGTATTTCTATTTCTGAAATGAAATGAAATTTAACGTCCTACGTTTCTGTATCGACTGGGCTAATGAAGACATACCGTGCGCTTATATGAGGGAAATTTTGCCCGGACAGTGGCACTACGGCCTACTCTTATTCCGAATTCCCACTGTCAAAGATTATATTACATGTACACCAATGTATACCCGAGACCTCGGTATTTCGTCCCATTTGAACAACTAGAGACTATCCTTTCCAGGCCCTCCGTCCCTAACCACTGAGCCACCACGACTCCCTAATATTTATTTCTTCATCATGTAAGATGTAGAGTTTGATTGTTATATATTATCAGACCAATGGAGATTTTTTTAAAAACAATTAGGGGAAAATATCTTTATTATAATAGAAATTTATTAAAATATAGTCTGTATATATACTACAAAATATAATACAATGACCCAATAGAGCGATGAGAAAAATAGTAAATTCGTTCGGGGGAAAAATTGTTTTAGGGAACATATATTTATTATGAAAGACTATAGTATTTATACTACAAAATAAAATATAAAAATATTAAATTCGTTTGAGGAAAAATTGAAACTGTCAAAAGCTAACACAGACCCTTTTTTACTACTCAAACTAGAGGTTATTATGATTTTGTACGTCTTAAACAAAGGTAACTGAAGAATTTGAAATTATATTTACTACACCCTCGACGTGTTTCTGGTTACATGTTCCATACAATTATGTTCATTGTTTGTTGAAACTTAAGGAGTAGGGTCGCCTGTATAACCTTGTCAGTTTCTACGGATCCTCCAGTTTCCCCTACACGCAAGCGCATTATTAGTCCATGTGTTAGTGCTGAAATGACCAAGTTAGTGTTGTACAAATACTACAAACGTAATAGTGGAAATATTTTTTTTTAAAATATGCATAAATTATACAAATTGTAGTCATGACCATGCATTGGCTTGTACCCAACTTATACTGCAATTGACGGTATATATACATTATCAAATAGAACTTTTGATAATTAATTGAGAGTAAACATGTTGTTTTTTTTGTAATTTATGCCACTATATAATTTATGATTTAATTTTAAACAATGTATTTATATTTCTGTAAATAATTTCATATATTGTATCTTTATAGTATATAAATATTTATTGAATAAATAGTGATAGTAGAAAATGTGAATGTGGTTTTATTTTATAATTAAGAATGACACAAATTTTTAATTAAGATCGGATGCATATAAGAAATATATTTATATAGGATTATAACCCGTCGATCTTAAAACATAAATACTTTTAAACAACTTTCATTTTGACACTTTCAAGTCTAACTGGATTCTTTTTCTTCATTTTTCTGAAAAAGAAGGGAAACGTGTCACAATAAATTCTTCTGTTAGAGAAAGACAGATCTTTTTACAAAAGACCTTTAAAATTTCAAAGGAACGTCCAGCTCCAACTAACGACAGGTATGGGCATTTTTATTATTTTGAACCAGGGGCAATAACTACGCATGGACTAGTCTGAAATTCGAACAAACCAAACAAGCTTTAAGACAAATTTTCAAAAACTCTTACTTGTAGGGTGTTTACAAGATTTCGGTGACTTGAAAAATCGTTTCAGCACCCCCAGCAAGTTTGAATTATAGATGGACCGGCGGTCGGACGGACAGGTTGACGGCAATATACACAATTTATTGTCACACATCGCCGTCTGACGTCACAGATGTTTCAGGACTACCGCTAAAGGAAAATTTTAATTTCTGGAAGTTTGTCAAAGAACGGCAAATTAAATAACTATATGGAAACTGATAAGCGCACCCTTAAACGAAATAGTCCTGTATGTTTATGTTTTTGTGTATTATATTTGAACATAGATTCAGCTCTGCTTTCCAGCTAATTTCCTAGACTGGGTCAAAATTTTCAAGGATTGCCAAGTGCTGTCATTCCAGCTAATTGTCTGAAGTGTAACTAAGTCCTGTCATACCAGCTAATTTCCTTGGCTGGGTGAACATTCTGAAGTGTAACTAAGTAGTGTCATACCAGCTAATTTATTTGGCAGAGTGAAAAGTCCTGTCATTCCAGCTAATTTCTTAGACAGGGTTAAAATCTGCAGCATTTAGAATTATGAACAGACGGACGGTAATACACCAAGAAATGTAACGCCCAACCCTTAAGTTGACATCCATTATTGTTTTTCTCAATACCCACAAAAAAATAATTAAAAAAATATACAAACTTTATTTCAGAGGCATTAATATAAGACTCTTGATCATCATCGTCGTCCTCTACAGTTTGGGTTGGTAGAGGTGGTGGGGGACGATTTCGTCGATTCTTCTGGAATCTCTGAGTAAAGGTTCGCTCACTTCGCATTTTCTGTTTGGGCATCTGAAACATTGAAACCTTTATATAGGATACACACTCTTACATCATCAACATCTTTTGTTGTGATTTGAACATCCCATGATCGAGCTGGGTCACTAACTATCCTGGATTCCATCCCTGTATTGGCGGGATTTTCCAGCGTGGTTCCCCCTTATCAGAGGTGCATGCAGGACGGATTACGTTGGCGGACACGTAAAAGAACCCGTTACGTTACCCGAGGGTTCAGAAAAGTATAGGAGGTTAAACCTTATTTCTTTAGTCAAACATTGTTATGTATCTATTTAATTGAAACGACGTTGATTATTCACGCCGGAAAATCTGTGATGAAATATTGGGATAGTTTAGTAGACAGTGTGTTATTATACCTGAATCTCGTAGATTTCCTCATCAGTAGCCGTTACTGGTCGGGGTTCAGAAGAAGCTCCATTGTTTCTAGTTTCTACTGGTTCTTCTTCATCATCATCACTTCCTTCCTTCGTCTCCTCTGCTGCCGGGGTATCGTCATCTTTTGTAAAATGCCAAATGTGTATTTAATTATTTATTTTGTGACTGTTATTTACCCTCAGTGGAGCCAAGGAATCTCCAAAGAAAGACTAAACTCTAAAACAGACTGTCTGCGGAATATTAGTTGATATTATTCCATCAACACTTAAAGACATAGACTAGGCACATTATTATCTTTAAAATAATCGCATTCTCTCTCTATACCTTTATAGACTATCAAATCTCCGAAGAAAACCGGATTATCAGCATGCGGAATTCTTATGTCTTACAGAGATGGACTGTGAAGGAGTCTGCGAGTATGGCAAACACAAGTGTCCCCTAGAGAAGTTAATTTTTCCACGTAATTTCGGGCACTTTTTAGTCTTGTAAAGGAGAAAATTTGGAATTATTTCCTGACATATTATCTATAATTAGCAGTCTCTGTAGGTTTAGTACTCGACACCAATTACAGTCAGCTTTTCAAAAATGTTCTCGGGCCCGGAAGGAGAGACTGACAAGCACCCCCAACACCAAGTCCGTCTCTGATGGCTTATATTTATTCTAGACAAAATGAGGAATCCTGGGGATTTTGCGTGTGTGTGATGGTGAAAAACATGACACCTATTATTGCTTATATCTTAAGGCCAGGGCAACAAAGACTAAGTTTTCAATGAAATTCAAAACGATGCCGTCGACCTTGCCTCGAGCAGGAAGAAGTTTGGATATGTATAATATCAGGTTGGTCATAATGGTATCCTGAGTTATATGATATGACATGGTTTTAATCGTGGAGTAATCGTGATGATCCTATCTGGTCGTATCATACATTAAGGTCAGTCGTAGCAATTGTGTTGATCGTATCGAAACGTATCCGAACGTATCTGCATGTACTAGATCGTTGACACAATAGGGCAACCCTATCGTAAACCATTCGAACCACAGTGGGAACCTAGCATAACATTAACTTGTTAAACATTTAATGCTACCTTATTTATTTGGGCTTGTTTTCCTTTGCATAAAAAAAACTGATAGAAAGTAACAGAAAGTATGGCATAAACAACCAATTATTATGTTGCCGCATAGTTTACCTTCTACTTGAATATCTTCAGAATCCTGTAGAACGTCTACATTGAAAAACGTAGCAATAGCAGCTGGGAATCGTAAATCTAATACCGCTACAATGATTCCCAATATAATACAGATTATACCTGTAATAAATAAAAACATAATATGGCATTAGTATTCATATTTTAACGTTGAAATAATGCAAAACACTCCTTTATGAATAAGCATTACAGGGCCGTTTATATTGGGCGCGAACGCAACCACATACATAATAATAACATTTGATAAATATTATATATTCAATAGCCGGAATACATTAACAATAATACATAAAAAAAAATAACATTATGGCACTAGCATTACGTGTCGGACTACAAGTGCTCAATAAAAAATATATTTTGTATGCCAGCTGAATGGTGGAATTGTCGTATGAATTTAGTTGCCAAAATTGGTCATTTTGTTATTGGACGGAATAGATCCTACCTGTCATTAGATTATTATCAGGACTGGGCGATATAAGGCACACTTCACTAATGCAATGTTTGGGATATATTCTCTTTTCCGTGTTTTGCGTTGCATTGCTAGCTGTGGATTTGTTTACATTGTTTACATCAGATCCCAGACCCTACCGTGGTACCCTGCACTATATTGCATTGACATAAATATTATGAACATGTCTCGATCGTCATCTATTTGATAGTGCCTTAATTGTTAATTCCTTGCAATTTCGGTAGGATTTCTGTTTGTCTATGTAATAAATGAAATGGGATTGAACGTCCCACTCCCACTGACTTAATGAAGACGGACATACGCCATACAGTGCTATGAGGAAAATTTTGCCCGGACAGCGGCGCTACAACCTACTCTTTTATATCGAATTCCAAGTGCCAAGGGCACGTGATCTTTTACGTGCACGCCAATGTGTACAAGGGACCTCGGTTTTTCGTGCCACCCGAACGACTAGACGGCTGTCCTTGTCAGGCACTCCGTCCTGCACCACTGACAAGGAGAAACCACGTCGGAAAATCCCGATGAACTTTTTCGGCCAACACCGGGATCGAACCCGCGACATCCAGGCTAGCAAGCCAGCGTCTTACTCACGTAGCCACCATGACCCCCTGTTTGTCTATCACTAACGCGGTTCGCCTGCACTAACTAACTTAATAGTGTATTGATATAAATAAAAGATGAATATATCTGGATCGTCATCTATTAAAGATAGTCGCTAGCTTTAAATCAGAAATAGTTGATAAGCAACACGTTACTGTCCTTGACGGTCTCTTATATTGATAATCTAAATATCTTCAATTATATAAGGTACTTGCCAGTGATTAAACAAACATAGTAAGATGGTCCAAATACAAATTCCAGTTTGTGTTCATCTGTGAAGGGTATAATAAGTGGATCGTTAAAATTTCTTATTGAAGACCAGAGTATATTGGATGTCACCATACTCATTCCTGTCATCACCAAGAAATAAGCCCCATATCGTAACAATACAAAGAAGAGGATATTGGATAATATCCACAAGGGAAAGGCTAGCCTGTTTAAAATAAAATATTAAACATCATAATATATTACAGATATAACATGTATTACAAGACTTGTGAATAGCATTATCTGTTAAATATATCAGAACTATTTACAACTTCAGATTAAGAATTTGCACCAGGGACCGAAAAAGTGGGTGGGGGCGTGAAGGTATTTTAAAATTTACCCTTTTCCGATCAAAATCATTGGCATGGAAATATTGGACATGCTTCTTATTTTAAAAATACAAACAAGATAATTTAAATTAATGAATATACATGTATTAATGTAATGGAAATCAAAATAATAATTACCATAAAGCTATATGGCTGTACCACCCTGCCTGTCTATAATGCCTTCCCCAACGAATACCTTCGCCATCAAAAGTGAAATACTCAGCAATCCACAGTATTGGCAGAGGAAGACCTCGAAATTGTGCAGCTCGATATTCTTGACTAAATCGACCAGCTAATTAAAGGAAAAAAAGCGATTATCATTAATTACCAAATCTTAAATAATAGGCTCTGATTAGTGGTTGGATTTCAGGGAACTAAACCTCTGCGATTTATGTACAAAAATATAATTGGCCGGATGTGTTGTTTTTGTTTTTTGGGGGGTTTGGAAAGCTTAAATGAAAGTCGGCTTTGTTATTAATTGTAATTTCATTTCAACATCGACGTGATCTTAGGACTTAAAATTTTGAACGAAAACTATAGACTATAGTGATGTTTTCCGGTTCACAAAAAGTCAAAAAAAAAAAAGAAAAAGAAAAAAGATTTTCTTATTGTAATAGGTTGAATGGCGAAATTCATTTCAATATTCCATCCCATAACTTCGTCCCACGCAGGATTATAAATCCGATGCTATCCCTGTGCCCAGTTAGGTCTAAAAGCTAAGAACCATTGCGGATAGAAAAGACAAAGAAACTCCAGAAGAACTCAAAACTTTTAGGTTAACAAGAGAAAATTCTGGTTTGAGAAATTGAAAACAACAGCCCCCGGGTTTGAATATTCACACGGCTATCGCGATAGACCCCTTTCTAGTCTCATTTAGCACAACAGCAGCAAGTACACTCAAAATCATCAGAAAACTCTATACTGATCTCCAGGAAATGTACCCGAAAATCTTCACACAGAAAAATCTAAACGACTTCCTAGTGCACAGTAAATTAGACTAAATAAAACCAGCCCTCACCCTAACCCTGAAGATATCGGTAACTAAATTCAACTAGATATAAGAATCCCTAGCCCTAATCCAATCCCCAGTATGAAACACACTAATGCGCCTCTCACCCGAGCGTCTCAATTTAATTTTATTTTTTTCTTCAGAAACCACCACCGCCAAAACAATTACCAGGGCCAGCCAGCATTGTTGTTACAAAACTTGGAAATACCACGAACTAAATTTCCATCATCCTATGTCAGTGCTTATATGTGGAGACTTAAAGATACATTATGTAAGATTTAGATAAAGAGCTGACCATTCTTGCTATAATAGCTCAAAAATAGATAATGTAAAATGAAAATATTGAAAATTTCATTCAAATTACTTCAATCTAAACCTGAGCCTAGTTATTACTGTTTGTAATTTTGACAAGATGTGTGCATAGTGGTAACCTGGGCACAGGTATATTCGAGATTTTGTGACCTGTGACGAAATCTGCAATGGTTCTTAGCTTTTAGTCTTTACCCACTATGCCAGGTTCAAGGTATAGGGGAAATAACTCCACATTATAGTCAAGAATGAAATATTGACACGGTTATAACTCGAATACTTTAAATAATATATATTAACACATATATTAAATGTACGCGGAACAAAACCCTACACGTAAAAAGAAATAAAACATGTAACTTACCAAACGGTCCGAAACCCAAACGACCTTGACGCCACTGCCAGCTAAAATGTTCATTGTAGTTGATAGTTTCATTTAACTGCTTTTCAGGTACACCTTTAAACAATAAAAGAAAATGTACCTAGTTTGGTCAATTAATTAAAAAGTGATTGTTGTTCTTTGGGCGACGTTCTTCGAAAGAAGTACCAAGGCTCCGGCAATTCTTGTATGATCGACATAAAACTTGTCATGCTTGTTCTTTGGACAATTTTGCATTGATTGACATCTTCGATTTTTGATTGGTATGTCGTCACAATTCAAAGATGGCTGAGATGACGCAATACTCAGTTCCTGGTTCATAGTACGGTGTCATTTGTACTGAAGTTTTTAACTAACCTTTAAGGGTAATATTAATTCCTCGTAAACCAATATCAACTGTAATAGACGCATTTATTTCTCGTCCAGTACCAGCTTTGTATTTTGTAGTCGTTTCTGTATGAGCTACTTCCCAGGTCTGGGCGAAATTAGTTACTGGAGAAAATCAACATATTTTCAACATTAATATAACAGTTTTATTTCAAAACGAACGTGAATAATTTGACTCACCTAAACACCCTACAAGTTGCAGTAATGGAATGTAGGTCAGACCTCTGGTCGACATATCGAACATAAGGTATTTATGTTTGCGTATTTATATGCTATAGAGAAAATTTTTTTCGGGACAGTGGCACATTGGGGTATAATAAAGAGCCATTTATTCAAAATTTACACTACCATCTTAAACCTTAGAGAATGGAATGAGTCGTGGTTTAATGTCTCTCCCACAACACTTCCTTCATTTTAAAACAGAAATATGTTGGGGTTTTTTTTAATTGACATGGTTAGATGTGCAATGCGAGATGGGAGAATGTTCCCCAAAAGCGGCCCTTGGGTTCTTTTACGTACCATCCGAACGATTAGGCACATTTCCTTTTCAGTTGATGAATCACTACCCCTGACAAGTGAAGACCGGGATTAAAAAATTTCAAACGTTTTTCTCGGCACACGCTGGTATTTGAACCAGTGACAGCCGAGAGTCTGCTACCCCGATCACTGCAAGACTACAACTACAACGTCTCCGTAACAAAGTTGAACACTATATGAACTTACATAGAATTACTGATCCAATATACAAGCTAACCACAATCCTGATAAACGTGAATAATTTCTGAAGAAAAACAACATAAATATATAACATATATATAGGCCTATATATACAGGCATGCAATGTGAAATTTACCCAATACAAAGCGGAAATTTACTCCTGATATTCATAATAACAAGCCAACAATGAGGCTGGTGTCCCCCGCCATAATCCGAAAATAAATAGATGGCACATATTAAATATGTGAACATCTATCTTTTTTAAAAGTATTAAACTAATTATCAATACTTAGACTAAGCATAAAATGTTCACGATCAAATTATGTCAAGGTTTTGAAGTACCTGGTAGTGAAACTATACACTAAGTTTCATCCCTCTCCATCACTTAAAATCAAAGTTATCTGGTCCCAAAGCATCAACCAATGAAATTGCTTAGCTCTGCTTAGCTTTAGCGGGAAATGTTAATCGTTGAACTCAAACAAGACATTCACCTAACGAACATCTACATCAAGTTTAAACAATCTACCTCAATTACAAGCTGAGCTGTTATGTTCCAAAGTTGTTATTGCTTATCGCTACTTAAAGATACATTATGGGAGATAAGATAAAGAGATGGCAGTTCTCGCTATAATAGTTAAAAACTAGATAGTGTAAAGGTAATTTGCTGAAAATGTCAGTCAAATTGATCCACTATGAGCCGAGAAAGAAGCGGGTGAAATTTTTGCATAGTCTCGGTCATCATTACTAAAATCATTAATATAAACAGCATAGTCTCGATTATCCACTTTTTTAAATTTAATTATCAGCGGCCGTTAGCGGCATTTAGGAATCTAATCCAGCCAACATCGAAGGCTAGCCTTGACATCGAGAGTTTATTATGGTCTGGATAAGTTAATTAATGTCTAATTGATAATTTAGATAACATTTCAGGCCTAAAGAAAGACTTGTAATAAGCAGATTTTGCTCTTGCATAATGCATGTTTAACCTAAGCAGAAAATTCTAATCATCAAACTTACTCAAAGTATTGGTGACTCTATAATTGAAGTTTCATGGCTCTCAGAACTACAGTTCTCGTGTTCCAAGGTCTCGGCCAATCACATTGCCTATCTCTGCTTCGCTTAAGTGGAAAATGCGCATGATGAAATCATCTCACTTAATTAAAACTAAAGTTATCGTGTCCCAAAGCATCAACCAATCAAATTGCTTATCTCTGCTTACCCTAAGCAGAACATGCTCATCTTCGAACTCCGCGAAGACCTTGACCTGATAAACACCTACATCAAGTTTGAACATTCTAGCTCAATTAGAAGGAGAGTTATTGTAATTGTGTCCCAAAAAGTGTAACTGACAGACAGACAGACAGGTGGACAGACCCATTTTAATAGTCTCCAGCTTTCTTCGAAAGGCGAGGGACCAAAGCCCAGCTTAACTGGAACGGGGTCCTGGGTCTGAATAGAATCGCGGGGCCCCTATCGCGACGAAAAGATTATTTCATATCCTTTTGAAGGTTGAGGGATAGCCCATGTCTCTGCCCTCGCGCCGCTATAGATCGATTACCGTGAAACTTTCATCTGGAATTTGATTTTTTCTCTTTTTGCCATGAACCGTGGGGCCCTGTGCCTGGGCCCCTCTGGCCCATGCCTAAGCTGAGCTTTGCGAGGGACAATAAAAAGTTACATAATTATATAACTGACCTGGGCATATAGGCGTACGAGCCAGGGGGGCAGGGGGGGTGGCTGCTGCCCCCCTAACTTTCGGGCAAGCTGAATTTTCGGGCAGACGGGTAAAGTGAAAAAAAAAAAATTTATTTCATCTATTTGGCAAAAATAAAGCTCCCGAAATCTAATAAAACACTAATTTTACGGGCTGGAATAGCACTAAAACGCACTTGCGACCGTCAGATATTCCCAAAATTTTTTGGGGGGTCCATACAAGGTCAGCACCGCTTCTTCGCCTCTCGGAGAAAACCGGCGCCGCTGTCTGTAAACCTGAAATTTTTGGGGGCATTTCTAGTTTTGCTTCCCTAACTGTCATCGATCCCTAATAAAACACTAATTTTACTTTTCTTTTAATTGAATACAACGCATTTGTACTGAGTTGACTATGGATTAAAACAATTTGTCTAGAGCCACTCTTCTTTGTGCGACATTTTTCTTGCATCGATTATTATTTGTGAATGCAACTGCAACAGTCTGATTGGATGGTTGGAATTCAGAATGGGATTTTGGTTACAAAACCATTGGATACTTTTGGAGCTGCTTTCACGGGCTAGAATAGCAGAAAACGATCCCTAATAAAACACTAATTTTACTTTTCTTTTAATTGAATACAACGAATTTGTACTGAGTTGACTATGGATTAAAACAATTTGTCTAGAGCCACTCTTCTTTGTGCGACATTTTTCTTGCATCGATTATTATTTGTGAATGCAACTGCAACAGTCTGATTGGATGGTTGGAATTCAGAATGGGATTTTGGTTACAAAACCATTGGATACTTTTGGAGCTGCTTTCACGGGCTAGAATAGCAGAAAACGCATTTGCGGTGGTTAAATTTTCAAAATTTTCTCTGGGAGGGTGAGGCCCCCATACCCCGCGACGATTGATTGGTTGTTTGGAATTCGGGTCAGCCAGGTAGGCTATATTGGACCGAATTGAAGTTGCTGTATTCACAGGCTGGAATAACAGGAAAACGCGTTTGCGGCAGTTAAATTTTCAAAATTTTTTCCCAACGGTTGATCTTTTGGTTGGAATTCGAGTCAGCCATTGTAATTAGGTTATATTAGACCACATTGAAGTTGCTTGTTCACGGGCTGAAATAGCAGGAAAACGTGTTTGCTGCCGTCAAATATTCCAAAATTTTCTTGGGGTGGGGGCGTACAAGGTAAGCTCCGCTTCTTCGCCTCTCGAGGAAGACCGGCACCGAAATTTTTTCGGGCATTTCGGGTTCTGCCCCCCTAACTGTCATCGAGCCCGTACGCCTATGCCTGGGCATTTTATTAAAAATAGTTTGTTGCTTTTTCTTTTAATTTTGTTTTTAGAAATTACTCTGCGAACCGAAAATTAAAAACAAAACCTGTTTTTAAGCACATTATAATGAGTAATTTTATTTTCTAAATCATGTAATTCTAAATTGCTTGTCATAGATGACAAATAGTCGTCTATTGGGACTTCCGTGGTCGAACATCCTGTTACGATACTCGACCTAAAGATAAGTTCAAAACACAAAGGCTTCATTCAATTTAAAGCACGGTTTCGTGACCGTATAGTTCGTATACAACTTCAAATTACATGTGGATTTTCTCAATGCACTAACCGATTGTCCCGAATCATCAGCGATCGATTCTCATTAAACGCTAAGAGATAATCTAAATATAATTCAAACAAGCGTTAAGATTTATAATGTGCTTATTTAAAGGGGCATTGTGGGAGATTAGATAAATAGTTAAACAATGATTAAATCATGAATGGACATCGAACAGCAAATTGGAACCTAATCTAAGAAACATCTCAGGCTAGCGATGACATCGAGAGTTGATTATGGTCTAGATAAGTTAATTAATGTTTAATTAATAATTTAGATAACATTTCAGACCTAAAGAAAGACCTGCAAATAGGCAGATTTAGCTCTTGCATAATGTATGTTTAATAATTAGATAATATTTCAGGCCTAAAGAAAGACGTGCTTTAGGCAGATTTAGCTCTTGCATAATGTATGTTTAAACATTTGGTGTGCCTGATAACCAAATGAAATTAAATGATTTAGAATGAGATTTATAACGAAAACGGATATACCCCATGCTGTACGTTATGAGGGAAATTTTGTCCTGACAGCGGCGCTACGGCCTACTCTTATTTGGAATTCCAACTGTCAATGGTTCGTTTACATGCAGGCCTACGTCAAAGTGTGCACAGGACATCGGCGTCCGTCCAATCCAAAGACACTGGTCCTTGTCAGGCCTTCCGCCCTGCACCAGTGATAGGGGTAACTCTCGGGGAACTTCTCCGGCCAACACCGAGACAAATACGTTGATTTTAGGGTCGGATGATGACCGCCAAAGTTTATAATTGAAAAGTTATTTCATTTGTAAATATTTAATCTAAGTATATGTGGTCTAAATCATCTATCTAAAGGCGATAACTATTATGTTTCGCATAAATTTTCTTCCAAATAACCCAATGCAAATGTTTAATTCTTGTTATTTCTCTTTAACTTTTTTTCCCTTTTAAAACAGTGTATGTAGCCCAACAGGCGCCTGTAAAGTATAATATCTAAAGTCTAATCAGGTCCTGGCTTTAAAGGAATAAATTTAATACTAGACTGACCTCTTTCCCTTTAATACCTGGCAGTATAACAAAAAAGGAGAATGCTAATATGACAATACAAAATATGAGACCAGACTCTACCAAGTCGGCTACGAATGGTGTTTTATTGGGTGCGTAGAACGTGGGTGCCCCATTTTCCCTGAACGCAGAAAACAACCCCATTTTCTTCACTGACACCGATCTGAAATATATATATATATATATATATTAAAAAAAGTTACTTTTAAAATCACAAGATAATTATATATATATAAATAATTTTGACGGATTTTGTTGCAATATTTCCGTTATTAAAACCCCAAAATAATTTTCTTTTTCTGTTGGGCTTAGAAGATCCGTAACCAAAGGGTTATATTTGTGGATAGATTGCAATGGAGTGCAGAGGTTTAGTGATGTCCCGGACAACTCCATGATTGTGTACTCGAGTATTGAGATATGTGAGAAAGGAAGACATTTAATATGTCAAAACATATGACATAAACTTTGTATTCATTGACAACTTGTATAACAAAATTAATTTTAGATTGAATTTTTTTAAAATTTAACTTCACTCTTTAATTTGATACCCTCGCTGACATGGATGTCCGGAGCCGCCACCCGCTCTGCCCCTTTCTTAAACGCCACAGATTCAAGATAAAATATCATAACAGTAATTCATTTACAGGCCGGGAAACGCTCCTTGTGACAAGTTATATCTCTGTTGAACAAGGAAGTTACTCATGTATTCGTAGCTTGTATATCTTTAGAATAAATGGGTCTTCACAAACAGGAAGACTCCTATATATATATATATATATATATATATATATATATATATATATATATATTTAAGAACATAATTACAAATTTAAACTGACAATACGTAAAATATTCTATTTGTTGTATAGCGCTATATAACGCTCTGACAAAATCAGCATGGCCGTAAAATTATGACATTAAATATAAACGTATTCATTTACATATAATACCTTTACAATTAGACCTATGTACGGTGAATACATGCATAACGGAGACCTCCATAAGAGCAATAATATATTATGGACAGTCTGTAAAATACATATGATTCGCATTTCAAAACATAGACGCGAGTTTGCCATGCACCGAAATACGCCCCCAGCTGCCATCGATCCGTTCAATTTCTCCATAAAAAAAGAAATATAAATCTTTGAAACGGATTAACGCTGATAGGCTAATAACGAGAGGCCTAAATGAATTTGTTCCGTATTTTGGTCAGTTAAAAATAAAAAAGGAATCTGTAAAGGTATAAAATCTGTGTAAGTTTGGTTGAATAATTTGAGTAAAATTTTTGTTATTTCACTTTCACTATTTTTGTCCACAATGTGTAGCCTATTACTTTGGTCCTTAATACCATAGTGTATCTTTAATTATTGGTTAACTCTTTCTATAGAGTCAAATCCCACGTACTAATGAAAGTAAATGAATGACATGTTTCTATTCCATATTTGGGAAGGAAATTAACGCGAATGTCAGTCTATAACGTTTAGAAATGGGGTTATAAAAGAAAGTGTTGAGCGAAATTGATCAGAGCTCACCCAGATATTTCGAGCAGCCATCATCTATGCTTTATTGAGAATGAGGGACCTTCGAAGCGCATCGAGTTTAACAATAAAGTTGTAGAAACCATATATCTGTAGTTTTATTACGATCACGAAGAAAACACGAGGAAGTCCGATATTACTTCAAATGTGCGTTTTATTACAGTAACGGGACCATGGTGGGCCAGTAAGGTGCCGGATTGTTGGCAAAGTCCGTTTTTCTGGAATTTAAAATTCGTTTCACATTGTCAGCGGGAAGGGCGTGGCAACCAATCGCGTCTAGTCCCTCGGTGGGACCCAGAACCCTTGGCATTTGGAATTCGATGAAGTGCGGAAACGCCACTGTCAGAGCAAAATTTTCCTGATGGTACACTGCATTTCGTATGCCTGTCTTCATGATCCCGCTGGGGTAAAGGAACAGAAACCCCATTTGTTTTCATTTTGTTTATTATTTATACAAAATGACGTCACATAATATACGGTACCCTGCAGAGAGTATAGGAGATTTTGTACCATATACCCATCTATACATATATTAAAGTAGATAAAGTACAAGTACGTCTATGTTATAGCTGAGTGCATCAGCAATATTTACTTTATTTTCTTTCATTTTAGGCGCATTGATGGACTACGTTCTATCATATAAAAGAGCAGACATATAAAAACCTTTTCGTGTAGACCACTGATCACATTGTGTGCACTCTATTTCATCATCACCATCATCACCAGCTTAGGTAGATTAAATGAAATGAAATGTGGTTTAAAGTACTATACTTTTCTGCACCGACTGGGCTAATGAAGACGGGAGCAAAGATTAATCGATAATGTTGATATCTCATCAAACTGAAATGGCAGTTTAACTTCCTCCTTGATCAAGACATTGGGCCTATTAAACATTCTAACTATAGTAATTGTACTTTGTATGAGTGTAAACAAGGCCATTGGATCTAGTTCTTTTCTCTCTGAGCCAACAAAAATGTCGCGGTTTAAACGATCGAAATGCAAATTATTAATACTTACCCAAAAGTGACCAGTTGCCAAAAAACGATAGAATATGATAATCAAACCGAACAGAACTTATCTAGATGATAGTATATTCAATTCTATCCTGTTTCGCCCATCACGTGACATTTGCTAATTTACTTCCCCATTCTTCATCTATGCCTATTATATTATATATCTATTATAGGATCATACATACACATTTATATCAACATGAAATACATAGCGTTATATCACATTGTATTGCAATCTATATATTAAATAGCGGGGCAGGATTTACCTACTAAGGGACTATTAGCAAATCCGGCCCAGTTAAATTGGCTGTATAATTTACAATTTCTGAAAAGATGCGTCGTCCTTAACGAATGATTGCAGGGAATTTTAATTGGATTTGGTAAAACTTTCCATCGCTAAGGCTTCCGACAGTATTGTATAGCAGTATTACCAAATAGGCTATATATATTTAAAATTGGTAAAAAAAAAAAAAAAAAAAAAAAAAGCCTGTCTCGTCCAGGGAGTTTTCATTGAATTCGGTGACACTTCCATGGATGTGTACACAAAAATTAAAATGTGCGAGTCCATAGTAGCGTCATTGCATGGCTTTGCGCATTTAAATATATACTTTTATTTTATTGACTTGGAGTTAAAATTTTTACTTGAAAAATTTGGTTATTGGCGAGTAAAATGATTAATCATATATCTGATAAGAAAATATCGTGCGGTGTGTTCAACTACAATTATATAGGTAGATACATATTAATATATTTTCATGTGTTAAATATGTATCACAAATACCTATAAAAATAATAAAACGTGCGCTGAGTAAATCCATTCGTGCCATTACATTTTCAAACGTACGATTCATTTATAGATGCAATGTTCCCGGGAATTGGAAATCGAAAAATTATAAGTTATTCCATACCGGAAGCTAGATTCTTTGTTCTTTGGAAGCGAAAATTTGACTGGCATACTCACAGCACTTTTGAGTTGGTGTCTTACAGTTCTGCCTGAAATTAATCGAGCTAGACGTCATCTTATTAGTGAATTTCCTATTTCTGTGATTTTACCGTTTTCCTACCATGTCTCATACAATCTTCGAGGCTTTGCGCAACTAAAATTATCTTCAAACGCATAATTCTCAAACATATCGCAGTTTGTATTGAAATAAGTAATTATATCACAGTTTTTCTTGGTGGTAATGCGTTCTACATTTTCGAAGAGATATTTCTAATGATGTACAGAGCGCCAGGACATATAACCTGATCAGCAGTGAATATTCGCTAGGCCGCTAAAATCACTGAGACATGACATGCATATGGGTGTGAGTTAATTAGCTTAAAATATTAACTTTTTTCCTTCTGCAAATTAAATTCTAAAACATTTTTTTGTTTGAAGTAGATCTATTACAGAAAAATAAATAAAGTTTTCTGAAGTATATCTGGATAAAAAATAATTCATATCTACTGTAAATGGGTACATAAAATAAAATAGTGCGCGAAGGCATTAAAAGGCACCATTCTGCCTGGACCAGTTTACGTTACTACGTCTTATGTAAACAATGTTTGAGCTATCGAATATCGATGTCGTGTAATGTGACGTCAACGTAGAATGGATTTAAACTTATAAATCATTCTATGGTTTCGGAGACATCTTGTAAGGAGCAAATAAAAACATATCTTACAAGACAGAGTGGAAGTACTTAGTAAAGGTTGATTCACAAAAATTGAAAAAAAATCACTTAACATCCATTCATAATACATTAATAGGCATATTATGTGCTTTTAAAACCATTTTCGTTTAGTTCATGTGGGCTTACAGTACAGTTTGGGTTATAGGCCAATACAAAACATGTACAAAGGAAGTCGTCAGCCCTTTGAGCCACCCACGCCTACTGTGGCTAGAGCAAGGCGTGAAGTCATCAGTTAGTGGACCCATTTCTACATCTTCCCCTACATCCGAAATACTTCAATGCCCCTTAAACTTCAATTCTTTGGAAAACAATTCTGTTTATTACTGAACGGCGTAAACGATAGGCCTCTAGGCCTATCAGGCAAATGGTAGGAAATGAAATGGGGTTTAACGTCCTATTGTTCTGCACCGACTGGGCTAATGAAGACGGGCATACGCCATGTAGTGTGCATGAGAGGGAAATGTTGTCCGGACAACCGCGCTACAGCCTACTCGTATTTCGAATTCCAACTGTCAGGGCTCTCTTTTTTATGCATGGCAACGTGTGCACGGTACCTCTGTTTTCCGTCCCATCGGAACGACTCTACGATGCACCGTCCTACACTACTGGTAATTACGAACAACGCAGAGAAACCCGATGAACTTTCTCGGCCAACTTTCTCGAACACGAGACATCTAGGTTAGTAAGCCAACGTCTTACTCACTGAGGCACAGCAAATGTTACTACAAATGTATAACAAAGCGTTGCTAGGCAACGAATATTGCCATACTTTTTGAAGGAAAAGACATATCTTTGATTAACTTGGCGTCCCACCCCCGTGACACGACCGCACTACATTTTATTGGTAGTAGGATACTATATAGGCAGCTGAACTAGTGCACCCGCGGACTATTGAGCATTCCCCGACAGGCAATGGATGTAGGCGACATTTAACTAACTTTTTCGGTTTTGCGGACCCAATAATTAGTTCAATTAGCACGGTGATTTCTGTAAATCATGATGAAATGTTTTAGAAAAAAAATCGCTTCTCTGTATCCGAAAATGATAAGCGTCGTCATTTGAGTGGTTATAAAACAAATGAAGAATGGGACAACATACTTTGTCGTTTTCAAAATCGTTTCTGCTTTTGCCTACAAAAATCTATGACCAAAGACTGTCCGCCTGCTACTGGTTAGTATTTAATAATCAAAGGGAGACTACTGCGGTCAAATTGACAGAGTTACCCTTATTTGATAAATCGGTCAAGTTTGTTATTGAACTTTTGTACGAAGTATTTATCAGGAATTCCACGTAGTTGAGTTTTGTGCTGCGGTCATTTTGTCATAACGGTAAAAGACGTAAATTATTCATGTAGTGCTGTACTGTATTGCAACACTGTATCCATTTGGTGCCACACAGTTTTGACGTTATATTTATTAATGTGAGATATATTAGTGAAATGAAATGAAATGGGGTTTAATTTAAAGTCCTACTGTTCTGCTCCTATAGCCTACTGGTCTAGTGAAGACGGGCATACGTCATACAGCGTGTTATAAGGTAAATTTTGCCTGGACAGCGGCACCATAGCATACCCTTGTATTGAATTCCAACTGTCAAGGGATTTTTTACTTGCACGCCAATGTGTCATGGTAAGGTACCTCGGTTTTTTGTCCCATCCGAAGGACTGGATACAGCTCTCCTTGTCAGGCCCTCCGTCCTGCATCACTGACAAGGGGGAGCCACGCCGGAAAATCTGGATGAACTTTTTCGACCAATGCAGGGATTGAACACCTGACCTCTAAGCTAGCCACTGTGACCCCCGATGTTTGTCTACTTGAAACAGTGGCATAGCATGTGTGGACTTGTTAATAAATAATTATGTCGGCCCCTTCTCCTTTATGCTTGTTAAATAAAAACTAAATGATTAAATGTATATTTCAATCTAATCACCTTTATTAGGAAATTTAACCAAATTTAGTAAAATAGACTGAAATTATGAATTACATTGTTGTGACGGCTACAAAAGTGTCACAGTTGCTAAGAATGATTTCTCTAAGTTTTAATTCCTTGAACATTAAAACCAAAATAAGGACTGCAGACTATAGTTTCAAGGCAGATTCTCTTTAGATTAACCCTTGTGCACAAACCCTGGGCAGCCTTCCATCTGTCTTTTTCTTTGGAGAATTTCCAATAAAGATGTTTGTCAAAACATATTATTGTAAATATACTGAGCACCATGGAAAACGCCTCACTTTTTTTTCCCAAATATTTTATTACTAGGTGGTTTTATATGTATAATATTATGCAATACTATGAACTATTGTTTCACACAATGCTCCCAAACGCAAAAAAAATCGGCCTGTGTGCCAAAAAAAAAAATTGCACGAGATGCACACGAAAAACCCAATATTCACGTGCAGCATTGTGTGTGAGCCTTTTAAAAGCATGTTTTCAACTTAATGTGCAGTACATGAACTGTGAAACGTCAGTCTGTCGTAATTTTTTGTTGGATGTGTGATTGAATCGAGCTAGAGATGCCGAGACTTACTGAAAATCAACGGAATGAAGCCATGGGAATGTCCAGGGCTGGCATGTCTACACGTGCTATTGCCAAACACTTCAATTGTCATCAGTCCACTATTGTAAGGTTGGTGGAACGTGTTCGAGTTACTGGATCAACACGTGACCGTCAACGTTCTGGTCCACAACGCGTTACAACCCAGGCTCAAGACCGCTACATCCGGGTCACTCATCTGCGTGACAGATTCCGCCCAGCGACTCGAACAGGTGCAGCAGTCGTCGGAAGACAAGGACCAGTAAGTGCCAACATCGTAAGACGTCGTCTAAGAGAAGTAGGACTCCGTGCACGACGACCTTATGTTGGAGCTATCCTCAGGGATCATCACCGTCGGCAGCGTTTGATATAGGCTCAAGGACACCAGACATGGACAAGAGTAGACTGGCAAAGTGTGCTCTTCAGTGATGAGAGTCGCTTTCATCTTTATCACGCTGATGGCCGTCAACGTGTGTGGAGACTTCTTGGGGAACGTCTTGCAGACTGCTGCGTCTTCGAAACGAATAGATGGGGTGGGGGAAGTGTAATGGTGTGGGGAGGCTTCACATTTCATCAACGGACCGCCCTACACATTTGCAGGGGTCGCGTTAATGCTGTAGCCTACCGTGATGATGTCTTGCAACAAATTGTTGTTCCCATGTTTCGAGCGCACCCACAACTTCAGCACTTCCAACAGGATAATGCACGTCCGCATACCGCCTGTTTAAGTATGGACTACCTGGCTGCTAACAACATCAATGTTTTGGACTGGCCAGTCATGTCTCCGGACATGGTACCGATAGAACATGTCTGGGATGAGATTGGACGCCGTCTGTATCGGAGACCACAGATGCACACCATTGCTGCTTTAGAAGCTGCTCTTGTTCAAGAATGGAACAATTAGACCCAGGCCTTCTTTCAAACATTGGTAAATTCCATGCGATGTTGCTGCACAGCGTGCGTAAGAGCCCGTGGAGGACACACGCGCTACTGACATCTGTATCGTACTTTTGGTTTTGACCCCTCTGACTTTATACCGTTGATTACAGATTAAACATCCATAAGTGTACAAATGTGTTGTTATTGATGTGTTCCCATTTGAATATTGTTCACAATAAGAAGCAAAATAAATAAGATATGTTTACAGGATCATTTTGTTATACGAAAAACTAAGTGATGCGTTTTCCATGGCGCTCAGTATATAAAGCCTTGACAGCTTCATTAGATCTGTTGTGGATATCTTTCCACAACTTTGGAAAACCAGCATTAAGTTCTACTCTGGTTCAAAAACAATTTATACTGCAAGATAACTGCATAAAGACAGTTTTTATACGCCCACATTTTCATGTGGACGTATTATGCCGTCCGTCCACAATTGTTTGTGGACTCTCTACAGGTTACAATTCTTATCCGATTTTGACGAAACTTGAAATATAGATTTATCCCCAAAAGATCTCGGCTGCTTTCGATATTGGCATGTATCGGATCGAAACTTCATGGATTATGGCCCCTGATTGTACGAAAAATCACGTTTTTAGATTGTGGACCCTATAGAGGTCACAATTTTTATCCCATTTTTTTGAAACTTGAAATGTAAGTTTATAACCCAAAGATCTCGGTTCATCTCGATATCCGCGCATATCGGACCGTAACTTCCTGAATTATGGCCCCTGATTGTACGAAAAATCGCGTTTTTAGCTTGTGGACCCTATAGAGGTCATAATTTTTATCCGATTTAAAAAAACGTATTATTATATCACCGTTACACCCTAAGGAAGGTTGAGTTCGAATCTCGTGAAAATCGGCCTAAAATTAACAGACAAAATGGCCGCCATTCATTCTCAAATAGCATAAAAATATGGTATATCAAGGTTGTGGACCCTATAGAGGTCACAATTTTTATCCGATTTTGTTGAAAATTGAAATATAAGTTTATAACCCAAAGATCTCGGTTCCTTTCGATATTCGCGCATATCGGACTGTAACTTCCTGAATTATGGCCCCTGTTGTACGAAAAATCACATTTTTAGCTTGTGGACCCTATAGGGGTCATAATTTTTATCCGATTTAAAAAATCGTATTATTATATCACCGTTACACCATAAAGAAGGTTGAGTTCGAATTTCGTGAAAATCGGCCCTAAATTGACAGACAAAATGGCCGCCGTTCGTTCTCAAATAGCGTAAAAATATGGTATATCAAGGTTGTGGACCCTATAGAGGTCACAATTTTTATCCGATTTTTTTAAAACTTGAAATGTAAGTTTATAACCCAAAGATCTCAGTTCCTTTCGATCTTCGCGCATATCGGACCGTAACTTCCTGAATTATGGCCCCTGATTGTACGAAAAATCACGTTTTTAGCTTGTGGACCCTATAGAGGTCATAATTTTTATCCGATTTAAAAAAACGTATTATTATATCACCGTTACACCCTAAGGAAAACTGAGTTCGAATTTCGTGAAAATCGGCCCTAAATTGACAGACAAAATGGCCGCCATTCGTTCTCAATCAGCGTAAAATTATGGTATATCAAGGTTGTGGACCCTATAGAGGTCACAATTTTTATCCGATTTTGTTGAAACTTGAAATGTAAGTTTATAACTCAAAGATCTTGGTTCCTGTTGATATTTGCGCATATCGAATTGTAATTTCCTGAATTATGGCCCTTGATTGTAGGAAAAATCACTTTCTTGTTAGCTTGTTCTCTATCCATCTCTCAAAAATTGTAGGAAAAATCACTTTCGTTTTAGCTTGTTTTCTATCCATCTCTCGAAAATGTGGGCGTATCCTGCCTGGCAGCCGCTGGTTTTAATTCAGATTTTCTTAACTTTTGATTAGTCATTACAAGGGTGTTTTCCTAACATGACCATGATAATAAATGGAATTGAGATTGAACAGAATTGATATTTTTTTTACTTCAGAACCAATGATATGTTTTAAAGTCTGCAGAAGATTGCCACTTTTCAAGAAGAGGTTTTATGATGTAAAAATCAGTTATTCTCAATTTAAAAATGTTGATTCATTTAAATTGAGTTCAGACGAAGATAAAAAGCATGCCGCACTCTATGTTCACGTATGTATGCCTATGTATTTAAATCTACATATTAACTTTATGGAATATTGAATTTATATAAAGAATTTAATGCTTGATTTAAGGTTTGTGTCCATAGTTACAGTTAGCCCTTTATTTTACCAAGAATAAATCTTTGAAAATTTGTACACTCTGTTCATAGTAAAATATTAAAGGGGCATTAGGTAAGATTACGTAAAAAGCTGACAGTACTAACTATAATAGTTAAAAAAAAAAATAGATAATGAAAAGGGAATATGTTGTAAAATTCAGTCAAATTACTTCATTCTGAGCCTAGATATTGGTGATACTATTACTGTGTAGCCTCGATTGTCATTGCTACCGTTGTTCCGATAATAAACAAAGTCTTGATTATCGATTTTAACGTTAAATCATCAATGGCAAAAAGTATTTGAATCTTCTTAATATCGTAGCATATTGACAGACAAAATGACCGCCGTTCGTTCCCAAATAGCGTAAGAATATGGTATATCAAGGTTGTGAACCCTATAGGGGTCACAATTTTTATCCGATTTTGTTGAAACTTGAAATGTAAGTTTATAACCCAAAGATCTCGGTTCCTTTCGATATTCGTGCATATTGGACCGTAACTTCCTGAATTATGGCCCCTGATTGTACGAAAAATCACGTTTTTAGCTTGTGGACCCTATAAAAGTCATAATTTTTATCCGATTTAAAAAACCGTTCTATTATGTCACTGTTACACCCTACGGATGACTGAGTTCGAATTTCGTGAAAATCGGCCCAAAATTGACAGACAAAATGGCCGCCATTCGTTCCCAAATAGCGTAAGAATATGGTATATCAAGGTTGTGGACCCTATAGGGGTCACAATTTTTATCCGATTTTGTTTAAACTTGAAATGTATGTTTATAACCCAAAGATCTCGGTTCCTTTCGATATTCGTGCATATCGGACTGTAACTTCCTGAATTGTGACCCCTGATTGTACGACATCACGTTTTTAGCTTGTGGACCCTATAGAAGTCATAATTTTTACCCGATTTAAAAAAACGTATTATTATATCACCGTTACACCCTAGGGACGACTGAATTCGAATTTCGTGAAAATCGGCCCAAAATTGACAGACAAAATGGCTGCCGTTCGTTCTCAAATAGCGTAAGAAAATGGTATATCAAGGTTGTGGACCCTATAGAGGTCACAATTGTTATCCGATTGTGTTGAAACTTGAAATGTAAGTTTATAACCCAAAGATCTTGGTTCCTTTCGATATTCGCGCATATCAGACCGTAACTTCCTGAATTATGGTCCCTGATTTTATGAAAAATTGCGTTTTTGGCTTTTGTTGAAACTTGAAATGTAAGTCTATAACCCAAAGATCTCGGTTCCTTTTGATATTCGCGCATGTCGGACCGTAATTTCCTGAATTATGGCCCCTGATTGTACAAAAAATCGCGTTTTTAGCTTGTGGACCCTATACAGGTCATAATTTTTATCCGATTTAAAAAAACATATTATTATATCACCGTTACACCCTAAGGACGACTGAGTTTGAATTTCATGAAAATCGGCCCAAAATTGACAGACAAAATGGCCGCCGTTCATTCTCAAATAGCGTAAAAATATGGTATATCAAGGTTGTGGACCCTATAGAGGTCACAATTTTTATCCGATTTTGTTGAAACTTTAAATATAAGTTTATAACCCAAAGATCTCGGTTCCTTTCAATATTTGCCCATATCGGACCGTAACTTCCTGAATTATGGCCCCTGATTGTACGAAAAATCATGTTTTTAGCTTGTGGACCCATTAGAGGTCATAATTTTTATCCGATTTAAAAAACCGTATTATTATATTACCGTTCCACCATAAGGACAGTTGAGTTTGAATTTTGTGAAAATCGCCCCAAAATTGACAGACGAAATGGCCGCCGTTCGTTCTCAAATAGCGTAAAAATATGGTATATCAAGGTTGTGGACCCTATAGAGGTCACAATTTTTATCCGATTTTGTTGAAACTTGAAATGTAAGTTTATAACACAAAGATCTCAGTTCCTTTCGATAAATGCGCATATCGAAGTGTAATTTCCTGAATTATGGCCCTTGATTGTAGGAAAAATCACTTTCTTGTTAGCTTGTTCTCTATCCATCTCTCGAAAATGTGGGCGTATCCTGCCTGGCAGGCGCTGGTTTTATTTTGTAACGATTTAATGCTATGAATTTAATTCAAATTGTTGTTTTGTTTTTTTTACAGTGGCCTTATTGTAGAAAAAGATGTCCATATTGTAATTTTAACAAATACATCAAGTAAGAGCTCATTTTTTACGTATTTAATTTTGTCCTCAATGAAGTCAAATTAAAATGCATGGTAAATTTTCGATTTTTATTAACTGGCATTTAGAATTTTGGGCCTATTCATGAAAACCTCTTGTGTGTAATCACTTGTGCCACGTAGATAGGTATTTACGTAGGTTAATGTGCGTTGTGTGAGTGTCAGTGGTTTGGTGACGTAAAGGTACCACAGTGGTGTTGAAAATGTTACCTAAATCTGTGTTACTGCCAAGGTGACGCAAATAGTAACGCTATAGAAATATATGAATATTTATATTTTGTGAGTAATGCAGTGCTGTGAGATGTGACACATGCGATACCACAGTAAATGTGTCAAGTTTGTGTAGCCTTTTATGACAACTGATGGGCAGAAACAATGATGGCATTGTAAATCAGTATTTATCTATTGCAGTGAAGATGTAAATGAAGAGCGTATGAAGAATTGTTTAACCAAAGAATTAGATACATTGTTAGAAAAAAGCTGTATCAACAAACTGACAACTGTTTTTTTTGGTGGGGGTAAGATTGTATTCTTAAATATCAAAGTTATACTGAGGTGTTAAATAAACTTACAACTGTATATTTGGTGATGGTAAGATTGTATTCTTAAGTTATGCTTTGTCAAATACAAGTTATTTATTTAATATATTGTGGATTTATTAGACAGTTTTAGTCCCCAGAAATGTAGTAATTAAACTTTACAGATCCTATTTTCTTTCATTCGTTTTATTGTTAAAATTGCTTTTTATTTGCCTTTATAACAATAGGATATGTGATGTTGGTGATTAGCCGATGAAATGGTCTGTTTAAACCAGCCCGGTATGAGGTGTGCAAAGAATTATGGGAGTCACCTATAAAGCAGTGGGAGCCACTGTGGCTCAGTAATTAAGGCGCTGGATCTATAACCAGGACTTCAGGGGTTGGGCCTAAAGTTCACCAGGAAAGTACCTCAGAATTTTCCTGTGTGGTTTCACCTGGTCATTAGAGACGGACGAAGGCCCTGAAAACTAACAGTGTCTAGTTATTCAGATGTCGAGTCCTGTGTATGTGTTGCTGTGCATGTAAAAGATCTGACATCTGGAATTCGAAATAAGTGTAGGCTTTATATTTTGAAGGCACACCTAGTTTAGCCAGTCCTGATACTGTTAAAGCTGTAATAGATAGAGCGAAATCTCACGGAAACCTAGATCAAGATGCAGAAATCACTATTGAAGTGAATCCAACTGACATAGAGGCAAAAAAATTAAGGTATGTTTTATATCTCACTTATTCAATTAGAATTAGACATATTTATAATAATTCTTAACCTATTTACATCAAACAATTCACAACACAAGGTATATATATGGATATAATTACTTCTATTATTTAATAACCTTGTTATATAACACCATCCATCCGTAAGGTAACTTGGATTAATTGTCACATTAATGTTTACATCTTTCTCTTTTAAAGTCTGTGTGTCGTTTACAGTTTTGTAAAATATCAATTTTTTCATGGCTCAATGTATGCCATAATGTACATTGACTTCAACAGATTATTTAAGATTCAATTAGGAAAACATGGCAGCGAATTATTGAAAAAACAATTATACCATATGTTAGTCCCGAAATTACCTAGTTTATGTTGAATGGACATGAAACTCTTCCATTTTTAAAGGTTCAACTTTCAAAATATTGTAGTTTGCATGGTACAAATGACATTCAGAGACTATAATCAATTTTTTAAATTTTTATTAGGGCCTTTAAGGATGCAGGTGTGAATAGGATCTCAGTTGGACTTCAGGTATACAATATTTAATAATAGTCCAAGTATTAGGGCTGGCAATCGATCCTGTTTCAAGTATCGATTATCGCGGACCATCCGCTGATCGATAATCAATAATAATATCGGCAAATTATTCTGACTTACAATTGTTGAATTGGTTTGAAAACAATCATAATTTGTACATGAATTATATGCGAGTTTATGCTGTGATATCATTCTGTATACATGTAGAATTTTTTTTTTCCCGTTAATTTGACATTTGACAATAAAATAATAGCATTCCATAGCAAAACCAAGGTGTAGAAAGAAACTCAATCAACTTCGTTTGGAAGACAGAACCCGCCACCACTCGCCATATCTTTGTCGCTTATGACCTGAATAATACTGAGTAAAATGTAGTTATTTCCCTTTGATCACATCAAACAAATTCTTCAGTTCGCCGTAACAGTTTATTTCTTGCAGTGATTTCTTCGCACTGTGGAAATTAAAAATCTCCTCTTCAGACATTTCTTCGCAAGATTCTTAATAAATTAATAAATTTTATAAAGGGAAAGTACGTGTTTGACTTAGAAACAGATAAGACGAAAGAACTGAAGAGTTAAAATAAGGGACACTACTGGATGTTATGTGAAACCATTGGCTCTCATCATGACATAAGCGGTCAACATTTCTCACCGGTTGCGTCTTGCGTGAAAAAAACCCAACAAATGTGTGTGTTTTATTATGACTATTCTGTTTAATTACAGTTCTAGGCCCAAGCACGCATTGCAAAGAATACAGTGATGAGGATTATTTTTATGGACTTCTTCTTGCAAGTGAAGTACCTATAATTGCGCGATAATCGATATTTTAAAACTGTATCAATAATCGATTTACAAAACACTTACCGACGATTATCGGCAATTATCGATTATTTCCGCCAGCCCTACCAAGTATACAATATTTAATAATAGGCCAGTTATAAGGCCATAACAAAAAATACTCTGGTTTGAGACAATCCTTCCCAAAAATCGGATGCAGCAGGAAATGTTGTTATTTTGTCAAAGAATCAAGGCAATATATTTATCTCATCATGTTGTATGATTATCCAGTATTATTTATTTCTGTAGCCAGAGAAATATATATTTGTGCTGTAATTAATGAAACTGTTTTTATATTTAAAATAAAAATAAATCACACAGCCCTATTTAAGTGGTAAAGGAGTATCTGATACCCAGAATATATTTTTTATAAGTCAAGATAGATAATTTAGGGGTTTGTAAAGTGCTTAAATTACAACACATATTTATGCATGCAAAGCATATAAACAGTTTTTATACGCCCACATTTTCATGTGGACGTATTATGCCGTCGCCCCTGTCCGTCCGGACGTCCGTCTGTCTGTCTGTCTGTCCGTCCGTCCACAATTTGTTTGTGGACACTCTACAGGTCACAATTCTTATCCGATTTTAAAGAAACTTGAAATATAGGTGTATCTCCAAAAGATCTCGGCTACTTTCGATATTGGCATGTATCGGATCGAAACTTTATGGATTATGGCCCCTGTTTGTACGAAAAATCATGTTTTTGGTTTGTGGACCATATAGAGGTCATAATTTTTATCCGATTTTGTTGAAACTTGAAATGTAAGTTTATAACCCAAAGATCTCAGTTCCTTTCGATATTCGCGCATATCGGACTGTAACTTCCTGAATTATGGCCCCTGATTGTACGAAAAATCGCTTTTTTAGCTTGTGGACCCTCTAGAGGTTATAATTTTTATCCGATTTAAAAAAACGTATAATTATATCACCGTTACACCATAAGGATGGTTGAGTTCGAATTTCATGAAATTCAGCCCAAAATTGACAGACAAAATGGCCGCCTTTCGTTCTCAAATAGCGTAAAAACATGGTATATCAAGGTTGTGGACCCTATAGAGGTCACAATTTTTATCTGATTTTGTTGAAACTTGAAATGTAAGTTTATAACCCAAAGATCTTGGTTCCTTTCGATATTCGCGCATATCGGACCGTAACTTCCTGAATTATGGCCCCTGATTGTACGCAAAAACCAATTTAAGTTTGTGGACCCTATAGAGGTCATAATTTTTATCCGATTTAAAAAAACGTTTATTATATCACCGTTACACCCTAAGGACGGCTAAGTTCAAATTTCGTGAAAATCAGCCCAAAACTAACAGACAAAATGGCCGCCCCTCGTTCTCAATCGGCGTAAAAATATGGTATATCAAGGTTGTGGACCCTATAGAGGTCACAATTTTTATCTGATTTTGTTGAAACTTTAAATGTAAGTTTATAACCCAAAGATCTTGGTTCCTTTCGATATTCGCGCATATCGACCGTAACTTCCAGAATTATGGCCCCTGATTGTACGAAAAATCCATTTTATATAGAGGTCACAATTTTTATCCGATTTTGTTGAAACTTGAAATGTAAGTTTATAACCCAAAGATTTCGGTTCCTTTCGATATTTGCGCATATCGAATTGTAATTTCCTGAATTATGGCCCTTGATTGTAGGAAAAATCACTTTATTTTTAGCTTGTTCTCTATCCATCTCTCGAAAATGTGGGCGTATTCTGCCTGGCAGCCGCTGGTTGTTTTTTTTAGTGTCTCAATCAAAATGATTTAGTTTTCTTGGGAAGAGATCACACTGTAGAAGAAGGACTAAGGTGAATATTAAAATACTTAACAAGAGAGTGAAAATTACAGTGGAATCTGTCACATGCAGCTTCTGAATACTACTGCATTTTGTGACATCCATGATCATTTTCAAGTCCCCATTTTTTTTCTTTCTTATTTCAACCAACAAAGTTTAGAATAGTCTGTATCTGAATAGGGGTTTTTGGGTGGTCAAATGGTTAACGTGCATTGCATCATAAGGTCTGTCATTGAGTCAAGGGGCATGGTTTTGATTCCCTGCTTGTATGTGGCCTGTCCACCATCATGGGATTTCTCTGGGTCCACCGGTTTCTTCCCACTGCTAAAGACTACTACATGCAAGAGAATTATTGAAATAAAATTGAACCATAAGCTAGTCCAGAAATGACCTAGTTTGTGTCGAGTGGATGTTAAACCCCATTTCTCTCTCTCTCGTATTGTGAATATTACGGATTACTACATCAGTTAGTGATCCAATCACACGAATTGTAATGAATTAACATTCTATAATGTGGATTTTAATAAATGGGTCCTGGTTCAAAAAGGACATCAATCTTTGAGCATTTTCTGGCATTGATCATTCTGTTATGCTGTGTAACATGGCATATTTTAACAATCCTATATGAGGTCAAAACTGACCGATTCCACTGTACTTCTAACTTATTAAAATGATACTCTCACTATGCCCCCAAATAGTCAGCTCCGGTAAGAGCTATAATGGTTCTGGAACACGTAATCTTCAATCTAGTAGCTTGGATTATCAAGTTATGATTTAAAAATGTTACTTAATTGGCATCTAGAGAATATATAACATATATATAATTTTTGGTTACAATTTCCTACATTACTGTCTGGTGAAATAGTTCCAAATCATATTTGTAGATGTTTATCAGAGGCGAAATCTTTACTTCCTGGAAGAGTATCTGTAGATCTGATATTTGGCCGTCCGCAACAAACAAAAGAGACATGGAAACAAGAACTAAAACAGGTACAAATTGTTCTTAATAAAGTTAATATCTGGTTAGTATTTGGTACTGTATTATTTTAGAACTAAATAATGTATTCCATAGGCATGTACAATATGGTGGTTCACTAGCCAAAAGATCCAGTGTTGGTCGAAAGAGTTCCCCCGGATTTTCCAGTGTGGTTTCCTCTTGTCAGTGGTTGAAGACAGAGGGTATGGCAACGAACAGTGTCTAGTTTTTAAGATGGGACTGATAATACAAAAAAAAGAAAACAAAGTCCTATGTACATGTTGGCATGCATGTAAAAAAAATTGGAATTTGCAACAAGAGTAGGACCTAGCAGCCCTGTTAGGGCAAAATTTCCCTCATAACACACTGCATGACATATGTATGTCTTCATTAACCCTTTAGGTGCACAAAGGTAGGATGTTAAACCCCATTTCATGACATATGGGTCAACACATACAATTTTACATAATAGATATAAATAGATTTAAATATATTTTGACAATTACATAACCTGTACTTAAAGTAATGATACATCATTTGCATTTTTGCAAAAATATCAAATTTCTGTCAGCTAAATACAGGCTAATAGTACTCAGATTCAATTTGATTTAAAATGGGCCTTATCAATTGGAGATGGGCTTATTACATAGCGAGCAGCATGGATCAATGAAATTGTAAAATACTGAACTAATAAAACCATTTTTAGATTAATATTCCTATCGGAGATTTATCTTTCAAAATATTGTAGTTTGCTAGGGATTCCTAGTTTGCTAAAATGGCAGAATGAGACTTTAATATAAAGATTAAAATAACACCATTTATTTTCAGTTACTATCTGTTTGTGACAACCACATTTCATTGTATCAATTAACACCCGAACGAGGAACCACATTATACAAACAAATACAGGAACAAAATGTGGTAAGTAGTGATTAAATAATTTACCACAATCCTTAATGGAATTGTCAGTTATTTAGAAAATATGTCACTTGCCTTAAACATTTAAAGCAAGTCCTAGGTTTGATCTCAATATTGGCTGAGGAAGTTTTATCGAATCTTCTGCTGTTGTTTACCCTTGTCAGTAGTACCGAACTAAGGGTCTGGCAAGGAGAATATATTTATCCCTAGAGATACCAATACACATTCTGCAGTAGATTGTTGAAATTACAAAAAATGGTAGATTTAAACTTTTATATATATATCTATATTTTTAGTTATTACCAAGTACAGAGGAGATGGCTGATCTGTATAAAATAGCTGTAGAGGTTAGTTTTTGATATTTTGTAATTATTTCTGATAGATAAATGGTGAGCTGAAAAGAGCTTTCCTCAATTTGCAAATGTCAACAAAATCTCTCCTAGTTTGGTCCAGGTGAGGGATTTGATAAATAAGGAGAGTTGTATCATAATGAGACAATTTGATTAAAATACAGATCTATATTTCGTTTCGTTTTTTATACTTTCGATGGCCTACACTACATGAAGATCTGACAAGTTGTATTGGGAGGTCGCATCAAGAGTCATACAAACGGCTTTTGACCCTATGACATCAGACATTGATTAATCAATCAGCGATGACGTTGATAGTGGTTTACCCACAGTTCCATGCTTCGCACGGCAAGACGTCGCCGTAACAGATGGTTTCACGCTATCCAGAACACAGGGTAAATAACAGCTCTTCCAGATCCTATAGTGTAGTACAGACAAATAAAACAAAATTTTGAACTATAAAAATCGAAACAAAATAGGATCTGTGTTTTAATCAGATTGCATAATGAGTGATTCTTTTCATTCATAAGACAGGGTATACTTAGTTAGAGTACAAGTAGGATATATAATTACACAGTGACTTTGCCCACTTATCAACTCAGACTCTCAAGCACCTCAGTCTCAATGAGCACCTTGAAAAAACAATGACTGATGATGACAGCAAAGAACATATTTCTAATAACATACATGTATTTCACTATTTCAGTACTTACACAGTAATGGATACGAACATTATGAAGTTTCCAACTTTGCCAAAGAGGTATGTTTGAAGAGGGAATATTAGTTTCAAAAAGGAATTCAGTATTTAAAAAAAGGTTCTTTTTATTAAAAATACATTATGCAAGAGCTAAATATGTCTATTGCAGGTCTTTCTTTAGGCCTGAAATGTTATCTAAATTATTAATTAGACATTAATTAACCTATCCAGACCATAATCAACTCTAGATGGCATCGCTTGTCTGCGATCTTTAGTGGATTATGAGCCGATTTACTGCATAACTTTCCTTCACGATTTAACGATTAAATTGATAATCGAGACTATGTTGTTTATCGTAATTTCAACCGCTTAGTTCTCAGTTCATAGGGGATCAATTTGAATGAAATTTTCAGCAAATTGCCTTTACATTATCTAGTTTTTAACTACATGTATTATAGTGAGAACTGCCAACTCGTTGTCAAATCTCCCATAAAGTATCTTTAATATGAAAATACAATTCAACATGGAGCAAAATAAATGGAATATTTGTGTTTTAATGTAATAATGCAGTTAGAGAGTACCTGAATGACACCAGATTTTGAAGGTATTAGGAGAGCCGCAGTGGTCCAGTGAGTAAGATGCTGGCTTGTTAACAAGGAGGACTCGGGTTCGCTCCTTGTGTTGGCCAAAAAGAAAAGTTCTTCTGAATTTCCCAGCATGATTTCCCCTTGTGAGTCAGTGGTGCAGGACAGAAGTCCTTGCAGCGACAGTGTCTAGTCGCTCAGATGAGATAGTTGGAATTCAAGTAGGCCGTAGTGATGCTGTCAGAGCAAAATTTCCCTCCTAGCATATTGTATCATTAACCCAGTTGGTGTAGAAAAGTAGGATGTTAAACCCCATTTCATTTTAAGGTATTCAAACATGGAAGATTTTTAATATATCTGATATATTGGGTGGCTGAGTGGTTCGGATCAACGCCTGCACTTGAATCAATGACATTGGTATCGATCCAATGTTTGTACGTGATAAGGAGTAAGGTCACCTGCCCAACCTGTGGGATTTTCGGTTTCCTCCCACTGCTAAAGACCCTTACGCACAAGTGAATTATTGAAATAAAATTGTACCATATGTTAATCCCGAAATGACCTAGTTTTTCTTTCTCTCCTCTCTCTCTCAAATCATGTAATTTACACACATTTCTTCAAACATTCTTTTATTTATGTATTTAATTCAGGCTTCCTACAGTCATCATAATCTCATATATTGGACAGGTGGTGAATATATAGGTATAGGTCCAGGTCAGAATCATTTTATCTTTTGTTTCATGTTAGATATGTCTTGGTGTGATTTTCTCTAGACAAATTCTAACCATACTCAGTTAGTCCTAATTAAGCTAGAAATGCTATTAAATAGATAATACAAAGCCCACGAAAAAAATAAACTAATAAAACAAAAAGATTTTCCAACAGACCTATATGTTGCTGCCAAATAACCATAAACACAGGTATTTTTTTCTTGGCCTTATATTGATGGATGTATAATGTAATGTGTATTATATTAAAGGTGCTCATGGTAGATTATGGATGTATAATGCTGATGAAAAACGTTACGTTAGAGAAGCTAGAACACAAACATTAGAACCACCTAATTGGATGGCAGAAGTAGAGAAATATGGTCATGCTACAAGACGTATAATTAAACAAAATACTCATGATAGGTAGATACAAATATTGACTTTTCCTCAGTCTTTAAAGTAAAATTTAACAACGGTATTATTACTGTTGGATTTGGACAGGTGAATTTGAAATAAGAGTAGACAGTAGCACTGCTGTCTGGGCAGAATTTCTCCATAGACGATCCACCTCATTTCCTATTGTTTACACTCTAATATTTAAGCTGTTTTATTTCAGGGCAATAGAGTTATTAATGACTAGTCTGAGAACAAAATGGGGTTTATCAAATCAGGTAAGTGATAAAACATGATAGTACTGAATAACTATTATAGCTGACAAAACGTCTTGATTCATATTCTCTCCTGATGGGTAGATCACTACACCAACTTTCATTGGATACAAATTTTATTGTATTATCCCGGTTATAAAACCAAGAAAATACTGTGAGGTTTATCATTTCTCAATAATTCATATTTATGCATAGGTATTTTTTCATGCTACATTAATTTTGCCCTGCACTATCATACTAGTTCAGCTACTGAATGAGCATCAAACAAGTTAATAAATATATAAATATTTGCAACCATGCTGACATATCTATTGTGAAAACCTGTAGGAAGATGTGAAATTAAAAAAGATATAATAACTTTCTTGGACAGTTTATTGTTAATTTTATCTGGTGATCATGTAGCGCAAACCCTTCTTTTATGATTCTTCATACTTTTATTGAAATGAGAAATTGTTGAGGATATTCTGTTATTTTAGGTCTGGCGGAAAGTTTATCCTGTGGGCCTTTTCCAGTTATATGGTTCATCAGAAACAATTAATTTCCTCCAATCAGCAGACTTTTTGAAATTAGACAAAAGGTGGTGTTATTAATTCATTTGAAAATATAATTATATAAAATATTTGATGTCATAAAACATAATTATATAAAATATTTGATGTCAGAAAACATAATTATATGAAATATTTGATGTCACAAAGCAATTATATAGAGTATTGATCTTACAAGACATTATTTAAAAGTAGACAGACAGCCCATAAATATCTATCGGTATTTAATTATTTTTACGTCAGTAGTGCCGATGCCAGCCAGTATTCATGATGCAGAACGCCCTTTCCCCGATGGTGTACTGTAGCTGTGCAGGGATAAACTAAGAAACCATAGTTTTTGCATAATCCTTGCACAGTTGAGGTCGGGGTTGGGGGGTATAAATTTTGCGTTGCTCAAGCCAAAAAAGTCTCTTGGCGGCCCTGGTCATAGGTAAAAATTGCATGATAGAAGAGGCATGAGTGAAAAAAATGGAACATTTTTTGAAGTGGCATTTTAATTCTTCATACTCCTGTCAAATTGTGTGGGTATCAAATGTGATTCTTACTTAAATTATTTCAGGTTTTGACAGGTTTTTTTTCTGGATTTAGTTTGAGTTGTTTAATTCTATTCTATTCATTTGCACAAGTATTCCATGCAATTTTTAATATATACTTATTTAAAATCTCAATTTCAGGGGTTTACGAGCAACAGAGAAGGGAATAGCTGTACTAGATAGCCTAATTGTTGAACTAGTTTCTATATTAAACCAAAATTCCACATCTTCCAAATAGCAAATTAATGGTATTACCATCATCCATTTTGAATGACAATTTATTTTTTATATGATTGTTAATGGTCTATAGAAAAAGGGTTTCTTCTTCCATTTTTAATGACAACAAATTATTTTTTATACGATTGTTAATGGTCTGTAGGACAAGGGTTTCTATTTAGATATTGGAGAGAGAGAAATGGAGTTTAAATTCCACTCGACACAAACTAGGTCATTTCGGGACTAACATATGTTTTTTTAAATTTTATTTACATAATTCGCTTGCGCGTAGCTGTGGGAGGAAACCACGCCAGTCGACTCAGTGACAGACTTTATGATACAGCGCGCGTACGCTAACCATACAGCCATCCAACCCCCCTTTAGATTTTGGACATTTGTTAGTATGCTTATGTATATTTAGTAGATTTTCAACATTCATTTTGGTGTAAGCATGTTTTTATTCTGGAGAGTTTCAATTTAATGTCTACAATTGTTTTGTCTTTTCAAAACGTCAACATTATTTCATTCAGCTTTCAACAGCAAATAAACTGGACTAATAATCCTAAAACAGATTGATGCTAAAATAGATTGTTTTCAACTGCACCCACTGTGAAAACATGCACTGTAAGTCATGAGTACAATTATAAGTTATGAATTCATTCACATTAATTTCAGTGATTTATAATATACTAGTTGATTAGTCATGTATACCTTTAAGATGCAGTATGAAAGAGCTAAATCTGCCTAGTAAAAGTCCTTTTTCAAATGTTATATAAATTATTAATTAGGCATTTATTCACATAAGCCCATAATCAACTCTTAACAAAATCTCATTGTTTGTTAGTGCTGATATCAAGTAAAATTTTATGCACAGATGTAGTGGGAGCAAACATCAATACTTGCATCGGTAAATTTGGCTGTTGCTGAAAACTCCTCATTGCAACAAAAAGTTTCTATTATAAATCTGTAAATGTGTCATTTTGTACCAACATTAAAACTAGTGCCTATCTTTCTTATGTATTCGATAATATTTATCCATTTATGTGAAGAAAACAAAGGACCGCACATTTAAATATTTTGAAATTCAGTTTATACAGATAAGAGAAAGTACCTAATTGTTTCTCCGAATTGGTTTCTATAGTCAGTGGTACAGGATGTAGGACCTGGTAAGGAAAAGTGTCTAGTCATTCAGATGGGACAGAAAACCTGAGGACCCCTGTGCTCATAAAAGAACCTTTCATAGTTAGAATTCGAAATAAGAGTAGGCCAGAAAAAAATTTCTCATATAGCACACTACATCTACATGGTGTATGTCCATCAAACCCCATTGTCATGAGGCCAATAATGGTCACTTGTAGAGTTAAAATAATTTTGCTGATAAAAAAAATATTCAACAAGTTTTGAAATAAATTATGGTTGATAACTTTTAATCAGAAGTTATTTCGTAATAGGAAATGAGACATCAGTCATTATATACTTGCATTGAGATATGTGATTAGTTTTCCTTATTATGACAGGTGGTATAAGAAAACTTAGTTTGGGTGGACTAAATGCTAAATTTAGATTTCAACATTTCTAGATTTAAAACACTTTAGTTTCAACTAGAAACTGATGTATTTGCTAATTTCTCAACTGACACTAGTGGATTATAGGATTATTCTTTAACATGCCATTTATTTTAAGTCTTATTTTAACATATATTAAATATATGACTTTAAAAAATGCAATCATCGCTTTAAAGGAATCATAATTTTTTTTTATGTGTCTAAAAAAATGACAAATTTTTTTTAAAAAATATGATTTTAGATTTCTACATTTGTTTTAAAATGTAAGCTTATATATTGTGTCTTGTGGGAAATTAATTTATTTTAATATACAAGGTTATGTAATTTTTTGCAAATAAAGTTTTATTTATATTAAAGAAATATTATTAACTCCATTTTGTGGACATATCAATATATGTAAATAACAAAAGATAGGTTGCCAGGCAACCCATCATGTGCCCACAGCTGTTTGGTTCTTTCAGCAATCAGATATAACTGTACCATCTACAGCATCCACAAGGAATTGTGCACAGACAAGAGTGACACCAAAATTCAATCTCATTTGAATGTTGGTGAGATGCAGTGGCTCAATTAGTAAGTAGATCCTGTTCACTCCCTGTATCTAGTCAAAATGGAGGTCCTGTGCACACGTTTGCGTGCGCGTGAAAGAATCCTTGACAATAGGAATTCAAAATACGAGCAGGCCGTAAGTTCAGCTGTTCTGACAAAATTTCAGGCAGATAAAGAGTAGATTATTTATGTAATGAACAAATTTAATTTGTATAACAATAACGAAATAATAAATATTTGTTGAATATTCCCGGCTTCACATGATTCTTTAACAAAATAACATCACTGTTAACAACAAAAATGTATAAATTTTAATGTTAGAATAACCGTTTTTCAGGAATTTCACCTCTTTTGAACTAAAATCCACCTTGATGTTGACCATATTAAAAAACAATTTACAGATTTAATCTTGGGTAAAAAATATAAAAATGTCACCAAATATCAGTATGACATCAAGTAAGTTTGCGTGTGTTACAGATATTCACTGATCTGCAGTTCTAAGTATCTGTATGACATGCTATAGATAAGTTCATTTATTTGATGGTAATAGGATGGAAACAGTCTCACTGAATGCACAATATCGTTTATACACATCAATAGCTCGAACAGCAAAATGATATTTATATCCTTGTTGAAAATGTGATAGTGTACATGCCATAGGTAGTGGTAAGGCTTTCAATTCACCGGCCTGAAATACAAACAATTCATAATTTGATTAACTAGAAAACCATATGTTTTTGCCACATAGGTAAGTGTATTATGTTACTAAAGAGAGCAGTCCATAACTGTCCAAACTTCTTAGGATTTCTACAGCTTCCTGATCCACGAACTGCTAAAGAATAATGTGCACGGATAAAACAATGGTAGATTCGAAATACATGAAAAAAGGAATTTAGACTACCTTGCTTTTTAAGTACTTTACTTAATTAACTTATAATTAAAGTCTGGAAATAATGCACCTACCACAGACAATGTCCTGCACATATTCATACTTTGTCAGCTACAATCTCTCTAGTACGTCATTTTGTCTGGTACAGATTTGTCTATATTCTGTGTATCTATTGATACTAGTTCAATAGTAACTGACATTTTGTCAGGTACAACTAAAACTGTTATTTCCAAACGTAAGTTTTTATCCTTATCAATACTTGTTTTTTCACTTGAAAAACTAATATACCTACCAATGTCCACAAGTCTGTATCAGGTGAACGATCACCTTCTTGATAAGAATAAAGCTGGTACGATTCTATTTCTGAATATAACATTAAGTTACGTGTGAAGTTCCAGGATAAAACAATACCTGATTAAAGAAATAAAGTTGCTATGAATATGAAATCATCCGTGAATATGGGATAACTGTTCAAAACACATTACAAAAACTACAACCATACTAAGGGATTTATCAAACCTAGTTCCTACTTGTAGTGCCTGTGGGTTTGACAGAAACTATGGCTAGTCCTTCTGATGGGACAAAAAATAGAGCTCCACCCGTATTTTGTGCACATAAAATATTAAAAGAAGCCTTGACTACAGGAATTTGATTAAGAGTTGCGGGGGAAACACAACAGTCCAGTCAGAGTTAACATCCAAAGCACTTCACATGTGACCATAGACAAAATGATTGAATGAAATGTGGAAAATAAAATGGGGTTTATTGTCCTACTGTTCTGCTCCGAACTGGGCTAACGAAGACCAGTATACGCCATATGGTGTGCTATGAGGGAAATTTTGCCCAAACAGCGGCACTACGGCCTACTCTTATTTTGAATTCCAACTGTCAAGGGATCTTTTACTTGCACGCCAATGTGTACACCAATTTGTCCCATCCGAACGACTCGACAGCTGTCTTTGTCAGGCCCTCCTTCCTGCACCACTGACAAGGTGGAACCACGCCTGAAAATCTGGATGAACTTTCTCAGCCAATGCAGGGATCGAACACCCAACCTCCAGGCTAGCAAGCCAGCGTCTTAGCCACCATGACCCCTGAATAAAATGTGGTTTAATGTCCTACTTTCCTAAACCTACAAGACTAATGAACCATAGAAAAAAGATATAAATGACTGGCTATACCCTATTTTATTACATGGAGTTCAATTTGATGCCAGAAAAGATATAAAACCCTGAAAAAGATCTTGCGAAAGGACTTTGCTATAACTGCAGCTAAAATACACTTATTCATGATCAGGACCATATGACATACATGTACTCATGCATTCACTTAACTTTTACTCTACTCTTAAGACATTTATCATTAATTATCAACAAAACCCTCATTACATAATCCTCGGTAAAGACCAATAAATGGATGTATAGATGAGTTGGAACCCATGATTCTATAGCTAATAAAAGGTATTAGTTACCAACCTTTATTATTATATGATATCTTCAAAATAGGTTTTGGGGGAAGCATTCCTTGAAATTTTCTTCGCTGACCTTGAGCATCATTAGCTGAAAATGGTGGAGCAGCAGGTAGAGGAGCTGGATGCTAATAAATAAAATGAATGCCATGGTTATTCTTAATATAACTGATATATATATTTGAAAAAATTTATAAAGACTTATATCAGTGATAATGAATATTCATTAGGACTGTGCCTAGTTGTTAGGATGGGATGGAAATTGAGGCCCTGTGTACACATTGGTGTGCACGTAAAATAAACCTTGACCCTTCATTTGCTGTCCGTGAAAGATTTCTCTTATAACACATTGTAGGACTTTATTCCCAATCCAAATAACTAAACGTTATTACTTGCCAGACCATCCATCCTGCATTACGGATAGGTGAAACCATGCTAGAAAATGTCAGGGAAACTTTCTCTGCCAATGCAGGGATCGAGAACCTGGACCTCTTGTTAGTGAGCCCGCATCTTACTCAGTTTTGTTTTATTTTAATAAAAAATACTATTTCTACATGTAAATAACAAATACTATATTACTAGTAAATAACAAATACTATTTTTACTAGTAAATAACAAGATCAATTATATTAGTAAATAAATATTTTTTTTACTAGTAAATAACAATTATTATTTATACTAGTAAAAAACCAACCTTTATCAGATCAACTACTTCATGTACATCATCATCATCATTAGATACAGTGGTGGAAGATTTAACAACTTTTTTACTGCTATTGATGTTTTTACTAGTAGATTTAGAAGGAAAATCTTCTGATGGAATAACTATAACTGGTTCTGATGTTGGTTGTTCAGCTGCGGATGACCCTGTTGCTATGACTACCGGTGTAGATTTCTCAGTTACTGATGATTTTAATTGCTTAACTGTTGATGGCGATTGCTTAACTGTTGATGGTGATTGTTTAACTGTTGATGGCGATTGCTTAACTATTGATGGTGATGATGGCTGTTCTGTTGTTGGTGTATTTTTGGTGATTAATACCACTGGTGGATTTCTCAACATTGTTTTGGGTTGATTAGCTGACACTGTGTTAAGTTGATCTGCTTGCAAAGAGTTTGTTTGATTATTTACTGGTTGTGCTTTCAAGGTTGGTGATTGTTGCGCTGCTGAAGGTGTGGATTTAGCACCAGTAACAACAGCCTGCTGACATATCCGACTTAGTTTACTAGAAGCAGTCAGAGGCGTAACTGACTTGGTACCCGATTGTAAAAGATTAACAGTTTGTCCATCTCTCAAGATTATAGAAGCTCCTGGAGGAATCATAGCTTGTCCTAAAGGATAGGATACTTGAGATGACGAAATCATGTTTGGCTTAAAGATAGAAACTGGCATTCTGGTCTGTTGAAATGTATTCAATTGTTGTGGAGATAAGAGTATGCTACCAAAGTTTGATATATTCTGTAAAGATGATGCTGCACTCCCTGATGGAATGGTTTGTTTCTGAACGGCATCTTTAGTCACATTAGATGCCGTAGCATTAGATAGAATATTTTGCGGAACTAAATTAAATTGTTGCACATTATGCGGTATTGTATTAAACTGGATATTTTGCGGTAGAGTATTACACTGTTGAATATTCTGAACAGTATTTGTTTGGTCCTCCTTTTGCATATCTGCTTTCAATTTTTGTAGACCTTCTAGAGCTGTTCTTAAAGAATCATTTTTCGAATAAGTATCAAATCGTGGCATTTTATTTGGGGGACTGGTGTCCGAAGTTGATTTATTTCTTTGTGAGGTAGAAGTAGTGAGCATGACACGTGTATTTGATATATTACTTGGGATACTATCGGATCTTCCAGCGGTAACCAATATGGTCTGAACCAAAAAAATAAAGACAAAACATGAAATAGAGAAGGCCTAGTTGAATAGAACAAGCTAGCTTAATAACATGAGGTAACCCAGAGTCAGATTTAGATTTTGTGGGACCCTGGGTTGTGAGGCCCAGGAAAGACAGTTACCTATTCTGAATCTAGGAAATGTTTACCAGCCTCCCCAGGTATTCACTACAGTGTTTCTCTTTGCTGTAGTTTTTTTTAATACAAAGATGAAGAAAGTGCTAACAGACTTCTAAAGGGTCTTAACTTTTCAGGCTACTAAAGGGTCCATTGGAAACCCTGCTTCTTATTCATACATGTATATCTCAAAACAAAACTCTTTGGAATTGATGTACTTGAACACAATATTCATCTTTGTTTAATTTGATTTTACTCAGATATTTGTTAAAATTTTTCACAATCTGGAAAATAATACATGCAAATACCTTCTTAGAGATATTATTATGATCAGCACAGTCGTTAGTTACTTGATCCCAAGTCTTACTGTCTGTAGAATCTGATTCAGGCTCAGATTTGATTGATTTGCTCAGACTGGTAACTTTGGAAATAACGAGACCACTTGTTGATGGCGGCGTAGAGTGTGAATCAATCTAAGATTAAAAGAAAGTAGTTGAGTAGTTAAGCATGGGATGAGTTAAAGGAGCACATTGTTAAACTCAATTTCTTTTGTTGATTCGTCTGTGGACAGCCTAAGGCTTTTTCTGGGTCCTCTGGTTACTTCCAACTTCTAAAGACACCTATGCGCAAGCGAATAATTGAAATAAAATTGCTTTATTTCATACTACTAGCTGTTTATTTTTATTAAGTGTAGGGGAGAGAGAGAGAGAGAGAGAGAGAGATTTACAGTCCACTCGACACAAATCAGGTCATTTTAGGACTAGCATATGGTTTAATTTTATTTCATTAATTCACTTGTGCAAAGGAATCTTTAGGAATCTTGTAACATACAAGCGAGGAATCGAAGCCATGCCACTTGACTCAATGACAGACCTAATGATGAAACATGCATGCGTTAACCATTCGGCCACCCAACCCCCCTGCAAGTCTAGAGCCCTCCATAGGTTACTTATAGGAGTTCTAGGTCATTTCAGTACTAAAATTTCAATTTCATTTCAGTAATTCGCTTGCACGTATTTGTTTGCGCATAGAGGTTTTTAGCAGTGGGAAGAAACTGGCAGACCTGGAGAAAACCAACAAGGTTGGACAGACGACCCTACTCCTCGTCACGTACGAGCTGGAAATTGACATCGTGCCAGTTTGTTATCTAAAACACACGTTAGAACATTGAGCCACCCTCCCCACCCTCAAACAAAGACAAATGACAGTAAAAATTTTATAATCTAAAGTCAATAATTCCACATCAATAACCAACTCAATAAAATTTACCTCATTATTGTCTGAAGGTGGAGCAGGATTTGTATTTGAGCAATCTGGATTTTTTGATAGATTACTTATTTCTTTTTTCAAATCTTGAATTTCTTTTTTCCATTTGTCCAGTTCTTCAAGAATGTCATCCTTAATAAAATTTAGCATTTCCATTTTATGAGATTCCATAACCTCCTTCACATACATTCTTACAAGTTTCTTTAAGTCAGCATTCTGAAAAAAAAAGAAACAAACGATTGCCATGTCTTTCAAAATAAGCCCACATTTTGCAAGAGGCAGACAGAGAACAAGCTAAAAAAGCGATTTTGAAAACAATCAGGTGCCCATACCTGCAAATTAGAAGGCAAAATGATTATCTAATTAGGTCAACCACATGTAGATACATTCCATCAGGGTAGTTTCAGTTTCATAAACAAGAGAGAATATTGTGTGTAACCAAACAGGAAATGGCAGTATTATTAGTCAGTCTCTGTATTTTGTTAACCTACAGTATATGGGTCATTTTCATACATAATATATCATCTATTTCCATAGCATTATTTATGTCCTATCTTATAAACTTTGTTTTATGAATTTGAAATCAATATTATGTTAAGGCCAGAATATTGTGACAGATAAGCTCAACAATCACACATTTACATTGTAAACAGCTTCAACTGTGTGTTATGTGGGTGCCTCTACATATGTGACCTGTGATAGCAAAATGTGTGGGAAGTTGCAAGTCTATTACGATATGAACAAAAACGTTAAAAAAGGATAAAAATATTTGTTAAATCATGGACCTTATAATTAATACATAAGGTAAAAGTTTAGAATTGATAAATAAAGCACACAAATTTTTGTTTTTGTTTTTAGCCATATTTGTTCATATATTATTATCTTAATGCACCATTCCTTCATTTCTAAATTTTTTAAAATCATAAATAATTACAAGATGGTTAGCATTGGTATTTTCATCTGTAGCTTTGGTGTTGGTTGATGACGGAAAGGTTTCAACAGGAATATATAAACCTAGATCACAAACTTCATCGCCATCATCACGTTCAATTTTAATATCTTTAAAAATATCTTGATCTGTCTCCATCGGTTTATTTTTTATCATTGTGAAATTCTTAATCTCGCCTGAATCTAACAGGTATGTGGACGTAATATTCAGAGAACTATTGGTATACCGTCTGGATAATTCTGCTTTTTCACTGATAGTCTGCATCAAGGTACCAAGCGCATTATGTCCAACTGGGTTACCATCATACCATTTACCACTTTTCGTGGATTTACCATCTCTGATAGGTCTCTGAAACAGGGTGTCACATGATCCATCAAGTTTGTCAATATATGACACAAAACTTTTGTATGGACAAAATTCATCACCTGAAAAGACATAAAACAATTTAAACAATCTTTCAATGACATTTTGTGATTGAAAATACATTTAATAACAACAACAAAGTTCTATTATTGTTAAGAGTTGGACGTTGAATATATTGAAAATTTCAGTGAAATTACTTTTATTCTGAGCAAAGCTATGAGTGTTTGAAGTTTTGACAAAATAGTATTGATTATGACCATGTGTACATTAAATTATTAAACGGTGATTAAATATAGAATAAGTTTGCATATCAAGATTCAAAACTAACTGTCCGAAACATATTGCCCTTTTTTTTCAAAACTTGTAATTGCGCTTTATAATTAAATACTATCATTAGTAGTTTTAATTTATTTTCAAATTTGCTGGCATTATATTTGACAAGTTACAAGGAATTTCGGTTGTGTATCTATTAATTACAGAGTTACTGACCTTGTCTTCAAGACCTTGAAATTATTTGTAGTACAAGAGTTTTTGAGATTTTTATTATAAACATCATTTATTTTTGAAATTATTGCCTTGTCTGATGTATTGTGGATGAGTATCACGTAATACCTGATCCAATAATTGAAAAGACTACAATAAAAGTTAATAAACTCAGACCCAGTCTGAGTCTTTGTCATTTAGATCTAGACCATATACACTATAGCTCTCTCTTTCAAGTTTTTTTCTTGCATTATAGGATATGATTTTAGTGTTTTGGATTGGGCTTCTTTGTTGTTTTAATTTATTAAATAGCCTGCTGGTATAAAATAACAGAAAACAATATTTACCAGGTCTTTCATACATAACATTATCTGCACCATTGTCCAGACTTAAACCATCTGAAACCATGTGAACAAAACCAAGACCTTTCTTATTAGTATTAGTTGCATCGGTTCCTATACCAAATTCAGATATTTTCATATTCCGGAATTCGTAACGACCTCTGTTCTTTTTATTTTTCAAAAGATACAACATGAGGTCAACAAAAACTTTCTCCTGTAAACCTGTACTGTCATTTACATCAAAATAGTTGTACAATTTTTGTAAATCTGCATCTGAAATGCACGGTACATGATCAACGGTATCCATTCCCAGGGTTTTCAAACCTGCACAAACGGCTTTAAAAACTGCTTTCGATTCTTTGAAATTATCTCCGTTTACGATGTCAACATTATGATTTAACATATGTCTACTAATGCCACTTCGAAGAGCATATAAACTAGTTTTTCTGTATAATTCACCGTTCTCTTGTCTTGCCTCGGTATAAAATTTAGCAAGTGTGTAATCCAACAGCTTGGAATTGTACTCTTCGAAAGTTGGCGCAAGCCCTTGTTCAGTCAAATACTTCCTCAGTGCATTCACGGCACTTTTCATGGATTGTCTGGTTCGTAGTGCTTCTTGTGTCGACGAAATATTGTCATTTTCATCGTCTCTTTCAGACGCTGATCGTTTAATTGCTTGCCTTAAGGTAGATTGCTGTGCTGTGTCCGCCATTTTATCTCATGGAGGGCAATATAACGTAAATACAGTACTTCGTTCAATATTGGAGACGATCCAACAAATAGCGTAATCTGATTGGTCGCCGAAGCTTGCGCGTGATGTGGTCGCCAATGAATCACTGGCTATGGGCGTGAATGTGACTAGCTTCGCAACTGTTGTCTACTCCCAGTTTCATAGTTTTTTCTACCACAGAATGAGTCTCTCATAACATCAAACATCAATCCCAGGCACGTGGCACCTACCTGATGCCTACCGAAGAATAAAATGACTATAAAATTGCTAACTCTAGTATTAAGCTCTCGTGGACGGAAAATCTATGAAGTTATAAATATAACCATAGAACTAAATAACACGCCATATAGCTCTAGGCCCTATAAGGTTGAACCAAATTTAAAAATAAGAATAGTTCGACCGCATATTGAGTTATCGCCCCAGATATGTAAGTCATTGTATATGTTGACAGAAAATATATTGGGGTGGGGTTTGCGCGGCCAAGATCACAGATTTTAGAATGGAATATTAGGCCTACGTATACCTAGTGCCGAGAAATGCACCTGTCTCCTCCTATTGTCAATTCTAACTTAACGGAGCAAAATCGCTATTCTTTGGCACCTTGTGAGACACTATATACGGTGTCGTTAAATAGATGAATTATGCATTACTTCCACGTTGTGTATACTGCCCGTGACACTAATCTAGTCAGGACATTAACTCTGGAATACTTTTTACGTTAACTATGTTATTATGTCTTTATAATATCCATAATAAAATGATTATTATATACAGGAAACTACACACACACCTTTACGCAAATAGTATAAAAGCATGTAATGCCAAGGTTGTGGACCATCTAGAGGTCAGAAAGTTTATCCGATTTAGATGAACTTGACGAGTATCACTATAGCTCTTTGATGAGTTTAATTTTGGTGCTCATTGCCCCCCTGCCTTTTACGCAAAATGTGAATATATGAATGAAGTTTGTGGACCTTCCCGAGGCTACAATTTTTGTCCGATTCATGAGATGAAACTTAAATTATGTTAAGGATCAAAAGTTCTTATATGAGTTCGATTTTGGTACACAGCATACCTCACATTCTAGAGCTATAGCCCCTGCCTTTTAAGCAAGATGTGAAATATGTATGAATTTTTAGGCCGTTCAGAGGGGCTACAATTGTTGTCCCATTCTGATGAAACTTAATATGTTAAAGAGCAAAAGATCTTGAATGAGAGGATGAACCCTATTGATCTTACCTCTTCCCCATACATTTCTTGGAAAATGTGGGCGTATTGTGCATGGCAACCGCTTGTTTTAACTGGGCGGGGTGGGTGCCCCCTAACTTTCGGGCAATCTTATTTTCGGGCAGACGGGTAAAGTGAAAACAAAAATTAATATTTCATGTAGTTGGCAAAATAAAGTGCCCAAAATCTAATAACACACTAATTTTCTTTTTCTTTTAATTGAATAACACGAATTTGTACTGAATTGATTATGGATTAAAGCATTTTGTCTGAATCATTCTACTTTGTGCGACATTTTTCGGGCATCGATTATATTTTGTGAATGCAGCTGCAACAATCTGATTGGATGGTTGGAATTCAGGTCGGCTAGAGTGGGATTTCGGTTGAAAACCGATTGGAAACTTTGAAGTTGGTTAAATCACGAGCTAGAATATCAGAATATCGTATTTGTTGCGGTTAAATTTTCAACTTTTTCTCGTGAAGCGCGAGGCCCCCATACCCCGCGACGATTGATTGGGAATTGGGATTTAGGTGTCACCTAAGGTACTCTATATTGGACCACATTGAAGTACATGTATTCACGGGCTGGTCTAACAGGAAAACGCGTTTATTGCAGATAAATTTTCAAAGATTCATCGAGCTCGTACCCCTATTCATAACGGGACCATTCTATGTAGGCTATAGATTTATCTGATATTTCTAAATTTATCTTGATAAAAGGGCACTCAGTGAAACGTGAAACCCCCTTCATAAAAGGCTTCTGGTTATTAAAATAATTAAAATTCACAAGTTCCAAACGTATTAATAATGAATTTATTTATCGTTGATCTTATACATACGTATACATTTTCACTCATCGTCTTCTTTATTATATATTATTGGCATACACATTCAACAAGGACGTTACTCTAATATCTATTTTATTCATAAACGTTCTGACAATTAATTTTATTTGCGCAAACCAGTGAGGTGTTACATAGAAATAGAAGTCTTAATCCCACTATCGCCATTTGCGTAAGGAAAACGTGTCTGCGGCCGTCAAATTTTCCAAATTATCTTTAAGGGGGGGGGGGCTACACGGTAAGCTCTTCCCCTTCGCCTCTCACAGACGACCGGCACCACCATCTGTAACCCGAAATTAATTTTTGGGGGCATTTCTGGCTCTGCCCCCTAACATTTATCGAGTCCGTACGCCTTTGCTCGCAACTGGGGGTCTCTCGGATCAGTATAGAGCATAATAGGGTTTTGTTCTGAAAGTCTAAGTTCTAGAAGTGCCACTTCTATGCTAAAATCAGTCCTCGTTGTATCTAACGGCATAATTACTTGTGTGCAATAACCCGGAGAAAATATTCATTACAGATGGCAATCGAAAGCATTCTGGCACGCGATTCGTTTGCCAATTTTGAAATTTTCATTTTATCTTAAATATTGGATATCAGAAGGCCATCTTTTCACGATAAGATATCAACATCAATGTTGATTTAAATTGACCATTAAGTCATGTTTGCAATGTCGAAGACTGTGGATGATATTGAGTTAGCGACTTGCCTTCTTTAAAAGAGCTGTCTCAGACTTCAAAGGGTGTAATACTATAGGGTTTATTTTAGTTCTAAGAAAGGTGTTCTGTTTAATATAGAAATTCTTTACTTACATGATGTGTGACGTACACTAGGGTAATGAAGTAGCTTGCATTAATCTACTACTTTCTTATAGTAGGGTACTATAGTCCAGTTATCTCGTGCACAGATTAGTACAATTAACTAGAATAGTGTTGACGTAAAACGGTGCCTATACGAAACACTTACCCAAAAATGGTAACTGTCCCGCCCTAATAGATGACGCATTATATTTTATATATAGGAGAGAGCTTGTTTGATTACCCTCAGATTTGAATTGATTTAAATACCCGCGAGATTTAAACATTTAATGATAAAATGTATAATGGAGACTTAGACACGGTTGTCGAGTACCGTTGCTAGGATAATAAACAATCTGCGCTACATCTTCAAACAATCATAACTTCGCCCAGAATAAAGTAATTTGACTGAAATTTTTCAATATATTCATTTTTCAATTCATTACCTATTTTTGAACTATTATAGTAAGAACGGCTAGATCTTTATCTAAATCTTACATAATGCATCTTTAAGAAAACAAAATAAAAATACCAATGCTTGATAATGTCTCAGCTTGGATTTAAATGAATTTAATTCATTAAAGATACATTATGGGAGACTAGATAAGGAGCTGGCAGTTCTCGCTATAGTAGTTAAAAACTAGATAAAGTAAAAGGAATTTGCTGAAAATTTCAGACAAATTGATCCACTCTGAACCAAGAATTTAGCGATTGAATTTTGGGCTTAGCCTCGATCATCATTACTGAAGTCGGTACGATAAAATAATCTCGATTATCCATTTCTTGATTTAATCATGAATGAGCGTAGCGCAGCAGATCGGATCATAATCCAATAAATATCACAGGCTAGCGATGTCATCGAGAGTTGATTATGGTCTGGATTAATAATTCAGATAACATTTCAGGTCTAAAGAAAGACTTGCAATAGGAAGATTTAGCTCTAGCATAATGTATGTTTAAATTTTCGTAGACATCAAAATGGCGGTGGGTTTATTATATAACGAGCAGCATAGATCGATGGAATTTCAATTCCGTATATCTTTGTAAATACTGAACGGAATTTAACAATTTTTCGCAAGAGATTCCTACTGGTTAAAATGATGCATCGTGACGTTAACATATGTTTCAAGTTTCATTTAAATCGGACATCTAATTCTCAAAACTGTAATTATTTGCGTAAAGGGGAACAGTCATTTTGACGGGAAGTTTCAACATGATTTTCATTGAATTCGAACCCAACCGTAATTATGGCATAACAGTGATATATTTGAACGTTTTTTTAAAATCAAGCTAAAAACGCAATTTTTCGTAGAATCAGGGACAATAATCTACAAAGTTATGGTCAGATACGTGCCAATTTCGACAGAAACAAGATCATTTGGATATAAAAGTATATTTTAAGTTTGGTCAAAATCAGAAAAAGTTGTGACCTGTTGAGTGTCCACATACAAATTGTGAACGGACTGACGGGTGCGACGGCATAATATGTCCACGTGAGATGAAGACATTTGCACATGTCAAGGATAATGTTTTCCCGGAAGACTTTCACACAGAATTAACCAATTTTAAGCTCCAAACCAATTCATAGACTGCTTTGATTTTAAAAATATTTATGGAAGAATTAGGCCATGACCTCGATTTACAGCTTTCAGTTGTGCATTAGGATCCAAGAAATCAAATAAAATGGGGTTTTAGGTCCTACTTTTTGGCACAAACCCGGCTAATGAAGACGACGCAAACCTAAGGCAATATGAAGTGGAGATGGCTTTCCACAGTTAATTAACCATACATAAATAGATAACACTCATTAATTACTTGCACTATTATCTTTTTATAATACAAATGCTTATTACTCTTCTTAACCTGAGCAGCAAATGCTTATTATTGAACTTAGTTTCGATGTAGGTGTTGATGTAATGCCTGTAACGGAACTATACACCTAGTTTCTTGACGAACAACTCAATTAGAAGATAGGTTATCCTGTTCAAATGCATCAACAAATCAAATTGATTATCTCTGTTTTAGCCTTTGTGGAAAATGCTCATTTACATCGGTCAAGACATTCACCTAATGAACAAGTTTGAATATTCTAGCTCAATTAGAAGATACATGTATTTATCATATTCCAAAAGGTGTAACGGATGGACCCATTCTCATAGTCATTCTGAAAGACTGAACTTCTCTGAATAACTTAAACATGAAACTTGTTTGTAACTGTAAATAGTAGTCCAGATTCTAGGGGTAAATATTCATTGTTTATTCTTCTTGAATATTACAAATAACAAGAAAACTAAAAATTTTATTAAGAAATAATAATTTATATTTGTAATATAATATGCCCTTTGAATAATGATGATTTCTAATTTCAACTAAATATTTTTACACACTTATTGAAACATCTATCCATATTTAAATAACATTCAAAAATCGATTAAAGTGAACTCCACCAAATGTACCTAGTACTGCCCCTCAATATTTCTTTTCATTACGAACACATGAACCATTTAACAAAGATATCTAACCACTGTATGTTGTCTACGAACTCTCCTCGGATGTCTTATGAATAAAGTTTCTCAGAGAATAACACAAAACAATGTTTATACAGACATACAATATATAAACCTGTATTTAAAAAATGTAAAATGACGAATTATGTGAGGATGACAAGTCATGATAGATGATGAGACATGATTTTGATGGCGATTTTTTTAAAATTTTTAATAGCACTTAAGACGATTTAGGAAATAAATGTATAGAGCTAGGTTCACTGAATTCACTAATTCGGTTATAGACATCCAAGGCTCGGACAGCAAAATGATATTTATTTCCTTCTTGAAACTGTGTTAGAGTACAAGCCATTGGTAAAGGTAAAGCTTTCACGTCACCAACCTGAATTAATACAAACAAAATATTGTTTAGTTTTTTAACAAATAAAATATAATTTTGTGTGTGTGTGTGTGTGTGTGTGTGTGTGTGTGGGGGGGGGGGATTAGTAATTGAAGAGTAACATACTAAAAATTATTTGAATAGGCTGTGAAATAAATTTTTGGACTGACATACAAAATCTTTATTCTATTATTTGCTTTCTCTTACAGGTGTTTAGCAGTTGGGAGGTAAATACAAATGTTCTAATCTCAGAACTATCTGGCACTTATGAAAAGTGTCTAAATATTCAGTTCTTATTATGCTAACCAAACATTAGAAGATATGTACGCGTTGTATAAAAGAGTAAATGTGAATAATTGCAACTAACCTTTTTCCATAAATTAGAGTTGGGTGGACTAGAACCTTCCTGATAGGCAAATAGTTGATAAGATGCTATTTCTGAGTACAGTGTTAATTTGTGTGTTATGGTCCACGATAACACAATACCTAGAATATAACATAACACAATATTACATGACAACACAATACCTATAATATAAAATTACACAATATTACATGGATAGATCTAATAGAGAAATTGAAAAAAGATAGGTTGCCAGGCAACAAAACATATGCCCACATGTTCTAATCAACCAAGAAGACAAGAGGGTTGTCGCATAATTATTCTTTGGTGGGTAATGGGAACATTTACAAGACACTGACATCAATTTCGTAAGATTACATGATAACTTTTCTTGTTAGAGAGTTCACAAGGCTCTACAAAGTGAAACAAGGACCATAACTCTAGATGTATTTAATGAGAATTGTTGAATTTCAGTAGGCTTCTTCACTTTACTAATTTAAATAATGCACATAAATTTCTTCCTTTCACTATTGTAAACAACATGTATAAATTTTAAAAAGATCAGATAATAAATGTAGGGTTTTCACAAGAAATTGTGGGCGACAGACGGAGACAACGACAATATACGTAACTACTCCAAACTGTGTTGAATAAAGAAAATAATCATACCTTGACTAACACGGGATATTTTTAAGTCTGGTTTTGGAGGAACTAAACCTTTAACTCCACCCATACTGGTTTTATTAACAGGTTGAGGTGGTAGAGGGGCAGGATGTTTAGGTGTATTTAATATCATCTGTAAAACAAAGATAGACAATTCTAAAACTTTTAACGTTAATCCATACATAAATGCATAAACAACCATTTTCAACCAAGGACAAAAACTCTACCATGAATTTCTGTTAAACCATGCTTGATTCTGTGCAACAACTTTTATACACAAGAATTAAGAATATGTTATGTTATCAATATTATGGTAAGTGCAGGACGGGAAATAATGATTATGGTTTTATCGGACAAAAGGGTAGACATTACAACTTTGTGCCAGATACTAAGTGATAATATCAGAACAATATCGCAATTTGAAATAAAGAGTAGGCAGTAGTAGCACCGCTGTTCAGGCAAAATTTCTCTCATAGCTCACTGTATGGCATACGCCCGTTTTCTTTAGTCCAGTCAGTGCTGAAAAATAAAGCGTTCAACCCCATTTCATTTCCTCAACAACAATGTTATTACAGAAGCAAAATAACTTACAGATTTAACAGTTGGTGGTGGTCCTGTATGTACTGTCTGTACTGGTGTTCTCATCATTATATTACTAGTATCTAACGTAACGGTTTTAGTGGTTAGAGTTGATGTTGGTGCTGCAGTGGTTATACTAACTGTTTGAGGATATGTTGCGGTTGTAGACTGGGATGGTACGACTGTTAATAAACTACCAGCTCTTATAGAACTATTGTTGCCACTAACAGTTACCACTTGTAAATTACCACCAATGCCTCTTAACGTTGATGGGTTGACAAATTGCGTACCTGCGGGACCACTACTGAGAAGAATTGAAGCACCAGGAGGTAAACCTGAAGAAGCTGTTCCGATTGGACGCACAATCTGAGGTGAACCCATTGATGGCGGTAAAGACGCTACCGGCATCATTGTAACATGAGGTTTGCCTTGGGGTGGTTTGTTTATTTTTTTAGCAGTGTCTTCATCAGCAGTTAAATCTATCACTTTTACAGAATTTCCAACGGTAGAATTCGGTGTAACAACACTCCGACTAACTCCACTAAGTACATTGTTTATTTGACTGGTTGTAATAGCTTTCGCATTTTTCCCAGAAGTTTCTAGTAAATTTCTCATAGAAGTGTTCACAGGCACAGCTTGTCGTATAGACGAACTTAAAATAGTGTTTGTGCTGCTTACTGAGTTTCTAGATACAGCTGTCGCTGATAATAACTGAAAAGATAAAACAAAACAATTATTGTCACATATATACCCTGTAGAAACAAGCCAACAGTGAGGCTGATGTCCCCCGCCGAAATAGGAAAATAATTAGAGGACACATATAAAAATCAAATTGCGTATCGCTCTGCTTACCCTGAGCAGAAAATGCTCATTATCAAACTTAGTCAAGGTATTACTGTAATGAAACTACACACCAAGTTTCATCAATCTCACTTAATTAGAACTAAAGTTATCGTGTCCCAAAGCATCAACCAATCAAATTGCTTATCTCTGCTTACCCTAAGCGGAAAATGCTCATCTTCGAACTCCATCAAGGCATTGACCTAATCAACACATACACCAAGTTTGAACATTCTAGCTCAATTAGGAAGAGAGTTATCGTGCCCCAAAGTATAAACCAATCAAATTGCTTATCTCTGCTTACCCTAAGCGGAAAATGCTCATCTTCGAACTCCATCAAGGCATTGACCTAATAAACACATACACCAAGTTTGAACATTCTAGCTCAATTAAAAGTTATCGTGTCCCAAAGCATCAACCAATCAAATTGCTTATCTCTGCTTCCCTAAGCGGAAAATGCTCATCTTCGAACTCCATCAAGGCATTGACCTAATCAACACATACACCAAGTTTGAACATTCTAGCCCAATTAGGAAGAGAGTTATCGTGTCCCAAAGCATCAACCAATCAAATTGCTTATCTCTGCTTACCCTAAGCGGAAAATGCTCATCTTCGAACTCCATCAAGGCATTGACCTAATAAACACATACACCAAGTTTGAACATTCTAGCTCAATTAGGAAGAGAATTATTGTGTCCCAAAAAGTGTGACGGACAGACAGACGGACGGACAGACAGACAGACAGACAGACAGACAGACAGACAGACAGACAGACAGACAGACAGACGGACGAACCCATTTTAATAGTCCCCTGCTTTCTTCGAAAGGCGGGGGACAATTAACGAAGCAGGCAAAATGATAGCAAAAATATAGATGATACAGGAATGGGGTTTCTGTCTATTCCTCCAACGGTTTCTTTATATTCACTCACCTAATCCAATCTTATAGACACATACATGCAGGGAACATCCTCACAAGTAAGCCATGGCTACAAAAATAGAAAAGTTCTTTCTGGCTCGGATAGAGATCTGAAACTGGGCCATTTAATGGAAAATAAATACAGTGGGGGGGGGGGGGGGTATTTGACAAAGGACCACAACTGGGCTAAATGACTTCTAATAAACATCACATTTCAAGGCAATTTCTTAATCTCATTATGTTGTTTATACCAATGTATGCTACCCAGCGGGATTATCTGCAAACCAGAATATTTTTTTTATATGACCTTAGATAAGATATTGAAATATTAAGTGTACCTGAGACATATTGTTAACTTGAACAGGTGCTGGTCGTTTGATCATAGAAACCATATTAGGTGTTGATCCAGGTAACATCTGAACATTAGTAAAGGTATACTGTTGGTTTGGAGATAGAATTGTTGTTTTTGGAGGGGACTTTTGAGCACTTAATACCTCATATCCATTCAAAGGAGGTAGCTACAAATAGAAATGTAATCATCATTATAAATAGCGATCTTAAAAATACAATTTCACATTGGAATCTAATTGTTGAAATGTTGTGAACCCATTTTGCTTTATATATGTCCAGCCATGACAGATTCTATATGTTTTATTAATATTATTAACAAGCCCTGTCTTCATTAGTCCAATCAGTGTAGAGAAGTAGGATGGTAAACCTCATTTAATTATTAACAGGCCAACAGTGAGGCTGATGTCCATCGGGTCAGTCCCAAAATAAATAGAAGATACACATTAATTACCTGCACATTTATCTTTTATAATGTACTGAGCAATAAAAATTTGCTGATCTATACTTTCATAATCGAACTTAGTTTTGAGGTTAGAAATTAAGTTTCAATCATACTCCTTCAATTAGAATCAAAGTTATCATGCCCCAAAGTATCAACCAAACAAATTGTTTCTCTGCTTCTTCTTAGTGGAAAATGCTAAGATTGTCTCAGGACATAGTTTATTACACAATAATACCCCTCTAAATTTGACATTTATTTTAATACTTACTCTGTTAGAATCAACTTGACATCCAATAGTTCTACTTGTGATTATCTATAAAACATTAATCAGTTTATAATTAAATTCACAAAATATCAGCAGTTGCCATGCAAGATTTGCCCACATTTTGAAAGAGATGGACAGAGAAATTCAAACTCAACCTTCATTATGGTGTAACGGTGATATAAATCAGATAAAAATTGGGACCTTTAAAGGGACCACAAGCTAAAAACATGATTTTTCGTTCAATCAGAGTCCATAATCCAGGAAGTTATGGTCCTATATGTGCAAATATCGAAAGGAACCGAGATCTCTGGGTTGTTATAAACATACATTTCAAGTTTCATCAAAATCAGATAAAAATTGTGACCTCTAGAGTGTCCACAAGCTAAAAACTTGATTTTTCGTACAACCAGGGGCCATAATTCATGAAGTTATGGTCCGATATACACGAATATCAAAAGGAGCTGAGATCTTTGAGTTATAAGCATACATTTCAAGTTTATCAAAATTGGATAAAAATTGTGACCTCTTGAACAGAGGTCTCAAACTCATTTAGATTCAGGGGTCACATGGACTAAACTTTTACATCAAGTGAGCCGGAGATATACATTCTAAAAACAAAGCCCAATGTCCTTGACAAAGGTAATTTTTTAGACTGGTTTCCAAATTGCCAAGATATAATATTGAACACAACGTTTTCTTGCTATTACATACAACTTAGATATCTATGACATACAGTACAGAATTTTACTGGAACACAATAATAAATGATTTCAACCCATGGCGGGCCGGATGTTTGACACCCCTGCTATAAATGTCCACAAGCTAAAAATATGATTTTTCGTACAATCAGGGGCCATAATCCATGAAGTTACGGTCCGATACATGCAAATTTTGAAAGGCATGAGGATCTTTGGGAAATAAACCAATATTTCAAGTTGCATCAAAATTGAATAAAAAATTGTGACCCGTAGAGTGTTAACAGATAAATGTGGGTATATAAATATTGAAAATTATTGAAAATGACCAACTCAATAACTGCTATTTAATAAGAATCCAATAATATGTATGTATTTTTGGCTGTTTTGACCATGGAGAATTTTCACAAGACTGTAGTTTTCAAGGGATTCAAAGTCCACCAAATGTCGATTAGAGACTTGACTTGAGAAATTAATTCATAAATCTAAATCAGAAATCTGAAGTGCTTACTTTGAGTGCAGCTGTAGCAGCTTTTCTTTTATCTAAGCGATGTTGAACAATCGTTAAGTCAACAACTTGCTTATGTAAATCCTTCGCTGTGTTTTTCCATTTTTCATTTGCTTCAGTCAATGTTGTTATCTTTCTTTGTAAGTCAGCAATAGTCTCATCTCTGTAACTCTTGATCAATTGAAGTACTTTCTTTCTCACCATTTTCTCCAGATCAGTTTCCTAAATGTATTATAAACAGAGTTGGTTTTTTTTCAATTTTACAAAATAAAGCGCCACAATTATGATAAGAGTTACTTCCCCTTACTAAACCCAATTTCATTAGAAATCTCATATTATGCAATAAGCGAGAGGAAATGATAAAGCTTTTTGAACGTTTTAAAATTACCTTTTCATTGGAAGTCGTCGCTTCTTGTACAATTTCAGTTTGATGTTTCTCTGGTGATTCACTGATAATTACGGTCACATCATTATCATCCTTTACTGGATCAGATATCATTTCAATATCGTCAACACTTGTTGATAAAACTGATTCTGTATCTGATGCCTTGCTTTCTGTCTTGTCTAATGTTATTATGCTTGATTCTTCAGTTATTTTCAAATCAATGACCTCCTTTGTTGGTTCTGTCTCATTTTCTTTTTTTGAGTCCATCTTTTTCTCAGTGGTTTCAATGTCGGCCTCTGTGCCAGTGGTTTTTGTTTCTGACTTTTCAGCTACTTTTATGTCAGTTTTTTCTACATCAGCTTCAGCATGTACCTCTTCCTGCATACTTCTAGTATCCGCATCTTCTTCTGTGACCTTACTCGCTGTTTCATCTGCTGTATTATCATCTGATCTCACGTCTTCATCATCTGATTTAATTTCACTAACATCATCACTCTCTTGCCTTGATTCTTCTTCCGAATCAGATTCACAACTAATTGTATCTGGTACATTTTCAGGAGCTATACCTATTTGATCGCCTAATTTACCTATCATTATATCTAACCGTGAACGTTTAGCTGGTGCAGGACCTTCAGATTCTGAAGGATCTATTGACCGTTTCTTTTCTTTAATATTATCAAGTGTATTACTCTTTGATTCAATATTAGAATTATAATTATTTTCTTCATCTATGTCCATTTTTTCGGCACATGCTACCGTAACAGTTTCTAATTTAGCGTCTTTCGTGTCGCTTTTTTCTATAACATTAATTTTTTTGTTACTAACCGAACTTGAATCTTCAATAACACACTTAGAGTTCAACACATCTGATTTAATGTCCTTGACTTCTGCAGACTCTGATTTCAAATATGTTTTTATCTCCTCTTTGATTTTTAATTTCATTTCTGTATTAATAATTGGTTTGTATTCAACTTTGGTGTCAAGCTTGGTGAACTCTTTTGAATCCATTTCTTCATTTTTCATAGTGAAATTATCATCCTGTGATTTTACTTTTTTTATATCTCCTTTATTCTCTATCTTTAATTTATTTTCATCACCAGTTTCCATCAAAACATCTTTTGTTGCAGCTTTGTCCTTTTCTTCTGAAACACCATGTTTGGAATCATCATTTAATAAAGAATCACAAATTTTGTCAATATCAATTTTTGAGAATCCGCTGTTATTACTATTATCGTCTGAATCAAAATTACTTAAACTAACTTCTTTAATACCCCCTAAACTATCTGCAGGGGAATCATCAAACATTTTTGATGTAACCAAATCATTTGATTTATTTATTTGTGACTGAATATTTTCACAAGATAAAGGAGTTGCAACAGATTCTTCCATTGAATCCAAGCTAGAAGCCAGATTACCACTATTACAATCACAACTGACACTTGTCAACGACTCGCAACTATTTGTATCATGAGCAGAAACACTTGCTTCTCTATATTGTGTTGTAGATGAGCCTTTTGGGGATGCCGGATAAGAATTAGTATTAATTTCTGAATATGTTTCAGGTGTATTTTTTAAATTGGGAGAGCACACATCACGAACATCCACATCTGTTTTGGGGGAAGTAATAGGGGCACTACCCGGTATATTTGTCGAAGACGGTGATATATTATCATTTATCAAACACTGATCACTTTTATCCATTTCTGGTTTTGGACTATCAGTATTATTTTCATTTTGTTCTGAGTCTAATAATACTGGTGAGACTGGTTGATCTTGTGTATTTTGTTCTGCTTGTGCTGTTGGATCAAGTGAATCACTAGGTATACTGCTATCAGTATCTCTACTGGTTTCATTATCACCACTTTTAACTACAATTATTAAACAAGTACATCAGTACACTATACATCTGATTTATTTCCTTTTTAGCATCAAGTTTTTGAGTTTCATTAGATGTCTATTTGGTTTAATTTAATTTAATAATTTTCAAAATTATTTTAATCTTTTGCTAAAATTTATGGCAGAATTTTTAAATTATCTAAAATATAATCATTCATGGATTTTTTTAAAGATATTTTTTATTTTGACAGTCGCAAGCCTATATTAATACATAACAATTGATTAGAAAATATATTCAAGAAAAACATATTAAAACCAGTATGTCTTACACATTTTAAATACAAATTTATAATAGAAACATCAATCTGCTTGAAAGACGAGTGGATGAGCAAGCTAGCAAGAGGCCATGTTACTAGGCTATGGGAGACAACAGCATGCACTGACATTCGAATTACAGATTAGTAGTTGTACTGAACTCTAAATTATGGTGCAATTTAATTTCATATTTTTCTTGTCATTAGAAATATCCAAGTTTCATACAAAACAGGTATTGTGGGTCGAATATGACCTGATTATGGTTGATGTAAGTTATTTTTAAGATACAGAATAAAATAAATGACTCAATTTAAGGGAATATATCTTTCAAGATTCAATATTAAAAGAATGCAAAGCACTAAATACAATGCTATATTTGTATTTTAAAGAAAAGCAGACAACACAAGCAGATAAATAATACAAACAAGCTAATGTAAAACGAAAACCCAATCAAGTAAATTATTTCGATGAAAGTGTCAGGTGGTAATTTGTGCAGTAGGGTTTCAAATCTAGGCTAATCAAGACATTAAAGGGAGATAACTATTGTACTATAGACTATCAGAGATGGTCAGCATTATTCTAGGGTTCAATAAATGATACAATACAAATAAAACTCTACTTGACGGAGGTTTGGGTCATGTACTATTATTATACAGTGAGTAGATTAAGTTGGATCCTGCTCTGAAAATCAGGACAGAAATCAGTTGGCTGGACAAAGTCATGTGTCAATTTTTCATAATGATGAGACTGTTAGTACAAGCAAGAGCATTACAATTTATTTTGGCATTGATTAAAAAAGCAAATTGGCTATAAAATAAGAACCAGCTCAATGCAGTGCAGTGAAAAAGTAATAGCTAAAATTATAAAATATATAAAGCACTACTACTGTACTAGGTGTTCACTGCACAATATTGTGTAACTTACTTTTATTTTGTGTTTTGGGGTTTGTTGAACATTGCATGTCTTCAGGTTCAGATTCCGCAGACATTATTTCAAATAAATTTCCTTTGACAAGTTTAGCATCAGATTTATAGTCTAAATATGGCTTCAGTGATTTAGGAGGAGAATCCTTCATCACTTCCTCAAATTTAGGCTTACTGAGTATTTTATTAACCTCAGGGCTGGCATCTTGAACTAATTTGGACATAATATCTCTAACAGAATTACGCACTTTTACACCAATAGCCAATGGATGATCAGCTTGTGCTTTGACATCTTTTATCTTATCAGGTTCTGTTTCAATTTCTAATTCATTAGCATCTTTATTGGATGATGATGCTATCTCATCTGTAATGAGTACCAACTCGTCCACATTTTTATTAAGTGCTGATTTGTTCACATTTTCATTAAGTGCTGATTGGTTCACATCTTCATTAAGTGCCAATTCATTCACATCTATGTCATTTGCTAATTCTTTCACATCTTTATTAAGTGCTAACGCGTTCACATCTTTATTAAGTGCAGAATCATTTGTATTTTCATTATTTGATGAATCGTTTACAATTTTATTAAGAGCCAAATCATTCACATCCTGAGATGTCAGAGAATCAGAGTCTGATAACATAAGCAACATATCTTCATCATCGGTTGATGTTGGTCCATCTAATAATGTGCTGTTAGTATTGTCAATAACACCATTATTATCTTTTTCTGGTTTGGAATCCAGTAGATCAGAACTGTCTGTATTTTCTACAGTGACATGTAGCACGGAGGTTGTCACTTTATCAACTGACGCATCAGCAACACCATTATGGGAGCTATCACTTGGCTTATCAGCCACCACTGCACCATTTAAAGATTTTAAACTGTTACATGGTTCTTGATGAACTGTTGAATCAGCAGTTTTTATAACCTCACTGCTAGTTTCCATCTGTTCAATATCTTCCTCCATTACTAAAGGTGGTTTACCATTTGTCCATAGTCTTGGTGGTTTAGAGGTGGATTTCTTGGCAACTGCTCTCAATGGTTTAGCTGCAATAAATAAAGGCCTCATTAGATTTACACAGAAATAAGAGATAGGTTGCCAGTCTACGAAAAAATTCACCCACAGCAGCTAATTCATCTCAGATGTCAACAGGGATTGTCGCATATTTATTCTTTTGTTCAGATCAGATAATAATTTTCGCCGTTTGAGGGTTCACAATAGTCTACAAACCGAAAGAAGGGCCTGAACTCTGTTGTTGAAATTGTTGAACTTCAACAGAATTTTTCGTTTTACTAATTTAACCAATGCATATATAAATAAAAAATATCATACAGATCGGATGATAACTTTTGTTGTTCGAACGTTCACAAGGTTCAACAAAGTTAAACAAGGGCCATAACTCTAGAACCAATTGACAGAAATTGCTGAAATTCAAAAGACTTCTTCGTTTCACTGATATAAATGATGCATATATAAATTTCATACAGATCGGATAACATTTGATGTTAGAGCATTCACAGGGTTTGACAAAGCCTTACATTTAACTCTAGACGTAATTAACGGAAATTGATGAAATTCAATAGGCTTCTTCATGTCACTAATTTAAATGATGCATATAATTCCATACAGATCGGATAACTTTTGTCGTTCAATTGTTCACCAAAGTGAAACAAGGGCCATAACTCTAGATGTAAATAACGGAAATTTCAGAAATTAAATCATGCATATAGATATTATACAGATCGGATGATAACTTTTGTCATTCGAGCATTCACAAGGTTCAACAAAGTTAAACAAGGGCCATAACTCTAGACGTAACAAACCAACAGTGAGGCTGATGTCCCCCGCCAAAATCCCCAAATAAATAGATGACACACATTAATTAATCGCACATTTTTTTTTTCAAAAGTATCAAGCAATCAAACTGATTATCAACTATACACTAAGTTTCATCACTATCAGACAGAATCAAAGTTATCTTGTCCCAAAGCATCAACTAATCAGATGCCCATTTCTGCTTACCGTAAGCAGACAATGTTTATCACCGAACTCCATCAAGGCATTCACCTAATGAACGCCTACACCAAGTTTGAACATTCTACCTCAATTAGAAGGAGAGTAAGCCTCGACCAAACAAACTGCTTAAAGCTCTGCTTACCCTGAGCAGAAAATGCTCATTATTGAACTTAGTCAAGGTATTGATGTGATAAAACTATACACCAAGTTTCCTTACTCTCACTTAACTTGAACTAAAGTTATTGCGTACCAAAGCATCAACCAATCAAATTGCTTATCTCTGCTTACCCTAAGCAGAAAATTCTCATATGATCTTCGAACTCCATCATAGCATTCACCAAATAAACATCTACCAGGTACGCCAAATGTGAACATTCTAGCTCAATTAGAATGAGAGTTATTGTGTTCCAAAGTCTCAACCAATCAAATTGCATATCACTCAGCAGAAAATGCTCATTATCGAACTTAGTCAAGGTATTGATGTAATAAAACTATACACCAAATTTCATCACTCTCACTTAATTAGAACTAAAGTTATCGTGTCCCAATACATCAACCAATCTAATTGCTTATCTGGGCTTACCCTAAGCAGAAAATGCTCATCTTCGAACTCCATCAAGGCATTGACCTAATAAACACCTACACCAAGTTTGAACATTCTAGCTCAATTAGGAAGAGAGCTATTGTGTTCCAAAGTCTCGGTCAATCAAATTGCTTATCGCTCTACTTACCCTGAGCAGAAAATGCTCATTATCGAACTTAGTCAAAGTATTGATGTAATGAATCTATACACCAAGTTTCATCACTCTCACTTAATTAGAACTAAAGTTATCAGGTCCCAAAGCATCAACCAATCAAATTGCTTATCTGTGCTTACCGTAGGCAGAAAATGCTCATCTTCGAACATCATCAAGGCATTGACCTAATAAACACCTACACCAAGTTAGGAGAGTTATTGTGTCACAAAAAGTGTGACAGACAGACAGACCGACGGACGATAGACAGACGGACAGACATACAAACTAACCCATTTCAATAGTCCCCTGCATTCTTCGAAAGGCGGGGGAGAATTAACGGAAATTGCTGAAATTGAATAGGCATCTTTGTTTCACAAATTTAAAGGATGCACATAAATTTCATACAGATCGGATGATAATTTTTGTTGTTAAGAGCGTTCACAAGGTGCAATAAAGTGAAACAAAGGCCATAATATAACTCCAGATGAAATTAATGGAAATTAAATAGGATTCTTCATTTGGCTAATGTAAACAACACGTATAAATTTCAAAACAATCAGATGATAAATGTAGCCTGTATAGTGTTCACAAGGAATTGTTCATGACAGATTAACCGACGGACAGGGGCGATGACAATATATGACCATATTTCCAAATGGGCGTATAAAAAACAAAACTAAATATAGATCTGTATGTCTGCGATATCACCCTAGGTGGAAGTGGACGTAAAACTCCAGGAAAGAATGAACGAACGATTGTCGATAGATCTGTATATCAATAAGATTGAATCATGTAATAGACTGGCTACTTACACTGAAAAGTCTGACTCCCCAGAACAGACATAACTCACCAACAGCCTCCTGTAAATAAACATAAAATAACCATCAAAATTGATTACAGATACATGTAATTGCAAAGCAATCAAAAATACACCCACGGCCTTCCAATAAGGTTGTCGCACATGAAAACACAAACAATGTATAAATTTTAATTCAATTGGATGATACTAAGTCATTAGAGAAAGAGAGGAATGGGGTTTAATGTCCACTCAAAACAAACTAGGCCATTTCGGGACTAAGATATGGTTCAATTCTATTTCAATAAATCGCTTGCGCATTGGCTTCTTTAGCAGCGGGAGGAAATCCGGAGGACTCAAAGAAAATCCACATTACGGACAGGCGACCCTACCAGTGGCGGATTAAGCTCCACCAAGGCCTGAGGCGGCACTTGCTGGAGGGCATATTTAGTTTTTAAAGTTAGAGCTAACATTAAAAACGTGATTCGTTACTGAGGTAATAATATTATTAAAATATTAGTTATAACTATTGAAATTTGTCGTACAATAAGATCAGATCTCCAAACAATAGGGCCTATTTAAAATGGCGTGGGCCTAATTAATTTCGGGTCAGGGCCTATGTTGATTCCCGTTGGACCTAACCCCAACCCCCAAACATTCATTGTCTATGCGTTTTTAATCGTATCAGACAAGTCTAAATTTTTTTTTTTTTTTACAAAATCTTTGGGCCTGAGGCTGCAGCCTCATCAGCCTCACTGATAATCCGCTACTGGACCCTACTCCTTGTCATGTACATCCGGGGAATCACAGACTTTAACCAATCGGCCATCAAACCCCCCCAAGTCATTAGAGCACCTTCTAGTAACTATCAGAAATTGCATAGAAACTAAAATAGGCTGCTTTTTTTATGCGCATAAATTTCAAGTCAACCCAATAAAAAATTCAGTCATTAGAGTGTCCACAATCAGGATAACTGTTTAAAATCAACAGGCTTTCTTGTCTCCTGGAGACAAACACCGTACAAATTTCAAATCAGTCCAAAAGTAACTTTAGCTGTGCTTAGAACATCCATAAGATTTCATAAACAAATCAAGGAACTTAACTTCTACAAGAGTACAAGCCACAAGTCTACAAATAATAATCAGAAAAGGTGGACAAATGTTAAATATGGAACCAATGTGGGCTAATCTCTAGATGAGATTTAATAGAATGAAAAAATTAAAGAGAAATATTTATTTTTGGAACTGAACATTACAAATCATTTGAATGTTGTACAAAAAGTCCATTACAAGTAGCCTACCGGTAATGATTTACCGTGACCAAGTCTTTTTTTTAAAACAGAGTTTCCTCCCTTCATCTACTTTTCCCAGTAAAACAAAACGTTACACCGTAACCATAGCGCCCACTATCTATTGAGCGTTACGTGGTGTCTGTGCTATTTATAGACCATTACAGAGCAGTAACCATTGCATACAACGCGGCTAGATCTATGCTGTTTGAAAACATATAAGTTTGTTCGGGGCCGAATCACTATTAATTAGCTGACCATAGTAGTGATTACTGGCAATTTCTGTCATATAGTATTTATTGCAAATGGTTACGATATAAAAGAAATGTTATCAGCCTGTCAGCATCATTTTAAGTAGGGTTTGGGAGTCACGTGACTTATATGTCTTCATCGCCTCTCCATAATTACAATTTTATTGAGAATAGCTGTCACCTAATTGTTGTATTTTTGAAGCCAAATACGCGCATGTGATCTATTGTCTTATCTTATAAATAAATGGGCGAATACATAATTTCAAAGGAGCGTAAGCGTAGTCCGTACTGACTGTGACGTCTTGTCTGACAAGTGGAAACATCGGGGTCCGTTTCAAAACCATCACAATGTTGACGAACCTCCATGGACTATTTGTACAGTCGGGCATCATAATGAAAATGCGTCCTTGACCTTTAATTCAATTTATTTCACTATTTTTCGATTAAATGCATACCTATTAACTTTTCCTTGTGAATATTTACTTATACATGTAGGCCTACATATATGACGAATTTCCATTCTTTTATAAAATTAATTCTTTATAAAAAAAAAAAAAAATCCTTTATCTATAAATCCCGAATACACTTAATTTAATAGTTTTCTGAGAGCAAAGGCGTCTCTACTCTAGTTAAACACATATTATAGAAACTGGAAATCACAATAACACCGATTCTATAGATAATCCTTTATTGCAGCCATCCTGCAACAATTTAATACTCAGTTAATAGCCGGATAACGCTGCGGAAAACTTCCAGCGTGCAAGTGGATGATTCCGGTGTGATAGTTATTTATCATGGGTGTTCAGGGTGGGGCAATATAAATTGGACTTATTAAAAATTACAGATTTGTTCGTCTTGTTGTAAATTCCATACCCAATAACCCGAAATAGTTCTGGTTGGACGCAAACACAAATTTCAAATTCAGCCCCTTTTCGCCCACAATTTCACTGTCAAGCAGGCTCTGTACACACACAAAAATCTTATGAAAAACTAAACATTATTATTTCGTTTTACATATCTACACAGCACATTAAAAGGCCAAATGTCTGCTGTCCCAGAATATTTCACTTCACCTGAACACAGCCTTACTATTTGGGCATCGATCGTACAGGCGGGCGTATAAAAGGGGTTGTCTCATAAACACCGAAATGTCAGAAGTGAAGTAAACGACCCCTGATTTTATTTCAAAACTATTCACTGTGAAGAAAACACAAATCAGATAGAATAGAAATATCAAATTGTCCAATACTTAAATACATACATAAAAATTAAAAATACCCAACAATATCACGATAACGAAATCTCGACCTCGCCAAGTAGAACATGCACTATCCGACCGAACAAAGAGCAGTGTATCCTCGTTGCTGATTCCAGTCTACTGGCCGCTCCAAGACAACACTAACCATTGGCACAAATAGTCGATGTACAATAATTACGGTGACAGTTATACTTACCCTTAAATACATTGGTGAATGTTTTCTAATTTCAAAAAATTTGGTCGCCAATGTAATTTCGGTGTACAAAATGGCCGGCACAAGTCTTTTGCTCTACGCATGCCCAAAGACTTATTATGCAAATGAGACATTTTTCTGATTGGCTACGTTATTTTCAACGTGCCTTTCGATAAATAATAGTTTTCTAAAAACAAATTATTGATTACTTTTTTAAAACATTTTATTTGGAACTAAAACATTATAGCTAAAAAAAACATTTCGCCATTCGGCCTATAAATGTTGATCTGAATGTGTCATATAATTACTTTCTCTGTTAATTTTATGGCCGTAGGCCTTATGCATTCAATCCCTTTAAAACATAAATTTAATATTTTATCGTCTGCGGCACCAAATACTGTTAGCTACACAGTTTGTATACATGGCCTATAAAATAGCAGAACGCATGGCGTTATTTATATCAAGCTACCACCACCCAATAGCTCGTCGCTTTAAGTAACCAGGTCACGTGGTTATAATATGACTCATCGTGAGGGGGTGGGGTCGAATAATATAGTTGGGCCTTGATTTGTAGTACGACTGATTTCATTTAGAAGAAGCATTACAAACGTTTATAAAACCTAAAACGTCCACAGTTATGTTACTTCGATATGTTCACCCGCTTTTACAAGACTGTACCGTAATATAGCTTTAATAATATCTAAATTCAGGCCAGGTTCTCTCTCCAACGATATCTCTCACCAGACGAGTCCATTTTGGCGACTTGTGCCACTGGCTTCAACCTCTCCAATCAATCAATTTGTCATTCGCGTTACAGACTGTTACTCTTCGAAAATCGACAGTTAATTAATAATTTCAATTCAGTGAAAGTATAAATTTTTAGAAATAGTTGTTTTAACAAATGCATAAAGACCAAAATAAAATAAACAACGCCATATAATTGCACGAGTATACAAATGGACTCGTCATTATTATTTATTTAAGTAGGTCACAGTGTCTGGCAAACTCGATCGCGACGTTGAGATTTTTATTGTGTCGACGTACATAACATGTTCATTATCAATTCAGTCTAGAAGTTCGCTATCAGCTACTATCAGCCAGGTATACAGACAGACCAAAATGCATATCAAAGCAGACAAGTAAATCGAACAGCCTCATTTTGACATAACACCGACCAGTTATCTATCGTTTGCTGGTTCTCGAATAAATCAATAAATACGGGTTATATGTTATATATCGGCACTGTGTTGACGATTATCTGTCCGCGAATTTGAATTGATTCTTCAAATCATCTTATTTGTGTAGGCCTATACACACACACAAAAAGAAAGTTTTCTCTTGTGAGTGTCTATCACTTCAGTGTTAGCAAGGCGGATTTGGGCCAAGAACTCGTATTTCTCATTTTTTTTTAGGTCACTTTCGGCAGTACGTCAAGTACGTGTTTATTTATCATAACCATTTTGGTTTCATATGACCAAGACTTCGCTTTTAACGATAATGATGTGTTGAAGATAACGCATTCTGAAAATTGACAAATCTTACGAAGTGCACCGTTAACATTCCGACCCAAAATGGAGTAGGCCTACATGCTGTCACCACGTATCATTTTTAAAACGTCTCCGATCAATTAATCCCGTTTTAAGAATGTGTAAAGTTAGTCGAGGATTCCCAAAATTCCGACATACAATACTTATACCTGATTAATCATCAATAATCGTAAGGTCTCTCATTGAGTCAAAGTGGCGTAGTTTCGATTCCCCGCTTGTACGTGGCAAGGGGTAGGGTCGCCTGTGTTTTTCCGATTTTCTCCCCCCATATAGCGAAAGACCGCTACTCGTAAACGAATTACTGAAATACATGTAATATTGAATAGTGTGTTAGTCCCGAAATGACCTTGTTTGTGTCGAGTGGACGTTACCAAACAGTAAGTATAGTCACGGGATAAAAGATCAATAAAATTAAATCAATTACCCCTTCACCTAATTCTAAGCTTGGCTTCGCCATAACAAATAACGGTATACTAGCCGTTGACAATTTGCGGAAGATGTGACTTAAATTTTCACAACAATCCGAACCCTCGATGTTCTGGTCATAGAGAAATAAGAACTGACTTCGGGTGATCTAGAAAGAATATTTTACTTTAAGTTAATATCCGAAAGGGAGGGGGGGGTATAATAAGCTTAGGCTGCTAATGTTCTCCCCGGGAAAATTTGCGAAAATCGGGTGCAGAAATGATGAAATCTGACATCTTCTGGCAAGCTACAGTCAAAATACAACTCAGATCACTAGAATCAATAACCGAATCGGTTCAGTTCGATGTAGCATATGTCGAACACAAATCTCAAATTCTGTTACATAATTTCATCGGATATATTCAAAAATATAAAATCTTTTCATGACATAAATTATTTATTGGTGCCGAGATATAGCAAGGAACTCAATAACTACCTTATAAACATCTACTTCGTCCATACGATTTTTATGAACAGAAGCTCACTAACCGGAGACGAGCACGAGATGGGACCTTCCATTTATCTAAACAACCAATGCTCGAACACATCAATTGTTAAAATCAGCGAGGATGGTCAGACAATCTCATTGCTGGTATGTACGAAAAAAGTTTTAAAAGGACAGTTTTGGGGGTGGGCGGGTATTTGAACCCATGATAGCCTCGTAGTTCCGGCGCCCTGGACTAATTTATCATTATACATTGTATAGCCATTAGCGCACGACTTAGCTGGTAGGGGAATTATCGTCTTCTCCTAAGACCGTCCATTACGGAATACCAAAACCGAATGGACATAATTGGGATAACATTCCATATTACCCCTTGATATTTATACACCTTACTTAAAAACTCACGCGAATGCATAGTAAATTTACTATAACATACACACATATGCAATGATGCATTTGAACAAGTCAGCATTGCTGTGTAAATGTTGAAAATCAATAGAATTCTTCGTCTCAAGATCTTAAACAATTAATGTGTATAAATTTAAAGTGAATCGGATGATAGCTTTTGTCTATGGAGCGGCCGCAACATTTTTCAAAGTGGTCAAGGGTTATAACTCTGGCAGTAATTATCGGATAATAATTTAGCCTGTTAGGGGTGACGACAATATACGACCAAATTTCAAAGTGAGTGTATAAATATATTGGATGAAACTGACTATAAATTCTGATAGTTTGAAAACAACGTGCGCCCGGTTGTGTACGGGTTTCGGATAGCTAGTTCTAGAGGGATAGACTAAACTAAGGGAAATAATACCGCGAAAAATATATGAATTGGGTTCAAGTTTCATTCCAATCTAACGAAAATTGTCGATTACAGTTGGAACAAACTCACAGCGTGTTGCGTGCAGAGCAGTTACTCTGACGTAAAATTAGAATTCATGCGAGATCTTGCGGATAAAAAAGCCACACAAAAAATCAGGCGAAAAAGACCCCGGTGCCTTCAAATTCCAATAACGCTCGGCCGTGAAAAGGGTACTTTAAAACAGAAGCAAATGATGTTAATGCCTTTCTAATGATTAATTCCATAAATATCCCAATAATTACATGTTATCAGCTCCCTGGTTAAAATCCACAATTGCTTTGAACTTCTTATTGGTTGTTTAAAATTGGCTTGTTAAACTTTCAACGTAAGAAGTCAACTGATTTGAAATAATTGCTTGCTTCCACAGTTAATGGTATTTTTCTAACGTTGTCAGAACGAACGAGAGTTCCTGTCATTAGGAATTTTATTTTAAAAAATTCTGGTAATGCTTTAAAATGATTACATTCTTCAAATATATTTTGTTATTCATAAATGCAATCATACCATTCGATCATGAAGACAGGTATACGTCATAAAATGGGCTATGATTGGAATCTTGTCCGGACAGCGGTGTCAAGTTTCATTTACGTGAACGCCAACGTGTACTTGGACCCCCCCCCCCCCCCACCTCCGCCAATCATCCTACATCACACCGTTAAATACCCGAGGGGCTTTCTCGAACAAAAGCGGGAGCAAACCTGGTTACTGAACCAGCGCCTTACTCACTCAGTCACCATAACTCCCTCCATTTACAATACTCTTTTAAAGTGAATGGTATATGTGTGTATGGCAAGGTTTTCTTTCGCGAGATGATTATCGAAATAATGGATGGAACAAGGTCGGAATACTATCGATCAAATACATATTTTAAATTTATACAAGCAACACATTATCCTGTATTTAGTTTTCGAAATTCTATTCTACTTTTATGAGTAGTGCCATCCGGGTGGTGATCGATTATTGGTCAATCGATTTAAACAATAAACCTATTATTTTAGTATTCTTTAAGTGGCATTTAGTAACTGGTTAGATAAATTAACTATAAACATACTAATGGAAAACAGCTACTGATATATTTAGGTGACGTTTCGAAGAGTATTCTCTCAACGTTTTCAAGCTTAAAACGTTGAGAGAATACTCTTCGAAACGTCGCCTAAATATATCAGTAGTTGTTTTCCATTAGTATGTTTATAGTTAATCTATTATTTTAGGACATTCACAAAGACATTCGACACCCGACTGGTATATAACCAAGCCGATTTCAACGAAGTTAAATATAAAGAATTCTATTGTAATGGTTCGTATGTGGTGAATTACTCTTGGCAACCGTGGCAAGAATACTCTCGCCCTGTTTCGGGTGGCTACACCGTCTATTAAATTTTGTGGAAATTGGAAACCAATAATCAAATGAAAGTTATATGTAAGGCTTTATATGCCCATCTTTATTTTAACAGCTGTTTGTAACCTATTCATTTCGATGTATTTACTAGGAATTATTCAAACGTGGGCTGGCATCCACTCAGATTCGACAACCTTAATGATATAATGGTCAACGGATATTCAATTCTGGGTTGGTATGGGTAAAGATATTAAAGTAATGATGCACCCTTTGCATTTCGCTAAAATATACAATTTCTAACAACTTACTCCATGATATTATGCAGACAGACTGATTATTTAATTAAGAAAACAAAATCAAAATTCTAAAGCTAGATAATGTCCCCACTTGGATTCAATCGGGTTTAAAAAAGGCCAACCAATAAATTTTCGTGGACAATAAAATGCCCAAGGGCTAATTACATAGATGGATGAAATTTCAATTCCACATATCTTTGTAACTCCTGAAAAGAACTGGACCGTTTTTGGACTGATATTCCTATCAGAGATTCATCTTTCACAATATTGTAGTTTACAAGTGATTCATATACGACCAAAATGGGCATGGGGACTTTAATAATAATAAAAACTTTAATAAGCAGTTTTAAATATAATAATATGTAAAATTAATAATATATAAATTTTTAAAAAAAATGTGAAAATCAGATTTTAGGTGTTTGTAGATAACAATAATTTGTTTGACACTAAGATAATAGTTGTAAATTTATAAAAGTCCTGCATGTAAACCTTAGTCAGTGACTATAATAAATTTTACATGTTATACCCCCCACACACAAACAAAAAAGAGATTATGATTGTCTATAATAATGACAAGTAAAAACCCAATTTATCAGAATAAATGTCTTAAAAACATATGGTTCAATTTCATTTCAATAATTTGCTTTCAAGTAGGGGTCTTTAGCAGTGGCAGGAAACCCAAATGTGTGGACAGGCGACCATACTCCTTGTCACCACAAGTGGGGAAATGAAAAAACGTCACTTAACTCAATGACAGACTGTGTGATCTAAAGTGTTTTCCTGTCTTTTTTAACCCAATCGGTGAGGAAAGTAATGCGTTAAACACCATTTCCATTGAGTTCTGAAAGCAATCATTGACTAATTAAAACACAATTCTGATTATTTTTTTGTTGTTAATTAATAAAATTTGGCATTTTCTTCGTCTACTCTTTCATTTGGAGCTTTATAATCCTGTTAATTTCATTTTGGTCTTCCCTCTTAAACATTCTGCTCACTTTGTATATATACTTTTATTCCTGTTTTTCTTTTAAACTGGAACTATTCCATGGAAACAAAAGTTTTCCATTTAATACTTTAGAGAATATTAAAGACAAGCTACAGGTACTGTCTTCAGAAAATTCATCTTGTTTTGTAATTTCAAATATTGTTTTCAGGGGCAGCTGAGCAGTCTAAAAAATAAAATGTTTAATAATAATAATAATGTTTTTCAAGAAAGGCAACAACAGATATCCGGCCTCCCAAAATGTATTTCTTTTACAATGTTTTCTGGTACAATCATATTCTAATTACAGCTGTCTTTAACATGTATTCTTAAAATGTTTATTTACAGATGCTCTTGGGGGATTGGTATTCCAGACATTCTGCACACAGTGTGCTATCTCCTTCAAGAATAGATCTCGGACATGAATGGCAACCATATCCCAAAATTAGTGTACTTTTTTTGTAATCCTGTTTTAATACGTTTCACATCGGTCATGCACACAAAGGCTAAATATACCTTCTCAATTTTATTAAATGGAACCTGAATAATATTTCTTACAATTTTCGAAGTATACATAGTGTATTCAACTAAAATCGTCGATTTAGGAATTAAAATGTCAGTCAACTTTTTAGTGTCTGTTCTCAAGTGGAGTTAATTGTAGACACAGAAGAAGATTAGTATTCTATTTTAAAGCCAACACAGATTGCCAGGGCCGTATTCATGAAAACTTAAACTAATAATATTTTAACGAATACTGATGGTTCACTGGCTCAGCACTAAAATCATAGCACAAATTTGAGCTTCTGACCAATGAAAAAGATGCATTATTAAAATAATTTAGTTTAAGTTTACTTGAATAAGTCACCAGGGCAATGTTTTTACAGGGTTATCTACAAGGGATCTCATCTGTATACTGTTACAATACATGTGTAAGGGTGAAATAAAGAAACAATAATAGTAACTTGGTTCACCTCCATTGATAGAAGGAGACAATATTCACTTTGTTGACGACTTCTGCATGGTACAACATTAAATATAACACTCCCTAAATAATAAAAGACAAAGTTTAATAATAATGAATAAACCATTAAAACAATTTTTTCTACATTAATTTGAATTGTCTCGTTTAAAGTAATTATTTTTAGAAAGAAAGATTGTATTTACAATGTTATTTCTTTTGCTGTCTTCCTTAGGAAAAAAGAGTTACCTCCCATGTAAGGGAATAGAAAAAAGACTTCTGTAAAACTTACCTGATATTGAGTTAGACTTGAATATCCATGCTACTATAGTATAAATTTGTACTGTATTTAATTTCTGGACACACAAAGATAAAATACCTTGGATAGTCAATACTATAAATCTCAACTAAAATCATAAAGTATAGAAACAAAATATATATTTCTATTTCACAGACTCAAGCAATTTCAGCATATACATGTATATAGAGACAGAGAGCGATATAGTGTTTGACATCCAATCACAGACTAGATCATTTAGGGACTAACTAAGGTCTGATTGTATTTCAATGTATAAACAATATTTCATACCGGGTATGACATAAGTATTGTATTGTATATGCTAAAAAATATATAGTTTAAATCAATTGTATTTCATTAATTTGTAGCAGGGCTGGGGTATTTGGCAGTCAGAGATTACCAAACCGGAAGACCTGGAGAAAACCCACAAGGTGATCCTAAGTTTGAGATCCAAACCACGCCATTTAACTCAATGACCTAAAGCACCACTTTACCACCTAACTGCCCTTTTCTGTATATAAGGAATATAATATGGGCAGATACGATATAGAGTTGAATAGATATATTCCGCAATACACTGTTTAAAATAGAGAAGTGTGAATTGTGATGTATCAGGTCCGTTGGAATGTGTTCCTGGGGACAAGTCCCCTGGGGACAAGATGGATATGGTATACAGAAATGAAATGAATTGGGGTTTAATGTCCTACTGTTCTGCTCCAACTGGGCTAATAGTTAACCATACAGTGTGCTATGTGGGAAATTTTGCCCGGACAGTGGCACTACTGCCTATTCTTATATCAAATTCCAACTATCAAAGGATCTTTTATGTGCACGCCAAACGACTATACATTGTCCATTTCCAGGCCCTCTATCCAGCACCACTGACAAGGGGGAACTACACCGGAAAATCCTGATAAACTTTCTCGACCAACGCAGGGATCAAACATGGGACCTAGCGAGCCAACATCTTACTCATTTAGCCACTGTGGCTTCCCAAGACAGTATACAACCATGGGGGTACATGTATGCAAATATTATAAGGAATAAACAACTCACTGTGAGGAATACAAGGTAATATAATATAATTGTTGGTAGTAAGAAAACTAATATGGTCAGTATTAGCGTTCCAAAAAATAGCTGATCAACATCATAGGAAGCAGAGTCAACCCTTTCACGTAAAATATTCCATTTTTTACCACGAAATAATCTCCATAAAGCAGCAACAGCCGATATCTCCATACTGTATATTCTGAAAGTTTAATTACATGTTTAAAATTTTACCAGTAATGAACAGATTTACAAAACACTTAAATCTGACTAAGAGTAACAACTCATTAAATAATTATCAGAAATCATTAGAATATGTTTGGATTCTAATAGTTCTGCCCTACAGTAACGTTTAGTATACAAAACATTTTATATCAAGGGCTATAACTATGGAAGCAATCAGATATTAACTTTAGCCTCAAGAGTGTTAACAAGATTTTTCAAAGTGATCAAGGGCCATACTTCTGGGAGTAATTATCGGAAATCATTGCAAACCAATAGGCTTCTTCGGCTCATGGCCTCAAACACTGTGTATGAATTTTAACTAGAGCGTTAACAAGCAATTGTGGACGACGGATTGACGCGACAGCATTATACAACCACATTAATTTTCAATGTGGCCGTATAAAACTAGATGTACTACTTCTTAGAAACAAAAATTAAAAGGTTTTTTTTTAATTTTTTTTATCAATAAACAGAATGTAATTGATAAGTAATCTAGATAACATGGTTAAAAATCTAATCAATATGTAATCTGGATTACAGGGTCATGTTTTAATGTAATCGATAAATAATCTGAATTACAAGTGTTTTTTTTTTAAAAAAAAAGTAATCTAGATTACAAGGTTATGTTTTAATGAAATGGGTTAAATTAACAGTGCTTTGTTTAAAATATACAGCCAGCTCATTAGCCCTAGTTCGAGAATGTTTACATAAATGAGATAGATAAAAATATGTATATATATACCTTGCAGCATAAACATAGAAACAGTAAATATGTAAGGTTAACATAGACACTATATCTTGTAGAAGACTAAGTTGAAATGATAATCCTAGTATACTGATTGGGATAGATAAATATACTAATGATGATAAGATTGGTTGTACTAATGCAACATAACCTAAAATTTACAAAAAAAAAATTGCATTACTTCTTTTAATTACAAGGTTTTATTATTGTCAAAGTCTTAGTAATTAAGAATGTGTTTGCAAGAGAACCAAGTGGGGACCGGCACATGGTGGGTGACCGATTTTCACCATTTTTTTTTATGTATGATGGGTAACCCCTCCAAACCCCACTGCCACAATTTTAGATAAATCGAGCCATTTTTAGAGCGTAGAAAAAAATTTGAAATTTTAAGACTGAAAAAAGCCAAAAAATCATCATTTTCAGGCCACTTTTCAATTATTCCGTACAACTAAACTATGGCGAGTAGATTAATGAAACTTTATAGCGTAGCAGATATGGTTAGTGAGTTTACATTCTGAAAGTTTGATGGATTTTCATGGCGCGGTTTTTGGTATAGGGACTTATTGCTGCAAGGTACCAAAATAGCTCAATTTAGGTATGTCATTTTATTCTATCTATATCTCACCCACTGCGGGTTTAAGTATTTTTTTGGAATGCTGACTGAAAAGGCAATGGTCTATAGTATTAAGATCAAGAAAAAAATTGGGTGGCACTCGACCCGTTTAGTAGTAAATAATTTCCATTTTTGTACAAAAATAACGATTTTCAACAAAAATGAAGAAAAATAAACCGCTTTATTAACACACTGAAAAGCGTAACATGGCACCTGAAACCAAATTAACGTGGTTTCCAGTTCCATTAAGAGCAAGCCATAATAAAAATAGAAATAAACAAATAAATATTAACGCAGATTATATACTTTCATGTTCCATTATCAAAACTACAAATACTTATTACTATCAATCTATCTATCTATCTATCCAATAAGTATCTAATCACGAAAACTGAGCTCACAATTACACCGTTAAAATTTATCTATCTGTCTATCTATCCAATAAGTATCTAATCACGAAAACTGAGCTCACAATTACACCGTTAAAATTTTCAAACGATGAAGTTTGAAAAGCTTAATTTACTGTAAATGCCAAAAGAGCTGCTCTTGGTAAATACAATTAATCTCTCTAGACTATTTGTCAACATTTTATTAATTCGGCAATATAACCTCATGATCTAGTGGAAGGATGATGAATTTTTGAACAGCAAATTGTAAAAACTAAATAGTGTACTAGTCATATACATCTGTTTATACTTGACAAACGAATCAAGCGATATTTCAAAAAGACAAAAAACTAATTGTATATGAGCGTAAGGTCACTATTTTAGCATACTCACCACAGTGTTTACTTTGATTAGACCTAATCCCACTCAACACTGCCGTAATGAAAGCAAATTTCTGTTCCAAATTATGACTCGTCAATAGTCCGATTAACAACCAATACCTAACTTCGTAACAATATCATTCTGGTTTAAACAGAGTTTCAAATATGTTAACATAACATAAATTTATTATGCCCAATTAACCAGTGCATAACAGAATATTGCAGAAAAACTAATTGTGTGACAAACGATGCTATCAACATGGCTACAATGTAAACTATACTGTTTGGAGACGAACAATACTTTCACCGTTTTTAATACCTTAAATCACTGTCCAAAGTTTTAGGGAAGACCCCCAAAAACATAAGTATCAGAAGTCAATCCAGCAATGGCCAGAGCGGCATTTCTCTGGCTATTGCTTCAGGAATATGCTATTATAGTTTATTTCGGATAACTGGCTACTAAACAGCATTTTATTTGTGCAAAAGACGGGAAATTGAACAGCTGATTTCATCTGCCATCTTGGATGCTGGAGTGCAAATCTAACTTGGGCCTGACGAATAATAATAATAATAATATTAATATGTACATTTATATAGCGCATGTACTCCATGTACAGAAGCGTGTTCACTGCGCATACAATTAAATTTATTTAATTAATCTTGATAAGTCTTGCTGTAAAACAAGAAAGGGTTTGAGAGGATTTAATGATCTCTGGAAGATTGTTACGCAGTTAAGGCGCTTTCACTGAGCACGATCCGCATCCAAATGATATTAATTTTCACCTTGAACAACAAAACTGATGAATGTGTGTTCGGCCGGAGGTTACTCGAGGGAACCTGTATGTGCATAAAGTTAGATAAGTATATTTGAGCTAAGCCATTCACTGTGAATGATTCACATACTGATGCGTCAAAGACAGACTTTTGAAGATGATTGGCAGCCAATAGATTGATTTCAGAACAAGAGTAATATGAGAGTGTTTTGATGATCTGGTAAGAATTCGAGCTGCGGTATTTTCTACAAGTTGATTAGTTTTAATATTGGCACTAGATGTTTCTACTAACAAGCTGTTACAGTGGTCAATCCTTGGGAATACCAAATAACATATAAGTGTAGCAGCTGCTTCCTGTCTAATAAAGTTCCTGGACCAAAGATAACAGAGGACACCAAGAGGACACCTAACCTCTTCACAGTGTCTCATGGTAAAAATATTGCATCTCGTACAACCACATCATTTGAACTTGTATTTTTCAGATGTGTATTTTGACCACATAAAATATATTCTGATTTACTTAATTCAATTAAATTTAATTTCAACACATTTCTTGTCATCCTATCTTTAATGTCATGTGTACACAATTTGATGTCAGAATAATTAGGGAATGAAACAGTTTTTAAAAGGGAATAACTAGCGATCAGCTGTGTATCATCTGCATAAGAATGTCGTCCTAGAAACCATGATTATCGATTAGTTGTCCCAAATTCTTAGTATACATTACAGAAAGGACAGGTCCAAGGACTGATCCTTGTGGAACTCCCGAATCATCTGTACCGGCCCTACACAGAGTTGCTGGAAGGCGGTTGCATGGGGCATTATCAGGCCTAATAATCCAGGCAATGAATGATTTTATTGGAAAAATGATGTCAAAAATGAAGTCATTTTCTTCAAGTTCGACCATCAAATTTAATATGAAAGAAATCCGTGCCAGTCATTTTGTCAAAACCAAATATTAGTATTAGTAGTCCTCAACTTCCATTATTAATAGAATTATCCCCAGCCCCGCAGTGGGTGAGATATAGCATCATGAAATTTATATGTTTTAGCATATAGCAAAAACTACGTATCAAAATAAATTCCTCATAGCCTCAAATGGTTTCGGAAAAATTTAATAGTCATATATATTGAAGTAGTACACATGATCATTCATAAAAAAAATAATTAAAAAAAAACCCAAATCAATAGACAATGTATGGGAAATATTTGAATTTAGGGATTTTTTTTCAAAAAAATGACTTTTTTTTAACTCTAAAATGGCCATAGCTGGTTCTCCGTAACTACAAAGTTGGTGACCCTCATATTTCATGTGGGGTATACGGGGTACCCAATGACCAAATCTGCAAAGTTTGGTCAAAATCGCCCGACCCCGCTTGTGCCGTTTTTTTTTAAATTTTGCATGATTCTCTCGCAAACTCATTCTTAAATACATATACGCCCTTGAGCTCAAAGCATGAACTCTAGTTTCTGGCCGTACGTAACTAACGTACGAAAATTAAATGGTAGCTGGCTTTTTTTTCGCACGTATACAGTGAATGGCCATTTTGCTCAGTAATCCCAGCCAGAATTTGGATATTTTTTTAAAATTGCGTTAACGTTTTAAATTTTTGTTTAGAACTGAAATAAATTAACTTTTAGTCAATCCCCACGCTAAAAACATTAACAGAATTGATTGTGTATATCTGAAATAGACACGACCGAAGCACAAAATAGTGCCAATATGCCGACGTCAAATCTAGAGTTGTAGATGATGCTATTTTTGTGAAAAATCATTGGCAGAGCGATAAGACGTTCTGTACGGATTATACAGTCCTAAAGGCTGCAAGAAGGCTATTGTTTACAATGTAACATTGTGTCTTGTAATGTTGATAATGATCATAATGATGGTGTTTACATTTGTTTGTTGATGTGACCTAATGACCTGTGACGTTTAGATAACGTCATATGGATATCATGGCTATTCACTGTGTCAGAGTCACTTCTCTGCAGGTAGGGTGAGTCTGTCGTTCAGATTGGTTTCTGGCGTCCCATGTATTGGCAAGTTTCTGCCGACTTATGAACTTACCTGTCAGTCAACAGACATACCATAAAAAAGGATATTTGAAAGCATTTGACATTAGAACACAGTCAAAAACACTTAAAACTTGATTTAGATTTATAAATTGTAATTACAGTATGGTATGTAATGATGAAAATTGTCATGTGCTTTGAAAAAAGTGTCTTGCTAATCTGAGATTAAGAAATTATGTGAAAAATTGACTGAAGTGTGAGCCCTGGCTAAAACAAATCTTTAAGTCCAGGAATGAAATGCTCTGTTGTTACAATGACCACAGAACTTTCACTTTCAGGTATAGTTTTTGTCAGATTGTCACTGATACAATTTGACCATTAGAACAATTAAATATTTATTTAAATCACTCCTACCTGTCCACAGATCAATATGGTAAAGAAAGAATTGACCCATCAACTGAGTTAATTGTACATTTAACTTTAAACCAGCAGGTGCTCCCATTAACCGGTGAATTAAATCCGTTAATTTCCCAGCTATATCCTAAAATAATAAACTTAAAACTATTAAAATCTCTTAGAACTGATATAAAATACTATTTACTAGTAAATGTACCTGTAGCTATTTATTATTTTTTTTTTTAAATTAAAGAGGGACACTTAAGATGGTTGTCAATCAGAATCTGTATGCTAAAGTTTGCATATACTACTCTCATTTTTTAAATTATCATTGCAACTATGAAATTATAATTTGTTTCATATTTTACTTACATGAGTCCACTGTAGAGTAAAATTAACCAATTTATTATGCAAATCAAATTGCCATAACAGCATTAGCAACAAAATCCCTAATAGACAATCTACTATCTGGCTCCATATTCGATTTTGATACCTATATAGAAAGACTAAAAATTACTTCTATGTAACAGTTGCAAGCAGAAATTGACTGATCTTTGATAATTATAAAAACTTATTGTTCTTGGACGCAATAATATATATATACATACATTGAACAACAAACAAAAAAATAAGTTAGTGTTTGTATCATTTTGGGGAGAATTAGACAAATTTCATACATGTATTTGTAAACTATATAAACAGGGGCATTGGATAAATACAAATACTGCACCTTAATTTCATGATTGGAGTCTGTTTGTGGTATTCTGATATAGTTAGAAAAACATCAGCTCTTCTTTTCATCTGGGATAAAAAGGATGGACACATGATATGTCCTTGAGCTAGGCTGACAGCCATTCTGAAAAATGTATTACATATTACTAAATCTATGGGGATACTACACTGTCAGTCCCAATCGCCCCGAATTGAAGAAATTGCAATCAACTGGCGTGGAATTCAGTCCTGTCACAGTTCTGTCGGTCCTGACATCTGCAGTGGTGTGAGTAGAATCCTGACATAATTAAATACAACCAATATGTTTCAGCTGTCATGCATGGTTGGTTGAGATATTTTCTTATGCAGTCGACACATGCATTGTACTACAAATTGTCACGATATTTGGGATTGTGAAAATCCAGTTCTGAAACATCCAATCGAGGATCCCCATAATCTGATGTTTTACGTACACAGGTATCAAATAATTTTCAAAATAACCATACTCCAATTCTCTTCAAATCCATTCAAATATACAGGTCACATTCTATGGAATACAATTATTAGAGAGAGAGAGAGAAATGGGGTTTAACGTCCACTCGACACAAACTAGGTCATTTCGGGACTTATATATGGTTTTTAATTTTATTTCAATAATTGGCTTGCGCGTAGGGGTCTTTGGCAGTGGGAGGAAACCGGAGTACCCAGAGAAAACGCGCGAGGTTGGACAGGCGAACCTACTCCTTGTCACGTACAACAGTGGATTTGAAACCACACCAGTTGACTCAATGACAGACTTTATGATACAGCGAGCATGTGCTAACCATACAGCCATCCAACCCCCCTCTATGGAATACAATTACTGCTTATGACTGAGCGGCCGTTTGACTAGGCTTCTCTAGTAATTATCAAGCAATGATGACTAGAGAAGCCTAGTCAAAAGGTCGCTCAGTAATAAGCAGTAATTGCATTCCATAGAATTGTGACCTGTATATTCCAGTTCAATTACTAAATGCCATTTAAACAATAAATCTATTCAAAGCTAAATTACATTAAAAGTTACATTGGACCATCTACTTTTGAAACATCAGCCATATTCAATAGCTTGTATCGTATAAAAGTAGGGCCTACATTAATTTTAGAAAAAAATCTCACCTTTTGTATAATATCTGTGAACAATTCACTAGAAATTCTGATAAAGCAATAATACCAAGGTATCGCAGAATGATCTGAACTATCTTAAATACAAAATTTAAACTATAGTCAAATATTTGCTTTTTTGGAGAGCTAGTGAATTTCAGTGAGTGACACACATCTTCTATCACAGATTGTTGGATGTTTCCTGACAAAATATCTTCTACATTTTGTTGACCTCCTGCATGGGCTTTTTCCAAAAAGAGGTAAGATTCCTGAAATTCTTGGGGATTATACAAAACGCATGTACATTTCATCCTCTCACTTTTCACATAAACACTACAATCAACCAAATCAAAATCACTGACAGAAATGATCACCCAAACATCTTCTTGCTTGTCTAGATTTTGGTGGCAAAAGGATTGCTGTTTTCCAATAAGTTGTAATTCATTATCACAATGTTCATTTTGATTAACCTCAAGCACACAAACTGATTTGTTCTCCTGGTTTATTGTTCCAAAAAGAAATCCTGTTTCCCTTTTTCTATTTGGTCTAATGCCTGCTATAAATACTGTCCATATAGACTCCATACCATAGACTCTGTATAGGACCTGAAATTATAAAACCGGCAGCCTGTGTAGAAAGGAAGACTAGATGGCACTACAGCATAATATAGACTACCTTTTGATCTGATCCACAGTAAAGGAAATCCTTAATTTTTGTCAACAAAAATATACAATGAATATGTAGCAGGGATGTAAATGGTGCTTTGTGATTGTTCAAATATCTGGGGATGCCTAGATTGTTCTGTCCTGTGGCGTTTCAATTTTAAATATACTTCCAACCAACTTGGTCACAGGAAATTCCCTTTGGCTCACTCAGTAGAGTGGACAAACTCGAGGACAAACTCGAGGTCAAACAATTTGTGTCATTTCTGGATAATAAGAGCTATTAACAACATGTAAAGCAATCCACCCATAAATCAGGAAATATTCTTGACTGGGTTTTGACACCATCAGACTCCTCTCTGATCCAGGAAATGTATGTAGAACTAGAAGACAGATAGATATCCGACCACTACTATATCACAATAGCTCTTAATCTTTCTAGGTCCAAAACTGTCCGAAAGACTATAGTCTGTAAGAATATTAAAAGCATTGATTGGGATGCACTTACAACAGATTTGTCAAATTCAAACCTTGTACATGATTCAATGTCTAATGTCAATGTCCAAGTTGATAGACATGCTCCTGCCGTCACAAAAACTGTAATTCTACGGAGCAGAGCTCCATGATATAACAAGACAGTCCTTTAATCCAAACGCCAACGTCAGCATGTGGAACGGAAATGGCATAAAACGCGCTTAGATATTCACCGCCAAGCCAAAAGCAAGACATTGAAAGTGATCTGTGATGCTAAACGATTGCACTGTCATACATATATATAAAGGACTGCACTAATGATCCACAAAAAAACCCCAGATTCTTGAAAGCTCTTCCTGGTTCCAAATCTGAACTTATACTGCCTAACACTGACAGCCAATCCATTCTTGCCAATGAATTCAACAATTTTTTTGTTGAAAAGATTGAGACAATTTGAATTGGACTAATCTCAAACATTCCTGCAAGTTATGATGTACCAACTGACACATTTGATGGTCAGGAATTAACCAACTTCACACCCTTGAGTGAGAAGGAGGTGCAGGAGCTAATCAAGTCATCAAAACTCACAACATGCTTGTCAGATCCAATCCCAACTTCCCTGGTTTTCACAATTCTTAACCAACTTATCCCCTTTTTTCACTCGTCTGATTAATAACAGTTTAGCTAGTGGTGTTTTCCCTAACAAATTTAAAAATGCTGTGGTTCTTCCACCACAAACTCTTTGATAACCTGTCAGCCAGGTGTGGCATCGGAGGCAAAATCATACCTACATGGACGCACTCAGTCTCTACTTATTGCTAATTAGTTATCAGAAACAACCACCACATTAGCCTGTGGTGTACCTCAAGGCTCTGCATTAGGTCCTGCTTTTTTGTGTTATGCACCAGTCAAGTTGCATCCATTATTAAACATCATCAACTCTCCCACCATTCATATGCGGATATCACCCAGATTGTTGATTCATTCACACCAACTCAATATAGTAACTCATTCCAAGTAACATCATCATATACTCAGGAAATCAAGTCTTGGATGACATCAAGTATGTTCAAATTAAACGGTGACAAGACCGAAGTTGGTACGAAAAAGAACCTACAGAAAATTGATTCATCCATAGTGACCATTGCAGACTCTGATATACAAGTTAGTGTAACAAATCTTGGCATATTGTTAGATTCCAATCTAACAATGGAAAAACATGTCAATCACTTGTACAAGATATATTACCTTCATTTGAGAGCTAATGGCAATATCAGACATCTCCTTACAAAAGACTCTGCTCACATACTCGTTAGATGACTAGTCTTTTCTACTTCTAGACTTGAGTGGTCTAAATCACAACTTAATTTCAAAACTGCAAATTATTCAAAATACTGCTGCCAGGATAGTCTTGCTTCAAAACAAGTACATAACCAATCATTGTTAAAAGATCTTCACTGGCTACCTGTCCATTCGAGAATCCACGACAAAATTCTTTGCCATGTATATAGATATCTCAATGGAACTAGTCTAACCAAGATCCCAAGACCAGCATTTAATAGAAGTTCCCAACTTTAACCTTCCAACTTTTGGATATAAATCTTTCCGGTTCAGTGCTCGAAATCTATGGAATTCCACCTCTTCACTGAAATCATTCAAATCGAGATTAAAGACTCATCTGTTTAAATGTGAATACTGTTGTACTTGACCGAATATACTGTTGTGTAAATAGTGAAAGATGTCACGCTTTGAGCATGCATAAATTTGCGCATTGTAAATATACACTATTATTGATATTATGCTTGGAGTTGGAGTGGTGGGTTTGATTCCGGACAGGAGCATAGCTTTTAATTATTTCTCTTGAATATCCAAACTACAAACTTATAATTGGCGTTCACATAAAAAGATCATTTGACAGTTGTAGTGCTGCTGTCCAGGCAAAATGTCCCTCATAGCCCAATCAGAGCAGAGCAGAGCATAACAGTAGGACGTTAAACCCCATTTCACTTCTATAAACTCCATGCAGTGTCCCTCATTTTTGACTTGGGATGTAATGATATTGATTTAAAAGTGAACATATACATGTATTTAAAAGCGGAATAGACCTATAATTTGCCACAAATTACGGCCTCTTATCAGCCGGAGATCGTTTAAAATTTTTTGAAGGTTTCGGAAAACCAGTCCAGTTTCACAAATCACAGTCACTAGGACTCAGGAGAGAATCTAGTTCAGCTCAGAATTTAGGTCTCATTACACTCGCCCTGTACTGGCTGTAGTCTCAGCGTCTGTACTAGAGCTGAACTAGAGAAAATCGAGTTTCGATCATGCACTTCAGTCAGATTTGAAGACTAATAATCGCTATTGCAATTTCGTACACTTAACACGTTCCTTGGTAGTAATAAACAGAATCAATGAATTTCAATGACATATTCATCCCCATAACGGCGCTATACCCACATAATTACCTAAACTATAATAAAAAAAAAATTCACACATTTCCACCCGCTGACATTTCCTCTAGAGTGGTCCCCCTTTATTGAATACAGTGTAAAATGCTAACTTGGCAGACACATCTTAATGATCTTTATTAATTTGATTATGTCGAATATAGATACCCTTTGTTGATCAGTAATGTTTACTATGGGTCATTTTAGTCTATTCAATACATTTCTCTCAATTTACCATTACCTATCAGCAAAATAATAGTCTATATAAGTTTCACGTGTTTCATAAATTCGAGTCCTTGTCCAAATTAAAACCGTAGGGGTTATCTTCCCTTGAACAAGCAGTCGACTAAACTTGGTGTAGGCCTCGAAGAACATTAAACTTATAAATAATACACCATAATTATCTGTATGGATCCCCTTGAAATTTTACTGGTTACATCAGGAACAAGAGGGGAGAGACTTCTATTTAGATATCCATTTGAATCAGATGACAAGGACAGAAAATCAAGCAAAGGTGAAACTTTACTCTCTTTTATTTCGAGTAGGCCTACCGATAAACCACAGGCACAGCGACTGAGCTATAGACCTGATATATTTATCAAACCAGGCACACCTTACTACTAGGCCTACTTATAAATATAAAAAAGGAACGGTTCTATGAACAGTACACATACAAAACCTCTGTTTTGATTGACATGATATCCCCTGATATTTTCTTGGGTTTGTTTCGGGGGGGGGGGGGGCGCTGGGGTTATATTACTAATTAATGCACTAGTTCCTTTCGGAATGATTTCTGCTGGAGAACTAAGTCCTCTCACCGTTCCTGTCTGCTCATATTAGCAAGCAATATGAAATTGATGAAAATAATGCTACCCAACCTCAGTTCTATAATCTAAGGCGATTTTGGAATCTGTGCCTTCTAAGTTCTATTTTTAAAGGAGCTAAATCGCTAATATTTAGTACCTAGAAATTGACAAAAATGGGTCGCAACGTATATGAAAATGTAATATGAATGTATATAAACTGATTTACATTCAATCGTTTCTGTTTTTACTGTAATTTCTAATCAGTTATGTTCGGCGACATATGCCAGAAGTCTCATGTGAATGACAATATTTAGCGTCTGGTTTTTCCAGTCTACTCCGATGGTATTTATTGCGCATGCTCTCCAGATAAGAATATAGCGTCACCATTTGACATGACTTATGGAATATGTCTAGCCCTGTTCTTTGAGTCCCTTGTTCCAAATGGCGCTGAAACGCATTATGGTACACGATTCATGTACCAATGGTAAAATGTTTATTTTGTCTTGAATATTGGATATCAGAAGCCCATCTTTTCCCTGTAAGATAACAAGACCAATGTTGATTTGAATTGACAAATAATTTGTGTTTTCAATGTCGAAGATTTTTGATGATATTGAGTTAGAGACTTAGCTACTTTTACCGGAATTCTTCTTTTTTTGCCAAAATTAAGAAATCATTTCTCACCACATCTGACATAATTTTTAATAGTTCTACCATGAAGACTTATTGCCAATAATGTCAAAAAGAAGGTGCAGGAACTGTCAGAGGACTTCATCTGTTCAGAAACTGTTTAAAAAAGAACTACTATGTACCGTCAGGCTTGACTTAAAACTTAATTTTGCCTGCATATTGACCTATAATTTAATCAAATTGTTATTAAAAGGTGATTAGGCTTTCAATTATTTTTTTTTTAAATTACATTGGCGATTAGATATATCTCTGTGCCACAATGGTGTATTAATATTTTGATGTATATTCATTATTACCCAATGTGATATTTCACATGCACCGTACCAAATCCAAGAACTGATACTTTATCTGCCAAAACTTTGTCAGAGTAGGCTTATATGCCTCACCTTCCAGCAGTTTTTAAAAAAAAAAAAAAAACAAGGCTTGGTAGAATATTATTTGTTACGTTCTCTGCTCTACATGTTTGACCAGGTTGTATTTTGTATCATTACAGCTGTTAACAGAAATCCATATGCAGTAAAGATTGCTGAAGATATTCAAAGCCAAAGGTTAGTACGGGTACATCAATTTGATCTAAAGATTTTGCATATTTCCAAGAATTTTGTTCAAACTGCTCACCCAAAAAGTAGAAGACACAGTACGATGTTCGCGAATACAGTATAGACAATACAGCTTTAAACAATAAACAAGTTTACAGTTAACATGCTAAAATATCAAAATGAGTGCTATATCCTAATCCAAAGATGTGTACTATTTTCATATTTCATTTCCATCTTTTTTTTGGGGGGGCGGGGGTGGTCATGCATGTATGTATCTGTTCCTTAGAATAATAAGTAAGTAAATAAATAAATGATTTGTTTTTCTTGCAGATGTGATGAAAAGATTGGAACTGAGAAATGCAGGTAGAGACTAAATTCTAATACTAGCACTGATTAAATTTAAGAATCCATGATATAAAATTTTGTTATTCATTGTTTTTAAACTGTAACATTGTGTATTGAGTACCTAGTATCAAAGAACATGAAAATGTAAAGTTCTTAAATTGTTCTTTATGAATTTCAGATTCAGCAACACTTTATTAGCCAGTTTGTTGGCACCAAAATCAACACTGTGTTACCAAAATTTTGATCTTAAAATAGACGATATCAGATTTATTGGATTCCCCGTCCTACTACATGAGACTTTACCAAAACAAACAGGACACAGAATTATAACAGTAAATGTAGTTTTTGCTCTAAAGGTAGGCTGTAGTTTATGGCAGAAAAATAAGTGGTTTTTTTAATTTTAATATAAAAAGGTTTAAGTTTTTGTCATAAAATAATGGGTAATGATAATTAATTACTTTCACTGAAATGGGTAATGGTAATTAATTAATTACATTACTGGAATTGAGAAAGTAATTGTAATGATTACATTTATAAGGTAATGGTAATGTAATTATTTTACATTGACAATGTAATGGCCCCAGACTGGTAGTTTATTGTATCAGGATCAGAATGGGGTTTTGAAATCAATTACGAATTATGAAATGGAATTGAATGGTGTTTAATGTCTCGGCAACAGAATTCATTGGGCATTTTGAGATAGATAAGAGGCAATTTTTATTTGTATGGTTATGTTCGAGAAGTTTTCTCAGACAGTTGCTTTCCCTGCAAATGATTTTGGTATCCAAATGGGGCGAGGTGGTGGTGGCAGGAATAGTGTAAATAAAAGCCCACAGTGTGATTCCAATCAGTCTGAACAGTTCAATACAAAGAATATTTTTTGTTGTTTAATTTCAGGCAAATTTAGAGAAATTTATTATAGACAGATTCCACATTATATGTAAACAACTGACAGTAGCAATACAACATGAAGAAAGACGATGTAATTATTTATCAGTGCAAGCTAAAGTTATGATGGCATTACATGATGAAATGGCCGCACGCACAGAAGGTAATTTATTATAATAGTAGCATGAAATAGCCGTTAGAACACTAGGACTTCAATAAAACTCAGCTTTCAACATGGCTGGTATTAGTATGGCTCCCAACCACTGTTTCCTCGCAGCTCTGCACATGCACTCATGTTTTACTTGTGCACACAAATTTTGGGCTATATAAAGAAATATTGCCACAGCACTTTTTGAGATTCATTAAAGTTGTAGATGACCAGAATATAGTGTGTTTTAACTCCATACAAAGACTAGATATGGTTGTTATTATAAATTTATGACAATATTTCTGCTTTAATCGACCATCGAAATAAATTGATTAAGCTGTTAAAAACTTTGATTTTATTATTTTTAACAGATTGTTTGGAATCACCTTATAAACTGATTCTTCAAAAAAGTCAACTGGCAAATGAATTAAAACAAGTGTTTGACAGGTAAAGTAGAGTATTATTTTGATTGTTCATATATCAGACAGAGTGATAGAGAGAGAAACAGAGCTTAACATCTACTTAACACAAACTATGTCATTTTGGGATTAACATGTACAATTTCAATCATTCTTTGTCAATTTCTATTTACAGTTTATGTTCTACTGGTGTCGTTCGAATGTATTTAAATAACTGGATAGAGATCAATGTTTGTTTACCAACAATATACAATGATTTTCTACCTTCCTCGTCTTCTAAATGTGATGTAGGTACTTTTATATTAATATCAAACTTTGCCTTTCACTTAAAGATTTATGATGTAAGATTTAGATAAAGAGCTTTTATAGTTTCAAAATAGATAATGAACAATGAATATAATGAAAATTTCAGTCAATATTTGATATGATCTAATCCAATTAATAGTTGATCATAAGCTTGTCATGTGAATAAAAGTGATAATATAGATAATATATGAAGCCAGCCCTTCAATACACAGATTTAGCTCTTACATAATGCATCTTTAAGAAGTTTTGGTTGGTTTGTCATTACTATGTTTAGTACTGTCATGTATGGGTAGTTATGCTGCACTTTCTCTCAGACCCATGATCAGCATGTATTAGTAATGCCATTTATGTTGTTCAATAAAAGAAGAGAAAAATTTACTGGAATTCAAAGATCACACCGTAATAAAGTTTAATTGTTCATAATCAGTTACGCAAAAATATTTTTGAAAATAAACATTTGATTGCTCTTCTCAAAATTCTTGACTCCAAATTTTATAGTTTTTAAAAAGAACACCTAACCACAAGACTGAAGAACAAGAAATCATATGGTATGGCCAAATTATATGATTTGCATGAATAGTCCAGTATAATCTCTATATTTTTATATTATTTCAGTTTAGTGCTATAGAGAAGTGTATTTCTGGTTTAAGGTAATATACTTTATACTGTCAACTAGGTTACTTTTCATATATTAGGCAATGGATCAAAAACATTTCTATGTTACCTTTCAAATAGTACCTGAAACTCAAATGTTTCTACCCCAGTATGAAAAAATCTTTATTTCCTAGTGTCATTTCTGAATAGTTGTTCTTCAGAAGAAGATTGTGGAAAATTAAATTAGATCGCCACCACCTATCAGACACCAGCTATAATACTGAATTGTAAAAATTGGATGTAATATTTTCAGTGGATGTAAAGAAGAAATTGAAGAAGTCTTGATGACATAATTGATGACATAAGCCCTTTTGGCCATTGGCTTGATGTGCTAAAAGATCTCACTATCCTATTTATTTTAATTTATTAAATTACAGGCCATACCATGGTGTATTGTTAACTGTAGATGAACAAGCATTATTAGATTCATTACCAATGGATAGTACTCCAGCATTAACTAGATTAGTAAAGGCAACCAGTCCCCTTAAAAATATACAAACCATTGCCTTAGATGCTGATCTAAGTCTTTCACAGGTACAATCTTTTATTTTACAGAATTAAACTGTTGGACTCACTCAAGATAGTAACCTTGCCCAATGCATGACAGAAATCAACTAACAACCAAAAGCTGGTGTACGTTATTGATAATAGGGTGAAACATGTAACTAAAACGCATTAAATGCTAATAAGTTATATTATATTTTCTATGAACAGTAAAAAAACCTACACATTTTCATGTTCCGAATTTGGTGTTTACAAACAGTAGTGATTATTAACTAATATGAACGATAATAGAACCAGACTAATTGTTCATTTAACCAGCGTCGAATGTAGTTTGAGAGACTATGTTGTTTATTGTGTAGAACATCAGTTGAGTGTCAAACACCGACAATTGATACATTTCATTTCAAGCGTAGGACATTCATGGTCACTATTAGACCCTAAACCTTGACATAAATGTTTAAATAAATTTTAAGGATTAGCTGACAAGTTGACTTCTTAATCAACAAATAATAATCAACGGATTGTAGAAAGGAGGTTGATGTTGATTTAGGATTTATAATGGCTGATTCACTGTTTTATCAATCAACTTTTTCATACAACATCGGGCAACTATAATAATCAGCCTCTTAAGATTCCTGGGTTTGAGTTTCATAAAGGTATTGTGATTTCCAGTTCCATACAAGTACCGGTATTGTGTTTTATTATGTGAAATTTATCTGTGGCTACAAAGTAATGAATATGATTTAAAATTGTCATTAAAATTAACTTTTCTACCAAATTTCAGGTCTTTCAGTTAGTTTGTCATCTAATTTATTGGGCAAAAGCTATAATAATTTATCCACTATGTGAAACCAACACTTATATCATATCACCACATGCAAATATATATGTGTAAGTAAAAAAGAACTAACTCATTACAGATTCACCTGTGGGGGGGTAATCGTTTGTCGTCCCGAGAGTTTTTAATTGATAGGAATGCAATTAAGTGACTCAGGTCTATCAGTCCCAATAACTGAAGTAATGTCAATAGAATCGTTATGTAAATAAACACAGCGAACGTGTTTCAACAGTTGTGGTTGGGTAATGTATTTTCTTATTCAGTTGGCGCACGCTTTGTAGCCCAAAATTCTATCACTGATCATGGAATTGAGAGAAATCTATACTGTATTTCAGTAATTGTCACTCATGGCTGAGGGAAGACCTCAAAATATGCACACCTGTGTATAATGAATATGCTTGATCTCACTGTATGAAATAACATCAAATTGATGTGTATTCCCCATTAAAATTATTAATTAATGGTGATGTGATTTTTAGGAATTCCAATCTAGTACAGATATTTGTTGATGAGTTTCCTGGTAAGAATCTTCATGTTGAGTTGGCTGAATTTTCTCTACCCAAACAATTACGAGATGGCAACATATTTGAACATCGTTACAAACAGGTTTGTATAATATTAAGTTTACAGAAAAAGGTTTAGATTCAATTAACATTATGATTGTGCAGCTGTAGTGTTGTTTGATGATTTTCCTTATCACTTGGATGGAACAAAAAACCAAAGTCTTGTGAAAGATCTGTCAAATATACTTTTTTAAAAAAAAGCAGGATGAGAAATGAAATGATATGGTGTTTAATTTTTCTCTATTTCTGCACCAAGTGGGCTAATGCAAACAGGGAGCTGCCATGCCGTGTGCTATGAGGATAACTCTGTCCAGAGAGCAGAGTTTCCACCTACTCTTCATCCAATTTTAACAGTCAAGGGTTCTTTCACATGCATGCATGACATATCCCCATTTCCATTAGCCCAGTTGGTGTAGAAAAGAAGAACAATAAACACCATATCATTTAATTTCTCATCCTGCTTTTCTTTAAAAAAAAGTATCTTCTGTCAAATGCAAATGTCACCTAGTATTCAGTATTTATTATGGATTGTTTATACGTCCAAATTTTCAGAGGGACGTATATTGTCATCACCCCTGTCCATCCATTCACATTTTGTTCATGGACACTCTACAGGTCACAATTTTTATCTGATTTTGACGAAACTTTAAATATAGGTTTATATCCCAAAGATCTCTGATCCTGTCGATATTGGCATGATTGGCATGTATCGGACCTTAACTTTATGAATTGTGGCCCCTGATTGTACAAAAATCACAATTTTAGCTTGTTCTCTGTCCATCTCATGAAAAATATGGGGGTATATTGCATGGCAACCGCTTGTTCTGGTCTGTTCCTACACTTTTACCAATCAGTAAGTTAATTAAATTATTTATTTATTCCAGGCACAAAGTGTAAAGATGGTGATATGGTTATTACAGCATCAATTATTGATGCAATTACATAAATATATATCTATTATAGCACCTAAATATAAATATGATATAGATCCAGATAAACAGACTGATACACCACAAGTTATAGAGGAAGATATCTTTAGTGTTTTATTAGATGATAATCATCTAACTAGAACTCATAGTTTATCAGATTTAGCTTCAGGTATCTAGTAACTTGTTTAATTGGCATTTAGTAATTGGACATATGACAAGGTACAGTTTTATGGATACACATAATTCCAATAATTGTGTATCTATAAATGTGTACCTTGTGTTAGGTATCTAGTAGATTATTTTTCAATCCAGATTATTTACGGTATTTGGAAATACCTAATTCTTAATTAACTTAAACCTTTGTCAAGGTGGGGGGGGGCATGAAACCATAAGGTCTGTCATTCAATCAAGTGACATGGTGTCGATTCCCCACTGGTACTTGACAAGGTGTGGAGTCATCTGTCCACCCTCATGGGTTTTCTCTGGGTCCTCTGGTTTCCACCTACTGCTAAACACCCCTATGTGTAAGTGAATTATTGAAACATCTCTCTTCTCTCCACTCTCTCTCTCTCCCAACACCTGGGCTGGTCATAAAAACAATATAATTATGTCCATTTGTCGGCTCCATAATCAATGCTGTTAATATATGAAAGCTTCTCAGAAGTATTTTACAGAACCAGAATTTTATTGTTATAAATTTAGTCCAGTTGTTTTAAATTAAGCTTAAACTTCAAGCCCTGAGGGCTACAACTCTTTCAAAAGTAGTGAATGGGGGTGGTCCCAGGAAGGTACAAAAATTTATGGAGGTGGGTGTAAATATATTTTTATCTCAGGCTAAAATTCTGTTTATAATCAACTGGAAATGAATTTTATGGGCTCCAGAACCAATCCCTAAATTCTCCGAAATAAAAGTTATCCAGAAAAGTGACATACATTATGTTGTGTTATACAAGAAACATCTGAAGCTGCTTACTTCAGCTGCAAGAACGACCAACCAGAATTTCCATTCAGGACCTTGTGATACATTTTATTGTATCTTTTTTTTCCCTTTATTTTAATTAGTGAACAGTGATGAAAGTTTTGGCGGTGTACAACTCGACAACCATGAACCGATTGTAGCACAGATGAATAGTGATGTTTTAAAAGCCATTAAAAGTTTACCTGCTGCCAAAAATGTTGAAGATTTAAAATTCTTTTTAAAGTTAGTTTATACAAAATCTACTTAAAATTACTGGTAGTCTCACCCACACATATATCTTTAGTTGTCGAAGTTTATAAAAATAGTTATAATTTAGTTGCACTATTATATAGAGTTTAATCCAGTTACTGGAGCTCGCGGGTGGATTTGAGAAACATATGGTATGGCACTAGAAGTGTGTGCCTAAACCATGTACTTTTATTTTCTCCTGGAACACCTCTGCCAAACTTGCCCTGCACCTTATCTATGCATGTGCCTAATCCACCGAAGAAAATGGTAGTGTGCTGTGATGGAAATTTTGCCCAGACGGCCTACTCAAACTGTCATTGGGTCTTTTATGTAACATGTCAACATGTGCATAGGAACCCTTTTTATTGTCCCATCTGAACAACTAGACGATGTTCCTTGTCAGACCTTTGTCCTGGTTAGTGAGTTAGTGCCTACTCACTGAGGCACCATAGTTCCCTCCAAGCTCTGATATTTTAAATTAAAATATTGTAACAATCGTAAAAAAGGTACATATTTTAACTTTTTATATATTTATAGACTAAATAGTTAGGTGTGGCTAATATATCTTCTATATCTATTTCAGACTGTGTCCTTATTTTAATGGAAAATGTCACATAGAAGAAATAATGTTTTATGAGAATATATCTAGATCACAAATTACCACGTTACTGGACAAGTTTAAGGACATTCTAGTGGTTTATTCCCACCAAGATCCTGCTACAACATTTTTTACATGACAAATGAATTATACAGCTTTATTTATTATGCAGTTCGTACCAGGGCTTATGTGTCTTAGTGTTTCACTATACATCATGTGTCCGTATCAACAGAGTATCCCCACTGTATTCAACATTTAATTCTGTGGTCTATATCGTGATCTTCAAAATGATGTCCAAGCCACATTTATACAAATATTTCGGGGTTGTATATTTGTATTGGATTTAATCAAAAACAGCTATTGGGTCACAAGACATCTGATTATGAACATTATTGTTACAGATCTGTTTGTATACCAAGTAAATCCAGGTCAAGAATTTCATCAGTTGTATTTCAGATTACAGAGTGAATTCTATCAATAGAAACATAATTTTTATGATAAAATGTGATCAACAATATTGTTAAATATTATGAAGATTTTAAATACAGGGTATCACATAATCAATTGATATAGATATTGTTTTATTATAAAGTTAATAAGTTCACTACACAATGTGGGAGTGAATCCAGTCGATTTCTTCCTAAATATGCCAACTGACATGCTGTTAAATTGAAAATATTAATGATTAGTGCAATATATATTATGTACATACTATATAAATTAAAAATCAAAAAATAAAATCATTTTATATCAACTAATATTTTTTCCGCTGGTTTATCTCGTACACTAACAAAATCATTATTAAGAATATAAAACCTGAGTAATTTATCAACCCAATCTTCTGCGTATCCGATATTAATTCTTTTACTAACAACTATTTTAGAATCTGAGATAGGATCACCGTCTTCTAACCAAAGTTTATCACTATCAGTCAAATCAACTTTATTTAATTCAGGTTTTGTTATATCCAATGCTTGACACATCTTAGAAGGTCCATTCGACAGATCTTTTTCCTTTTTAGTCAATTTTTTAGGAACTTTGGCAACAGGTGGTTTGTCTTTGTCTGTGGAAACATTGGTTTCATTATTGGTATTTTTCCATCTTAGTAAGTTCATCTTTTCTTTACCCTCCAAAGGCTCTACAGCCCTCAGTAGCACAGCACAACCTTCTCCTACATGTAATAAAAAATAGTGGTAAAAATATGGATGAGGATAGGGTAGAGTTAACATGGTTTGAAATATCAATTAGGTCTGAGTAACTACGCAATAATAAAATTATGCTGACAGAGAGAAAATGTAATTTGTTAAAATGTGATTTGATAAATATGTGATTTGATAACGGATCGTCATGTCATGTCATTTTATTATTTTGTTAAATCAGTTCATTTGTCTGTCAATGAGCCAAGTGGCGAGGTTTCGATCCCACACTTGTCTGTAACAAGGATTTGGGTCCCTGTCCAACCTCATGTGTTTTCTCCAGGACTTCTGGTTTCCTCCCATAGTTAAAGATAACTATGCACAAGCAAATTATTGAAATAAAACTAAACCATATGTTAGTCCCGAAATGACCTAGTTTGTGTCGAGTGGACGTTAAACCCAATTTCTCTCTTATTTCCCAGAACCAAGGAGGAAATAGTGTGTGCCATTTAAAAGAGTTATTTCCCTTTATTTGGGTGAACCATGATATACAACTGTCAAACACAGCACAGCTATAAGAGGAAATGAAATGAAATAGATTTTAGTCTCCATTCAACACAACTGTGCGCTTTCTGAATTAGCATGTTAAATATATATTTAATAATATTCATTTGCATGTAGCAGTGTTTAGTGCTCGACAGAACCTATAGAAAGTCAGGAACTCACAAGACTCATAATAGAGCATCCTGACATCCAACCTGAGACAACAAAAACGGTACTTGTATTAAAAGAGTTTTAGGGTCCATTCACACCAAGTTTGCCCCAAGTCATAATTTCTCTTTAAAATAACTTTTCCTGTGTGTACACAATTTGAAAGGGCATACAGGTTTTTATTATTGAACTTTGGTGCATCTTAACTCAGATTTGATTCTGAAATCCTATCACATTATGTCTATCTTTATTAGCCCGGTTGGTGCAGAAAAGTAGGATGTTAACCCCCATTTCAGTTGATTATTGTTTTCTACACCATAAATAAAATTTTGAACTTATTTTACCTTGACATGATATATTCATACAACAATACACCCCATATATATAATAAACATAAGCTGTGCCTGGTTCCATAAACATGGCTTCAGTTTTATTTGATCTTTTACCATTATAAGAATGAGCTGCTTTATCCACTAGTCCCAGATACGCCTCTGTTTCAACAATAATCCCACTCATTCTTTCTCCTTCATGCATTCTCACCAATTTTTTTCCAAGTAAAGACTTGGCTAAGTCTTCTCCTGTTTGATCAAAGAACTTTTTTGTCAATTTGTGCGAATTCTCTGCTTTCATTGAAAAATATTTGCTCTGGATAACTTTATTTTTCACTGTTTTTTCCTCTTTATTTATAATACTACTTCCAGCATCACCTCCAGGAACAGCAGTTTTTCGCTTGGGCATTTTACAGATTCCTGTGTTCTGTATAAATGCTCTGAAAGTCAGACCCTAGAATTAAACCAGAAATAATGCATAATCAATTACCGGTATACTTGGAATGAAATGAAATGGAGTTTAATGTCCTACTGTTCTGCTTCGAACTGGGCTAATGAAGACGGGCATACCCCATACAGTGTGCTATGAGGGAAATTTTGCCCGGACAGCGGCACTACGGCCTACTCTTACATCGATTTCCAACTGTCAAGGGATCTTTTACGGGCACGCCAATGTGTACATGGGACCACGGTTTTTCGTCCCATCCAAACGACTAGACAGCTGTCCTTGTCAGGCTCTCCGTCCTGCATCACTGACAAGGGGGAACCACGCCGGAATATCTGGATGAACTTTCTTGGTCAATGCAGGGATCAAACACCCGACCTCCAGACTAGCAGCGTCTTACCTACTTAGCCACCTTGACCCCCCCCCCCCCCCAAGTATACTTGGACAAACATGCTTTCAAGTCATCTGAATCTGAATGTATACACTGCAGGACCTTATTCCGGTATAATTGCAGTGGAATTATATGCATATCCATTTTTCCATGCATTAGAAAAAGGATCAGTACTATTTATAACAGTCTTTTGACTCAATTGATCAAATTTAGGCTTGATCAAATGTCGGTATATGCAAATATGCAAATAATAAATCGATCAATTCCTTCGGATGGGACAGAAATATAGCCATGTGACACAGCCTTCACTTTTACTTTTGTGGTGGTTTTTTTTTTTTTTCATTCCTAACAAGAATGTAGTTTGTATCACACCTCAAACCCATGGCTCGTTTATGTCTCTAAATTGTGTATCGATAATCTTGCTGTCACATATTAAACATTTTTACCTGTGCGTGCGTTGTGTTGTGTTGTATTGTGCAATATTTGTAAACAAGTTTGATTATCAAGTTCCCATTTTTTTTTTCAATAGATATACGGGGCATGATAATCAAGTCTATACCGGACGTTCCAGTATGTAAATTTCCTAATTTGCACTTGATTTTTCAGTCCCTATCTCTTATGACTTTCAGTGGGACGTCTGGATAATCACGACGATAATTTGGACCCGACAAATGACGCACTTCCTTTTTAAATAATCCCCCAACACCAAAACACGTGTTTGGGAAATGATCTCCCGTATTTTGATGAATTTTGATTGATTATACACATATTACTAAACAATCAACATGAAGCTTACTGAGTCAACATCTGATGTTAAAATTAAGAAAGACAAAAGTCTGAAAAAAAAGAAGAAAGTCCAATCTGAAGATGAAGTAAGTAATAAGGATAATTTGACCTATTTTTAATTTTGTTTTGCCCATTTTAGTAAGTTACAAGTTAGACATTTATTTCTATTTATTTACATTTACATTAGAATTATATAAATAACCATAATTGCCAGTTTTGGGATCAATTAATGTTGGCAGTATTCACAATATTCGTTTTTTTGTCTGTCTGAAACACAAAACATTAGTTCTAAGATATTATATATTTTGACAGGTACAAAATTGACAAACAACTTCTTTTTTTCCACACATGGAATTGTCTGTCCTGCTTTATCTTTACATTGCTTTATATAACACATATCTATTTACCATTATCGTGTAACCAAAACCTATGTTATCAAACAACTTCTTTTTTCCATGTGTGGTTCCAGCCTCTTCTATGGTATATGTTAACTCGGGTACTTCGCCTACAAACACGCTTATATCTTCCTCATCTTCAGACATTGATGGTGAATGATTCTTCGATATCCATTTCTTCTTCTGCAGGCGGGACCACACATCTAGAACATTTCCACTCAAAGACAGTTCCATTATGGTTGAAACTCCTGTATTCATCTTGAGTGATGCCTGAAATAGTAATAATAACATAATAGATTAACATTTTGTACGATGTTGCCATAAATCATTAATAATAACAGCAAATTTTATTACGTATTAATACTAATAATAACAATAAAAGAAAAATTCATTATGTACCGGAATCGAGGGTACGATGTTGCCATAAATGACAAGCATCACACTGGAGGCCTCATTGTCGAAGACAGACCGGATCGGTACACTTAACACAATTTCCACTAGCCATAATAGATTCGTATGAAAATTGAGAATGATTAGAATTGGAATATGGCACATAGTATGACATACATATAATACATTTGGGCTTTGGCTATCAATAATCTCAGTTTTGTTTCAATAATCAACACAGCATTAAATACAACAAAAGGCAAGTTGCAGTGTTTTTATTTATTTTTCAATCGTTTCCTAACGGCTTTAAGAATGGCTGCTCAATTATCGTTAATAATCTAAACTTACTCATCAAAATACAGATTAAATACAATAATCGCCGATCAATTAAATAAAACAAAACACAAAAGGGAAGTAACGGTGGTTTTACTTCAAGTTCAAGTGCGTAAGGTCTGTATGGGATAAATAAAACACAACTAACAATGTTTAATTTCTTTTTTATTGTGAATTGTCTGTCTTCAACCTCAACTAAAACAAAAGAAAAAACAGTTATTACAAATATATACATAGAATTTTTCAGTTTTTATTGAGTCTGAAATGACGCCAGTCCGAGTCCGAAATGTTGCCAGTCAGAGTCCGAAAAGTCGTCAAACTGAGTCCAAAAAGTCATCAAACTGAGTCTAAAAAGTCGTCAAACTGATTCCGAAATGAGGTGCTACCTAACAGGTGGATGGTTAGCACATGCACAATGTATCATAAGGCTGTCATTGAACTATGTGTTAGTCCCAAAATGACCTAGTTTGTGTCGAGTGGACAAACCCCATCTCTCTCTCTTTCTCTCTCTCTCTATTGCATTATTGAAATTGAATATGAGTCATATCAGATCAACCATGAATGCCAGGTATAGTTAATTTAAGTAACGGATTGATCCCTTATCTATCTTATACTCAATAGTATTTCAGTGTTTCCAGAATTGCATTCTATCAATCCAGTGATAGTAAAAATTATCTTAAAAAAAAGAACGAACAACAAAACGTGGTCTATCACAGTATCAGCAATGTCGAAATATGTCATATCATATTGTTATTATTTCCTATGGCTTTGTCAATTTGAGTAATATCAACGTAAAACTTGGCACATGCTTGTTCTATGCCATGGATATATGTCTATTGGTTGATGTAGATGGGATTTGGTTCATCTATTACGCTTGTAAATTACTGTCATTTTATTTTAAAAAAACATTTTAATATAAATCTGAATGTTAATTTGGTCTATTATAGGAAGAAGAGGTAGTTGTCAAGAAAGATAAAAAAGAGAAGAAAGAAAAGAAAGACAAACCAAGCAAAAAGGAGAAAGCAGAAAAAGTAGAATCAGATACTTCTAAAACAGATAAAAAGGAAAAGAAGGAAAAATCAGATAAAAAAGACAAGAAAGACAAAAAATCAACAGAAATCAATGGAGTCAATGGTAAAAGCAAAGATTCACATCAAAATGGGGAGACCATTTCAGAGGAAGAAGAACTGACACCACAACAAATAGCTGGTGCCTTCACAAATTTTAAGATCAGTCCCATTACCATAAAGAAGCTAAAAGGTAGGCATGGTCATTGTGTGTTGCTTGGGGAATATTACCCACACCTTACATGGATTCTTCCACCAATGTGCTGTACTTTCAGTAAGGAGGCTACTTCGTCACGATCTTGGATTAGATTTAGAATTTCGTACACACAGGAGTGAGACTTCTGCTTCGTTTGTTATTTTTAGAAAAAAACACTTGAATGTAAAATATAAGATATAATTTGAATCAAACAGGTTGTAACACTAATTCAGTGATTTCATATCCAATGAGTTATACACTGTGAGAATTCATTAATTATCCAAGATTACAAAATACAAGGAACATACATGTAATGTAAATTACAATATTATTTTGTGGCTTTTGTGATGCTCTTTAGCTTTAAAGATGCATTCCTTTGACTTTCAAGGGTTTAACCATAGATTCAAGAATATTCAAATGTACATTGAAACTATAGGTTTGTTGCTTAGAAATAAGGTTTGTTAAAGATGAATCTCTAGGAGGAGTCTTGGTACAAAAATGGTTCAATTTCGTGGAATTGAAATAGACCTCCCCCCCCCCCCCATTTATGTTGTGGGCAAACCGGCTTAATGGACCTGTTTTAAATCAGGAGATTATCTAGCATTTTGTTTTCTTAATTAAATTTTAAATAATCAATCTGAGTATATATTAGCATGGATTAAGCCCTGCAAATTTTAATCATTTAGGAAAAAATTGTGAAGGATGCATTGTTTAAGTGATTTTCTGTATTTTTTTTTTCAGCTAAAGGGATAACATATTTATTTCCAGTACAGACTGAATCATTTGATATTGTTTATAGTGGTGCAGATATTATTACACAAGCCAGTAAGTTGTTCATAGACAATCCTTCTTTAGCCTTAAATTTTCTATAAATTATTAATTGAAAAATTTATTAACTTGCCAAGACCACAATTAACTCCCTATGCCATCAGATGTTCTAGATTTTCAATGTATTTAAACACGATTGGTGGTTAATGATTTAATTACAAAATGGATAATGACAGTCAAGACTCAACTATTCTCCAAACAGCCTTAACATCTCTCAGAATGAAGTAATTTGACTGAAGATGAAACTGTCAGCTCTTTATCTAAATCTTACATAATGCATCTTTAATTGCTAGAGATGATTTTGTGATGTTATTGTTGAATATTCAAAGAAACTTAAATACAACCCCACCTTCAGCTGTAGGTATTCTACTGTAGCTATATTAACCTTAGATGACCTCACAAAAAATATATAATCCATTGTCATTTAAAATATTTTAATATTTTTTAACAAAATCCTTTTCAGGAACTGGAACTGGAAAAACAGTAAGTGTGGCTGATTGTTTTACTGCAAAATAAGAGATTGATTTTAAAGATTTAGATATTCTGAAACATAAGATCTAAATGTGTATTGTAAAATTAGTATTTGTTAACTGTTTAAATTATTGAATGTTATTATAAGTATTTTTCTCTGAATTTTAATAGAATTATTTATTTTATAGCTTGCCTTCTCACTGCCAATAATAGAGAAATTACAGTTGGATAAATCTCCACCAAAAAGAGGACGACTTCCGAAGGTTGGTATTATTGATAATGGAGTTATTCTTTGATTCATACATTTTCGAGATCAAGTAGGAAGTCTGATCTAAAATACAGAGACATAAGAAACAATAGAGCAGGGATCCCCAACTCAGGGCCCATCTGTGTGGTCTGTTAACCCTTCCCCCAATGGCAATGCGTTGCTGGGTTTGTTTTTTTTTTCGTCCTTTTAAGGTTGTGACCGCTTGGCCTGAAAAGGTTCAGGACACCTGCACCTGCAATTAGAATTAAAATCAGTGAATTTACAAAGTTTTTTTGTCAAAAGGAAATGAAATGAAATGGGGTTTAACGTCCTACTGTTCTGCTCCTATACTGGGCTAATGAAGACGGGCATACGCCATACAGTGTGCTATGAGGTAAATTTTGCCCGGGCAGCGGCACTATCGCCTACTCTTATATCGAATTCCAACTGCCAAGGGATCCTTTACGTGCATTCCAATGTTTATACGGGACCTCGGTTTTTCGTCTCATCCGAAGGACTAGACAGCTGTCCTTTTCAGGCCCTCCATCCTGCATCACTGACAAGGGGAAACCACGTCGGAAAATCGGGATGAACTTTCTCGGCCAATTTGTCAAAAGGAATAAGATTTGATTGGTGAGGTAGTCAATATGAAACTAGTATCAGGTTTTCCAGAAGTTTGCATACTCTATCTTGTGTATGATAATCATTATAATTTTTAGTTCTTCAGCAAATACAGGCCAAAATTTATGGAGGCAAAATCGCTTAAGAAATTTGTAGGCTAAAACATTGTATCAAATGATATTCCAGTCTTCATCTGAACAAAATATATAGCCAGTAGCCACACATTTAGTCTTCCGTTATTACTGGTGCATGTGTCTTTATTTTAATTAAACCCCATATACTTTAGGTAATAGTCATGGCACCCACTCGAGAATTGGCCAAGCAGGTATCAGAGGATTTTCAGGCCTACTCCACATCATTAATTGTTCTATGTATTTATGGAGGAACACCTTACGGACCACAAGGTATGTTCATATAACTGACATTTCACAATTCTATGGAATGCAATTACTGAGCGACATTCCGACCAGGCTTCTCTCGTCTTTAACGAGCAACATCGCTCAGTAATAAGCACTAATTCTATTCCATATCATTGTGACCTGTGTATTCCAGTTCAACTACTAAATGCCATTAAAACAATGTAACTGACATTTACTGCATGTCATGTAAGAAAATATCATATTGTGAAAAATCAAATTGTTAGATGATGATAAACTTGAATTTTCAGTCATAATTCCCTTTTGGGTAAAATGATTTTTGGGATACACTTACTATCCGGAGGGGAAAGATCAGGAATTTTGCCAACATTATGTATAGGATAGGAACTATCTGTAATTTTACTGGTAGGATAGGTAGTATTGTACCAATCAACTGGTTTTTGCAGGGATCGAAATGAAAACACACAAATGAATATTTGTGTTTAGCATCAATTCTCAACAGTCTGCTGTTTAGTTTGTGTCGAGTGGACATTAAACCCCATTTATCAATTTTTTTTATTATACTTTATTGAATGAATAGAATTTGAAGACAAATTTATAGAAAAGTAGTATTTGACAAATTTCCAATGAAAATAGTATTTGATAATATATTCAATAGAATTGTATTAGTTCTGTTAGTCAATCAGTTATTGATCACAGCCCAGATTCTCTTTAAATGACAGATATAAGCTTACAGTGTTTATTGAAGAATTAATGTATAATATTTTATATTTTAGAGCGTGTATTGCGATCAGGAGTAGACGTTATTGTTGGTACACCAGGACGAATAAACGATCATATACAAAAAGGAAATATAAACTTGTCAGAAATAAAACATGTTATATTAGATGAAGTTGATAATATGTTAGATATGGGATTTGTGGAAATTGTTGAAGAAATTCTAGGACATGCTTATAGAGATGGTAAGTGTAGATTTGATATACTTCCAACTAACTAACAAGTGATACAAGCATTTAGTTGAGTTATCATTTGTCATGGACTTTGTAAGACACAAATTATCACTAAACGCGTACATTATAATATGTAAGTTATGTCCAGGCTTGGATATCATTGAGTGCTGAACATAGTCAGACCCCATTTCATGAGTAGAAAGCTGGTTAATTAATCTCTGTTTATTTGTGTATTTAACAGGAGAAAGAGAAGACAAACCACAGACCATGTTATTTACAGCTACGTTACCACCATGGGTTAGAAAAACAGCTAATAAATATATGAGAGATGATGTTAAAACTATTGATTTAATTGGTAAAGATTTCAACAAAACATCAAAAACAGTTCAGGTATACATTATTTCTTATTGTCATTTACACAAGGGACTTCACTATAATTATTTATTTGTGCCTGTAAGAAAGAGTTGGGTGATAAATAAAATCTTCTACTCGTCTTTTTTGATATCAAAAAATATCAACTGTTAAAAAAAACTGACAAAAGGCTTTTCTTTATACATTATGAACTTGTGATGATATTTTTTAAAATCAACAAAGTGTCATTGGAGATTCTCAATTTGTCGGCTACTCTTCATAGAATCCCAACAGTCAAGGGTTCTTTTACATGCACACCCATCTGAATGACTAAACACTATTTCTTGACAGACCCTCAGTCCCGCTTCACTGACAATGACCCAGTGAGAACAGTATTTGTAGCTTGAGTGTATAAAACTGTTTAATTTGGAAGACCTGTGAAACTATCTGAAGCTCTTAAATATCTTTTCAAGGGGGGTTGGATGGCTGAATGGATAGCACGTACGCGCTGTATCATAAAGTCTGTCATTGAGTCAACTGGCGTGGTTTCGAATCCCCAGTTGTACGTGACAAGGTGTAGGGTCGCCTGTCCAACCTCATGGGTTTTCTCCAGGTCCTCCGATTTCCTCCCACTGCTAAAGACCCCTAGGCGCATGCGAATTATGGAAATAAAATTGAACCATATGTTAGTCCTGAAATGGCCTAGTTTGTGTCAAGTGGACGTTAAACCCCATTTCTTTCTCTCTCTCACCTATTTTCAAGGCAATGTCCAAAAATTCCCCAATTCTACGTTGTGTAGATGGATAACAGTCTATAAATGAGTTACGTAACCCATAGAGAATGTGGTACTGCACCGTAAAGAGTGTACGCCTTAGAGTGGTCACAAAAAATTTTGTACACACAAAGGTTTCGACAATTATGTCAACATTAAATCAGGACCTGTCTTGTTATTTTTTTAGCATTTGGCTATTAAATGTAATCATGGTGAAAGGGCATCTATATTGGGTGATATTGTATCTGTGTATAGTGGAACACATGGTAGAGCTATGATCTTCTGTCAAACCAAGAAAGAAGCAGACGAACTTGCCATCAGTCCTTGTATCAAGGTTGAAGGTCACGTTCTCCATGGAGATATAGCACAAGAAAAAAGAGAATCAGTGTTAAAGGTAATTAATAAATTCAACGAACTAAATTCAAGATCTAAAACAGTATATTTATTGTAATAATTCTGCATGTAGCAGATTAAATGTAACAGAAAAATCCAAAGGGATAAAAAATTGTTTTGGTTATAAATTCAGACCCAGTTTCCAATGTCTTTAATGAGAATTTCCATTTGATTTGCATTGTCTGTGTTAACACCCTCAGTGGAAGCAGACTTTAAGCCTTATTTGTAGAGATGATCGATTAATGTTTATCATGTATATATTATTAGGGTTTTAGAGAAGGTAAATATAAAGTATTGATAACAACAGATGTAGCAGCTAGAGGTTTAGATATTCCAGAAGTTGATATTGTTGTACAGTGTGAACCATCTAGGGTAAGTTTAACTATCAACTAGATCTGAAATCTTGTAAAATAGAGTTATTTCCCTTTCATCTTAATTCCAGTTTTTGAACTGGTCTATTGGAGACGGTTCTGCACATTTTAGCACATATGATGTCATATGTGGGTTAGGATAAGGGTTAGGAACTGCAGATTTCGTCGAAGTCGTGAGATGTAAACAGAGCTAGCCTAACCCTAATGCACAATCCAAATATGACATCATATGTGCAGGACCGTCTCCAATCTAGCATTCGACCTATTTTTACTTTTTAGTTTGTCTACACTGCATTCAGAGATCAAAATGTTTCCTCTTTAGTTATATATCCTTTTTAGCTCTATATTAATCAGTTTTATTAGCCAAAAGAGATTAAATTCTAATTTGTACTAATCCATTGTGTACATGGGAAGTAGGATTGGGTGATATAATATATTTTCTTAGGAATTTAGAACAAATATCAAAACCAGGGCTTGCCACGAGACGCGAGCAGTTGCTCGCACTCGCGCTGTGCTCGCGTAAATCTACATTTACGCGAGCGGTTCGTTGCTCGCGTAAAATTTTAAGAAAAACCTGTAAAAATAATCAAAATATTGATAAGTTTATTGCCGAAACTAACCCGACAGTGTCAATAACGTCATAAATTCGTCTGTCAAACTGAGATTCACCCAGCTGCACGCGGCATTTCCTCCTTAAATTTGATTGGCTAATGAAGTTGCTCACCACTCGTGTTACTAAAAATACACTTGAGACCTGAACATCATGACTGGTTTTCCCACGAACACCAGTAACAAACGCGTGATAATCGAGTCTAAAGTAAAGAATGTTTACATCCGGCATTTGGCATTCACGCTAAATAAACACGTTTCAAACTAATATTTATCGGTATTTCTTATTTTATCAGAACTTCGGTTTTTATTCCATTGTGCAGTCGTATAATTTTAAATCTAAGCGTAATAATGGCCAAAGGAAACCCGATTGCCCTATCTACATTGATGTATCCACATTTATGTCGTGGGGTGAAGAAATCCATACGGTGATTGGTTTTAAAGAAGAGTCGTATGACGATGACTGTCAAAAACAGAAAGCGATGGTCACACATGTTTACTGCAAAGCCAGGAATAGCAATTTCATATGATTTTAAATTGAAACAATGTTACAAAATGTGTGCTCACGGAAACAACATTTTGCGTGAGCAATTTTTATTGCTCGCCTTGCTCGCCCAAGCCTAAATTTGCGTGAGCAGTCATCTGCTCGCCATCAATTTATTCGTGGCCAGCCCTGAAAACACAGTGATATATAGTCATTATGACCAAAATAATCTCAATATCGTAATATATCATCCAAGATATTTTGGTATAAATTTCAATCAATGGGACAATCGGGTTTTTTTTTCAATTTTTATACGCCCACATTTTCATGTGGACGTATATTGTCGTCGGCCCTGTCCGTCCGTCCATCCGTCCACAATTGTTTGTGAACAGTCTACAGGTCACAATTTTTATCCGATTTCAATGAAACTTGAAATATAGGTTTATCACCCTAAGATCTCGGTTCCTTTCGATATTGGCATCTATCGGACCGTAACTTCATGGATTATGGCCCCTGATTGTACGAAAAATCACGTTTTTGGCTTGTGAACACTGTAGAGGTCACAATTTTTATCCGATTTTCTTGAAACTTGAAATGTAAGTTTATAACCCAAAGATCTCGGTTCCTTTCAAAATTCGCGCATATCGGACCGTAACTTCATGAATTCTGGCCCCTGATTGTACGCTAAAACACGTTTTTTGGCTTGTGGACCCTATAGAGGTCATAATTTTTATCTGATTTAAAAAACTGTGTAAATATATCACCGTTACACCCTAAGGACGCCTGAGTTCGAATTTCGTGAAAATCGGCCCAAAATTGACAGACAAAATGGCCGCCGTTCGTTCTCAAATAGCGTAAAAATATGGTAAATCAAGGTTGTGGACCCTATAGAGGTCACAATTTTTATCCGATTTTGTTGAAACTTAACATGTTAGTTTATAACCCAAAGATCTCAGTTCCTTTCGATATTTGCGCATATCGGACTGTAACTTCCTGAATTATGGCCCTTGATTGTAGGAAAAATCACTTTCTTTTAAGCTTGTTCTCTATCCATCTCTCGAAAATGTGGGCGTATCCTGTCTGGCAGCCGCTGGTTTGTTAATGAATGTGATGAATGTCTAACTTTACTTTTTGTTTGTTTGGGAACTAAAAGTAGGGTGGTTGATGTTGTTGACTTAGATATAGTTTTCTTTCTTCAAAATGTCAAGTGAATTGCACAACATAGACCTTTGTGATATGACTTGATAGTTTTATTCCATGTTAATGCTTTATACCTTTGTACAATTTAGAAAGAAAGTTTAATTTTCTTTGATTAGCTTACCTTAAAAAATATGAAAAATTTCTGATTGGTTCAACTTAAATATATCATGAAAAATGTGTATCGTTATATTTCTAAAACATTATCCAAACATTTTTGTTCCCATATCGTCCCAAAAGTGAATTAATTCAAGTTTTTAATCTATTTTTTCTCATTGTTTCAGTATGCTGATGCCTATATACATAGATCAGGTCGTACAGGTCGTGCCGGTAGATCAGGTGTATGTGTTTGTTTATATAGTTCTAGAGAAGAATATTCATTACGAGCATTAGAATATAAAGCAGTAAGTATTTATTTATTGTCATATACAAAGCAGCCTCCTAGACAGTTGAAGGGAGGTGGATGGCCGGATGGTTAGTGCATGCGCATTGTATCATAAGGTCTGTCATTGAGTCAACTGGTGTGGTTTCAATTCCCTGGTTGTAGGGTTGTCTGTCCAACCTCCCACTGCTAAAGACCCCAACATGCAAGCGAATTATTGAAATAAAATTAAACCATATGTCACTCCCAAAATGACCTAATGAGTGGACGTTAATCCCCATCCCTCTTTCTCTCTCTTTTGACAGTTGGAATTTGAAATAATAGTAGCGTGTAGTGGCGCTTCTAGCACGCTGTCTGGCCCAAATTTCTCTGTATGGCATTTGCCTGCCTTCTTTAGCACACTCTCTGCAAAACAGCAGGATGTTAAACCCCATTTCATTTACAAAGCAACCCAACTGCTCAATAAAATATTAAACAGTGTGTAGATA